TTCTTTTCTTAACTTCAGACTCCTGCACTTCTTTGGAGGTCTCGATATTGTCTGTTTCTTGTGATATATCGCTGTCAAAGATTGTTGATGATGCAGGACTCGAAGGAGTTGAAGATGAATTTATTGAGTCTACTGTTATGTCTGCAGACTCAAATCCAGCATTTATTGTGGATGTAGCAGGGGATCCTCCCCATATCGCTTCACAAACTTCGAAGTACAAAAGAACTACCCTCCCATGTCCACTTTTCTTTCCACTATCGACGGCTGCTCTGAATTTGGACGGTATTGCTTTGAGTTTGGTGGTTATTATTACTTTCGTAATATCTTCTTTGTTGTGGGGAAAATCTTTTCCGATATCCTTGGCGTTTTCTGCAGATGGATATTGCGATTTAAATAAATAAAATATATCAGAGTACTTGCTCTGACAAGATTCCCAGTCGATGTTCTCAGCGGTTTGTTTAACCTTGTACTCCTCCGTAACTTTAAGGAGAAGCTCGACCTCATCATCAGTCCAAATATAACATTCGACTTTGCCTTTTCCTTTGGTGGAGCCTTTATTTGACTTGGCCATTCTAATTTTTATTCAAACTCACGAAATCAAACAAACAGAGTGCCCCACGTTGCCAAATGTAAAGATGGTAAAGAGATGTTGCTAAATAGCGCCAAAATTTGGATGCTGCAAAAGCTTGATGAGTCTCTTGTTACAAGTAAATGCGCATGCTCTTTGCTTAGAAGTATTAAATTTCCTCCGTTTTTGCGTATACGTGTGGACAGGCGAAAACGATTCAAATACGCTACGTGTGGACGCAAATCTTTTCAGAAACGGAGAAAAAAACCTCCGTTTTCAAAAATATCCGTATACGTGCGGACGGGGCCTTATTTACAATGCTGAATTTATCAGAGGATGCTTGATACGTGTTAATTAGTAAAAGGAAAAGGTGTGATAAAATATTAGTGATATTTACACGGCAAATATCATGAGTGTGATAGAGACAAAGTTGAATATTACACTCAATTTTCTCTAAAACTCAAAGAAGCCTTACACACACGCAAACAAAAACCAGATCTTAACAAACAAATTCAACATTTTAACACTATTTTCTAACTTCCATAATTTCGTAATGGCACGATTGAAATTATACATTTAACATAAACGACAACTTTTTTTAAATTTTTTATTGCAGACATGTTTCGGCAAACTTATGCCATTTCCAGTGCGGTATAATGAATGAATATTTGAATGGAGTTAATATATAAATAAATCTGATGCAAGACGTGTGTATAGACAAAGGGATGGAAACGGAAGTTATTTACAATTATGCAGTGTTAGAGGTGTCACGTATTTAATCTTAACAAATTTTCCAATTGTAAACATTCCAAATTCGTCTCTATCACACTCATATTTGCCGTGTAAATATCACTAATATCACATCTTTTCCTTTTAGGCCTGTTTTATACGTCGAATTTCCGTCGAATTTAATCTGTCGAATTTAATGCGTTGAATTTTATTCGACGGAAATGCGACGTATAAACCGATTATCTTCAACGCGTCGCATTAAATGCGACGCTGTCGTGTTACGCGACGAATTTCGTCGCGTAATTCAACGGAAGCGCGACAGCAGTTTAGACGTTGAGCTTCAGACGCGTCGAACAAAATGCATTAATTTTTATAATTATTTTCCATTCCCACAATTCAGCGTTTTCTGCTGCGTGTGTTCCACGATCACATAATTTCAAAATGGCGGGCAAGCATGAAACATGTGTTGAATGTGAAACAGCAACAAAATACAACTGTGTTCGATGCAAAATATCTGTTTGTAATCGTCCATCGTGCTCAGTGGAAGAAAAGAACGAAGAAGTAGAAGGCTGGCTAGAAATGGTGTGCGTTGCATACTGCAACAATTGCTTTTTCAATGTGCAGTCCATCGAGGCCGAGGGTGACAAAGACGACGAAGTCGCACACTTTCTTGCTGAAGACGGTGAAGTGACGAAGAAATCGTAGGGTAGGCGATCATTATGGTCTCAAGAACATGTTGACGATATGGTCGATATTATTGTCAACAACGAAAATTACAAGCGAAAGCTTATATTTACGAATAATAGGCGATCAACGAATACCGAAGTTTACCAACAGGTATTGGCGCAGGTGAAAGCAAGGCATCCAGAATTCCCTTTCAAATTGGAGCAAATTCGCAACAAGTTTAAATGGTGTGTCGGCACATGTAAAAAAGTTGCACTTACAATCCAAACTGCTACCGGCATCAATCGTTTTGTTGATGAAAAAGGATTTGGAAAGTGGTTCAATGCCTTGTTTCCCTTAATTAAAAGTAGGGATTCCTGTCAACCAGAGCAAAGCATTGAGCCTTCCACATACACAAGTTCAAGTACATGTAGTACGCCTGTTAATGGAGATGAAAGTGATGAGGAGGAGGAGGACATTGAAGAAAAAACAAAAGAGCCTGCTCTAAGAAAAGGAAGGGATATGTTTGTCCCAATTAAAAAACGAAAGAAAAAAAACAAGGAAGAGCCGCTTGCAAAGGTGTTAAAAATTTTGGAGAACATGGTGGCAAATGATCCAACTAAAGATCTTTTGAATTTCATGAGAGAAGATGCAGAAAGATCTAGACAATGTGAACTAGAAATTATTAAACTTTTATCCAATCAAGCACCACCTGCACAAGGACATGCACCACAACCTCAACCCTGCTATCCGCCAGCACAGCATTGGGTGCATTCAATGGTCCCACAAACACCTCCCAGTGATCACCATGTAATCAACTATCCAATGCCTGGAGCTAGTTCACCCTTTGATTCTCAAATGAACAAATACACTAAACTGTAATTTTGTTGCTTTTTATCCGTTTAACAAACATATACAGTAAAAACTATTAAACATTATGGTATAAAACTATAACTATTTGTTATCAATGTGTCATATTTTAAAAATTTTTGTTAATTACAGTGCAAAACGTGAATCTTATAATAACATAAAACAATGCATAAAGTGATAGAGCTTGCAGTTTTTCAAGCGTCTTATTGTTGACAAGATTTGGCTTGTTTGTTATAAACATACCAAAGTGAACAATTAACACACACCATATTGCAGTTTTTCTCTCCATAACTTTTCTTTTAATGCAGCTCGTATTTTCCCTGCATTAATGGATGTGTCTTTGACTTTTTCACATTTTTGCATGTCAAGCATATCTCTCACAACTTGCCGATCTCGTCGTTCCAAAGTGGCTGGATCAGCAGCTATGTCAGGCTGTTGAGGAAAAGGTTCATCATGTTCGATGCAAATATTGTGAAGAATAACACAAGCCAATGTGACTGCTTTCATTGTTTGTTCATTACATTCACATTTCCTGAACAGAATCCTAAATCTTCCCTTAAGCTGGCCATAGGCACATTCAGTCACCATTCTAGCTCGAGATAAACGATAATTGAAGTTTTTTTCTTGAGGTTGGAGTGTTGAGAACGTGTAGGGTTTCATAATCCAGGTTGTACACGGGAAAGCAGAATCACCAACAATAAGAGGACCAACTTCAATGCCCTCAATCTTCTTTGAAATAGCAGGAAGAAGATTGTTGTCCATAATATCTTTCCAAAGCTGGGTTGCCTGTAAGATCATGGCATCATGGGTATTGCCAGGAATCCAGCACTTGCCCACACAAACCTATACTTGGCATCAATCAAACCCATTAAAACAATTGAATAAAAATTTTTGAAATTGTGATATTCTTTGGCTGCCTCTGCACCTCCATTAGGACATTTAATCGAGATATGACACCCATCAACTGCAGACCAACAACATGGAAATTGCCAGAGTTCTTCCATATCAATTATTTTTTCCCTCATATGTCCTTCTGACGAGGGAAAATGCGCACTAACAGCATCCTTCCATAAATGAATTACAATGCTTTCGCACACTTCTTTGACAATCTGCTGTATTGTTGCTATTCCAAGGCCAGACATTTCAGAAAGAGTGTAATAATAGTCGCCACGTGCTAATCTATAAAGACATATAGCCAATCGACATGCTGGTGAGACCGGTTGCTCTGACATTGTTTTCTTTTCTAAATCACATTCAATTTTGCCGAGAATCATCGTGAAAATATCTCGTGATACACGAAATGTAGTCCTAAAGCGCTTTTCTGAATAGGTGAACCATATAGATTCCCACCAGTGTCTCCATGATAATGTTCTTTCAAGCCGACGACAAGAACGAATTCTAGGTATTTCATTCTCCTCAGAAATAAGATTTAGCAGTAACAAGCACAACTGACAAATCTTTCTTCTTCTATTAATCAAAGCCAACAATATATGAAGACGCCTTTGTCGTCTTTCTCTTCGTATTCGTATTATTTTCCTTAAAATAATAGCTTTGCCACAGCCGCCATGTTTAATTTTGCCTAAGAAACAACCTGTTAGCAGGCTATAGAGTCGAATTTGATGATTTGAATCCGATGCAAATTCGACGTATAAATCGAGAAACTCATTTCCGTCGAATCTCCGTCGCAAAATTGTCGCATTAAATTCGACAGATTAAATTCGACGGAAATTCGACGTATAAAATAGGCCTTAGTAATTAACACGCATCATGCATCCTATGATAAATTCAGCATTGTAAATAACTTTACTTCATTCTTATACTGAAGATGACTTAATGGAAGCCGAAACATGTTTATCATGAAAAATTTTGTCGTTTATTTCAAATGCCTAATAAGTGTTGTGCTTCTGAGGATCATATGGAGCCACAAGTTAACTTTCCCCTTGTTTTAAGGCCAATATAACGCATCAAATCATATTGAGTTTATGTCACAAAGACGTTTGTCACCTTACTGACGTCTATTAATATAATTAGCTGACGTTTATTTGGCATAAAAACCTCTTGATGATCAAATACCTAGACCACGCTGCATTCTTGCTTTCTTCGCCAGTGGACATGTGTGTTTAACGTAGAAATAAAGACTATAGCTTCAAAATATTCTAAGTGTGGTGAGGGGGTCAATTCTTGTACTTGCCCCCCCAACCCCCCTTCCGCCGAAGTTCGTGGGAGAGCGTGGTAATATTAACGCATTCTCAAGTGCAAATGGAGAGAAAATTTGCATTGTAAAATCGAGCACTTTTAGTAAAGCAGGCAGGAGTAATGTAAACAGTCAAACAACTATTTAAGCGTCAACCCCCTCGCTAGAAGATCAGCTTAGTGGGCGGTTGATGCAGGTACGCAAAAAAAACATAAAATGCTTCATTATTGTGACCAGGGCAGGGATATACCGGGCGAAAAGCGAATTCTTAATATAAAGCCCAGCGAAGTGCTTTTAAAAGAGCCATTTAATACAAAATAACATATAAAAAGAAATATTTATTTAGAAGACAAGACGAAACGTTACGCTTCTAGATAAATATTTCTTTTTATATGTTATTTTGTATTATTAAATGGTTCTTTTAAAAGCACCTCGCTGGGCTCTGATATTTACATTAAGAAATGCTTCATTATCAATCATTGACTAGAATTAACAGTTTGACTTATTTCACAGGTTAACAATAACAATTTAAAGATTTTCGAATGGAAACATGTTCTATTCAAATGCATTAACTCTTAAGACTCCGTAAGCTAAAAATAGTCTCGACTTGCATTAACTGCTGCGGTGGGGGATAACTTTCGCTGTCGAGAATATCATAATGAAACTTATTTAAGAGTACGTTTATCCGTTAATGGAGCAGGCCAAATATCGCAGTTGCTTTAGCAATGCTTGCACCAACAAACTAATTTCACGATTTTGTAAATCTAGTTCGAAATCTTCATCGCTTGCAAGTTTTTCTACAAAACTCCTCAACACAGTTTCCCCTAATCAAAACATAAACTGTCGGCTTAATAGTGGCAACAATTGATAAAAAACATCATTTAGTATGCTTTTTGGATAGGTGATCACAAACAACAACACAAGTTCACATGAACAAGAATATTTTGAAATATTTATTCAATTATTAATTGTAAGCGGGAAACTCGAACACGACGTCCTTTCCAGTTAATTTTTTGTATACGCCAGAGAACGTCTCGAGCTGAAACAGATAATTTTAAATACAGGTCAAAGTCGAACACGCGAAAAGTGGTCGCAACGAAGGGTCTTAAAATAACCGTGATAAAAAATGGCGACACGCATTGCATTATGGGAAATCAACAGGTACAAAACGTACAACGAAGAAAGTCGAACACGCAAAAAGTGGTCGCAACGAACACGCAAAAAGTGGTCGCAACGAAGGGTTTTGAGTTAACCGTGATAAAAAATGGCGGCACGCATTGCATTATGGAAAATTAACAAGTAGAAAACGTACAACGAAGAAAGTCGAACACGCAAAAAATGGTCGCAACGAGCACGCAAAAAGTGGTCGCAACGAAGGGTTTTGAAATAACCGTGATAAAAATTGGCGACATGCATTGCATTATGGAAAATTAACAAGTAGAAAACGTACAACGAAGAAAGTCGAACACGCAAAATATGGTCGCAACGAACACGCAAAAAGTGGTCGCAACGAACACGCAAAAAGTGGTCGCAACGAAGGGTTTTGAGTTAACCGTGATAAAAAATGGCGGCACGCATTGCATTATGGAAAATCAACAAGTAGAAAACGTACAACGAAGAAAGTCGAACACGCGAAAAATGGTCGCAACGAACACGCGAAAAGTGGTCGCAACGAAGGATTTTGAAATAACCGTGATAAAAAATGGCGACACGCATTGCATTATGGGAAATCAACAAGTACAAAACGTACAACGAAGATTACGAAAGGCTATTGTCGTCGACTCATGGATGATATTAAAAAGATTCGGGGCAGTTGAATTAAAAGTTTTGAAAACGCCCCAAAATCAAATTCACTAAAATTACTTCGATTTACTGTATGAAAAGGGCAAAGATATTGCCTGTTTTTGGTAATCGACAAAACAACCAACAAATAAAATAAAATATATTGCCAAAAAATTATTCAAGCAACGCTCTCGAGTTCTTATTTTACCACAACGAGCACCGTCACCATTTATTGTCTTTAACTGTGTTGTCATTTGCGAAGACACGTGTAAACTGCGCTCGTTCACTGAGAAAACATTGAACGAAAATACTTTTCTAAAGAAATGAATAATACTTTTGATGAAAAATTATCGTATTAGGAGTAAAAGATGAAGCTAGCTTCGCAACTGCATAGAAATATGAAAATTGTCATCGTTTTCACACTTATTAATGTGAAGATGGCGATTTTATCGTTACTATATTTCACTTCGTGCTTTATTTACGGACGATGAAGTTGAGACAATTGACTAACATAAACACTTCCGGTTGATACCCGTAATTATGAAAAGTAAAATCTCTAAATTATTCAACACTACGGTCAGAAATTATCTATACGTTCAAACATGGTATCCATATATCTATATCTATATATAAATATATTCATAGTTTTGGATGTTTATCAACGTACGAACCTGTCATTTTAAGTATGGAAAAAATATATCACAATCATAAGAAAATTGTAATCTTTAAGTTTCTAATATTTCATATTGTTGTAACTTAATGTGATCTTGTCTAAAGGCAGTCTTCGAACCTTGTCGATATGTTGTCGTGTGTTTAGTTCCCAGGACCTTTCTCGCAACTTAAGATTATTTTGGGTCTAGTTTAGTTCCCAGGACCTTTCCCAAAACTTAAGATCATATTGAAGCGGTTTTAGTTCCCAGGACCTTTTTTGCAACTTAAGATCATTTTGGGGCGAGTTTAGTTCCCAAGACCTATCCCAAAACTTAAGATCATATTGAAGCAGGTTTAGTTCCCAGGACCTTTCTCGCAACTTAAGATCATTTTGGGGCGAGTTTAGTTCCCAGGACCTTTCCCACAAAAAATCATTTTGGGGGGCGGGTTTAGTTCCCAGGACCTTCCAGCAATCAGTAAATGACGTTCTAGATGAGAATCATGCGAAATATGCTAACACAAAACAACCGTTATGATGCGGAGCAAATACACGACAGACGACGACAGACGACGAACGTTTCCGCCGTGGAGACAAAAGAAAAGTTAAACAAACGTCTTTTATAAGTAAAACTCGTTTTAAAAAACACGACGACAACAATTATTTTACACACAAGCATAAAAGTCACTGAAAATAGATAAAAACACTCACAAACAGCATGATTGCTCAGGATTCAAACACATTGTATACCGTTGTATACCCTTCTAAACCGTGCTGTGCCCTTGTATACCGTTGTATACCCTTCTAAACAGTGCTGTGCCCTTTTATACCGTTGTGTACCCTTCTAAACCGTGCTGTGCCCTTGTATACCGTTGTATACCCTTCTAAACAGTGCCGAGCCCTTGTATACCGTTGTGTACCCTTCTAAACAGTGCTGTGCCTTGTATACCATTGTGTACCCTTCTAAACCGTGCTGTGCCCTCGTATACCACTGTATACCCTTCTATACCAGTTTATCCTGGAGATTCATAGACACGTAACCATCACAAAATTTGTTTTTTCCGGTAGAGAGTATTCAAATCATAAAGTTATAAATAAAGAGTAAGTTGATATTTTCTAACTAACCATTGTTTTCTTTGAAAGTCGTCGTTTCTGATACAGCTGGAAAATCATCTTTCGTGATTTTATACAACGTCGCAAAGTACTCAAGGTTGTTCGCTTTCTCTTTCAGTACTGCGTTCTCTGATTTTAGTTTTCAATTTCTTCGTAAAGCTAGAAAAGTATTCAGTGTTTGGAATTAACTCGTCACGAACTCAGGTATAGTAACAAGACAATCATTGTCTTCAATGTTCTACCAACTAAACTACAAGATCAACTGTGGACTATGATGATATTTCAAAACACAGTTCTAGTTTCTTTCATATCTTAATATCATAGATAATAACATCACGTTGTTGTGATGTACTCAGGTATAGTAACAAGATAATCATTGTCTTCAATGTTCTACCAACTAAACTACAAGATCAACTGTGGACTATGATGATATTTCAAAACACAGTTCTAGTTTCTTTCATATCTTAATATCATAGATAATAACATCACGTTGTTGAGATGTACTCAGGTATAGTAACAAGATAATCATTATCTTCAATGTTCTACCAACTAAACTACAAGATCAACTGTGGACTATGATGATATTTCAAAACACAGTTCTAGTTTCTTTCATATCTTAATATCATAGATAATAACATCACGTTGTTGTAATGTACTCAGGTATAGTAACAAGATAATCATTGTCTTCAATGTTCTACCAACCAAACTACAAGATCAAGTGTGAACTATGATGATATTTCAAAACACAGTTCTAGTTTCTTTCATATCTTAATATCATAGATAATAACATCACGTTGTTGTGATGTACTCAGGTATAGTAACAAGATAATCATTGTCTTCAATGTCCTACCAACCAAACTACAAGATCAAATGTGGACTATGATGATATTTCAAAACACAGTTCTAGTTTCTTTCATATCTTAATACTACAAACATTACAATAAACTTATAACCAACCATAATATTTTCTTGTAAAGTTTCCTCGAGAGCTTTTCGTCTTTCCTCAGCAATTAATTCCCAATATTTTTCCGGCGCTTTTTCTGCAACAAGGAAATTTAACTCCAACCATCATTTTGAGGGCAAAACATACAAACATACTGAAAGAAGGTTCACCAAACAAACCTTGTACCATCAGCGCTCGCGTCTCCTCTGTTGAGTCGAGTTCCTTTAATTTCAAATCAACATTTACACTTGAATCTGCATCAGACGCGCTTGATGGACTTTCAACTTCAGAAGCTTTAACTAGATAACTTTTTAGATGCTTTTGTCTCGACTTTGTCGAACATTGCTGTGAATGAGCTCCGCTCTGCGATGGAAATCAAAGAAATATAGAAGTTAATCGGATTTGTATTCTCGCAGCTCGCCACACAACAAGCGATGTTATGGCATCGTACTTTGGATTTAGGTTTTTGTTTCGTCCTTCCGCCGACAAGCAACTTCTGTCCGTCAGCAGAAGGCTGTAGGACCTGCAAAGACTTTCTTTTGTCCTGTCTTTCAACGATTGAGCGACCTGACGAAGACGAACCGTCGTCGGACTTTGCCTACAAATAAATTACGAATTATGCAGATAGGATAAGAGCTAGACACTGCTAAGTTCGACAAAAAAAAGTTAGCACTACAAAATAAATGATGTGTCTATTTATGATTGAAAACAATTTGTTTTCATGTAGGAATACCTTTGTGTCCTTCGAACAACACCCCTTAGACTTGCCATTTTCGTCAGATTTCTCACCGCTTTTTGCCGGCCTTCTTGGTGAATGTGCGAGTTTACTCACAGTATGTTGTTCTCTCATGCTTTTAGGGTTTTTGTAGCTCGAAATATTTGATTTCCCCTGCCTCAAATCTGCTTTAAGTCCGACTTCTTGTTGACGAGACAATCGTCTATATTCTTCGGCCATCTTTTTAAACCTTCCCGCGTGAAAATCAACATCTTCGGAAAATCTTCGAGAACTCACGCAAGGTAACATTTTCCATATTAGACAATAACTGGAAGATAAACAACTGACTTACACCAAGTAATCGCTGATTGCATATTTGCTTATTCTGTTTCAAATATGGTAGAAAGAAAGATGAAAATGTACAAAAGGTTCAGAAATCTTTGCGATTAACTGTCAAAATTTGACCGGATCGACCGAAATAACGAAGATCAATACAAGAGGATAATTTCGCACGTTTCTTGCATTTTGATACAATGGCACAGTGCCTTGCTTCGAACATCAAATCATTAAAAGTGATATGACTCTTTCAGGGCCGTACCTAGAACGCTTATTGGAGTGGGGGGTGTGTATATTCTTATATTCAGTTCTACCTACTGTTTTCTTTAGAGCCAATTTACTTTCAAAAGAAGTCAGAACGCAACTGAGCATATGAATACACCCCCTCACAAATTAAGGTACTAGCTAAGGCGCTGGACTCTTTCTTTTGTATGTTCATACTCCATCATAATGCAAGTGTTTGGCACTTTTTTCATAATCAATGCCGCCTGCCTTTTTTCTTCCCTTAAATAATAGTATCAATGACAAGTACATCCACTAAAATTAAAATGCAATAAATGTTGTTTTAGTGGCAGTTTTATTTAACTACAGCAGCTTTGAAAGTTCGTATACAACAAACTCTACAAAATAACTCATATATTATTACTTACAATATTATCAATTAAAATATAATTGCGTTTTCCTCATTGCATATTGAAAGAATCTGTGTCTAGCCATTATAATAAAATCTACGCGAAAAAGAAACTGCCTTTGTATTGTTATTGGGAAAGTTAGACTTCATACATTTATATTATCTCCTAGTCTATCATAAACTGCCTTTGCATTGTTATTGGGGAAGTTAGACTTCATACATTTATATTATCTCCTAATCTATCATAAACTGCCTTTGTATTGTTATTGGGGAAGTAAGACTTCATACATTTATATTATCTCCTAGTCTATCATAAACTGCCTTTGCATTGTTATTGGGGAAGTTAGACTTCATACATTTATATTATCTCCTAATCTATCATAAACTGCCTTTGTATTGTTATTGGGAAGTTAGACTTCATACATTTATATTATCTCCTAGTCTATCATAAACTGCCTTTGTATTGTTATTGAAGTTAGACTTCATACATTTATATTATCTCCTAGTCTATCATAAACTGCCTTCGTATTGTTATTGGGAAAGTTAGACTTCATACATTTATATTATCTCCTAGTCTATCATAAACTGCCTTTGTATTGTTATTGGGAAAGTTAGACTTCTTACATTTATATTATCTCCTAGTCTATCATAAACTGCCTTTGTATTGTTATTGGGAAAGTTAGACTTCATACATTTATATTATCTCCTAGTCTATCATAAACTGCCTTTGTATTGTTATTGGGAAAGTTAGACTTCATACATTTATATTATCTCCTAGTCTATCATAAACTGCCTTTGTATTGTTATTGGGAAAGTTAGACTTCATACATTTATATTATCTCCTAGTCTATCATAAACTGCCTTTGTATTGTTATTGGGAAAGTTAGACTTCTTACATTTATATTATCTCCTAGTCTATCATAAACTGCCTTTGTATTGTTATTGGGAAAGTTAGACTTCATACATTTATATTATCTCCTAGTCTATCATAAACTGCCTTTGTATTGTTATTGGGAAAGTTAGACTTCATACATTTATATTATCTCCTAGTCTATCATAAACTGCCTTTGTATTGTTATTGGGAAAGTTAGACTTCATACATTTATATTATCTCCTAGTCTATCATAAACTGCCTTTGTATTGTTATTGGGAAAGTTAGACTTCATACATTTATATTATCTCCTAGTCTATCATAAACTGCCTTTGTATTGTTATTGGGAAAGTTAGACTTCTTACATTTATATTATCTCCTAGTCTATCATAAACAAGCTTTTGTATTGTTATTGGGAAAGTTAGACTTCTTACATTTATATTATCTCCTAGTCTATCATAAACAAGCTTTTAATTCCCAAAGCCATTCACAATTCATCCTTGTATTGCAGCTCATGCTTTTTTTGAATAGCTTACTGTGGGTTCACCCATTCTTTTAAAGTAGACTTCGACAAATTCTTTGATATCATGAACACTTTTTTCATTTAAATCATAATTCGCAGATTTTGTCTCTTGTCCTTCGATGACCTCAGCGCTATCGTCCAGTTCCATGCCCTGCAAGGCTTTGAACTTCCTCACAACTTCCCGCCAGTTGACGACCTTCTCAATCCTATCACTATCCCCATCTACACCTATAACACAACTAGGAGAGTCAGGAGATACGGCATTGATTCCTGGGATATTTGGAGCTTCCACTTTATGACTTAATTTGTGGACAAGTCGTATGAGCTTCCATGCGGTTGTGAGTAGGTTGAGAGGCGCAGGTGTTAGAGTTGACTGTTCCAGGCTCCTTATCAACTTTGCGCGGCCGAATTTCCATTCCAAATCAGACTGCGCTTGAATGCGTTGGTAAGTGTCGCTCATCATGGCAATTAGAAGGTTAATTAGAACAATTATGGTAATTAAGCAGTAAAAACCAAACACAATATAGACCAAGACCTTAGAGAACCCGGAAGATTATTCTTAGTCATGTCGTTGAGGAAATTAGAGTCAGCCGAGCCAATAAGAGTGAAAACCAAGAATTTGAATATCTCAACAAAGTTTTGTGCATGTTTGATAAAGTAACGGATTTCAATGCTTTCTTTTCAAACGCAGGTTTAGATATGGCCGCAAGATGCATGGCAAAACCAAGAATAAAGATTAGTAATATAACGAGAAATCTTGCCACATCTTGCAAAAGATTACCAATCATAACTCCCCAAGGACCAAACAAGTAATGAAAAGTAAGAAAATCCAAGAGTTGTACGAAACTTAAAACATTGCAACTGCTAAAATCTGATTGCGCGAGTACAAAAGATTTAAACGCGTGGAGCTCCCGCAGGGAATCGCACTCAAATGAAGAAGAACGCCGACCATTGACAAAAATACTACCAATATTGGTAATCGCCCCAGACCTTTTTTATTCTTCGCATCGGTGAGTTGTTCAAGAAAAAGACCACACAACCAAAACATCCACACTACCTCGTACCAGGCCGGAACTACGTCATCGCCAAGTTTTCCCCATGGTATAGCCAACATGAATACGAACAGTAGAATAAGATAGAGATGTGATATTAATTTACAGATAAACTTTACCAACGGCACTTGATTGCAGTTATTTTTCCATGGAAGGGAGAGCACTGCCCAAACAGGCGGCAAAAAGAAGGCCGCGAGGAACAAACCCACAATTTTGGACGTTCTCCAATCTTGCCCGGCAACCCACTTGCTACCTAAGTACGACTGCACAGCGGTTTGCGCAACACACTGCTTCTGTTCGCAATCGACCATTACGTCCAAAAACGGTTTATCTTCGTCATCTGTCGCGTTCAACAGATGACTTGCATCAGTTGCACAAGCCAGAGCCATAATGTTTTGGGCCAACTCCTCGCAAAAATCTCCAGCGGCTGTCAGGTCTTTGCTTCGCTCTTTAACTTTAACTGACCGCATTCTGTAGTGATGGGAAAGTTTTACCGCTGTATACAAAGGTGCGGGCGAGCGGAGAATGAATGACGTGATGCACTCGTTACCAGTCCCTTTTCCACACACCATAAGATCGAACAAGAACTGAAATAAAATAAAGGGAGAGAAGCGATTAAAATCCTATTTTCTAATATGTATTACGGGAACGAGCCGAGTTGAGCTAAAAAAAGACTTGTGTATGACTTGGGTTTCATCTTTTCGATGCTTTTTTTTCTAGTATAGCTTCAACTACAATAAAACAAGCGATTAAAATAAAAAGAAAGATTTTATCCAAGCTCCAACAAGAAAGCTTTTACATGCACCTCGCGCACTCGCTATGCTAAATACAACGGAAAATATATACCGTTTTATCCAACAACAAAAGCGACGGATCAAATTTAAGATTGAGTAAATAATGTAGAACGGCGACATTCCCCGAATGAGCAGCATAACACAACGCAACCTTTCCTTCCTGTAATGAAAAAATAGAAAGAAACTTGACGGTAAACAAACTGCGTGTTTCAAAATTAATAAAAGCGACGATAACTTCTACGAACCCCCGTTTCCTTAGTAAGATTTGCACCAGATTCAATAAGCTGTTTGACAACTTTTAAATGTCCAGAAGTCGCTGAGAAATGCAACGCGGTCCAACCATCCTAGATTGGATAAGATAGTTTTCAACCCTAAGCTGTTTGCTTCATGTTAGGCCTTCTGTACTTTATGGTCAGCTGTCTCGAGTAATTGTTGTCCATGCTATTTTCCAATGCCAATGACGGACACTAGAATAGACCAAGGGGTGGGGTGAGGTGGCAAACCTCCAGTTATTTTTATTCCAGGTAGGATGTTTTGTGAAATCTTGTGCTTTGGGGACCCCACCCCCAATATTTCATAAGGTGTCCGCCACTCGGCCACTGGCCATAAACTTCATAACCACGACAAACCATTCACAAATTATGACGTATGACATTGTGACGTATGATAGTGTGACGTATAATATTGTGACGTATGTTATTGTGACGTATGATATTGTGACGTATAATATTGTGACGTATGTTATTGTGACGTATGATATTCGAGTGAGCGTCAACGTTAAAATCAAATGAAATAACCCAGTTTACCGTATCTTCAGCATCGATTTTAGCTCCTTGCGCCAACAACTGAGTAACGACATTGTTGCGACCGCTGGACGCAGCAAGATGGAACGCCGTCCGCCCTAGTTTGTTCTTCGCGTGGACTTGATGCGGAGCTTTACTGAGCAACAGGCTAACAACGTTGGCGTGTCCTTCGCCGCTCGCCATATGCAACGGTAATGACTGCAACAAAAGAGAAGTAGGAGAAAAGTTTTAAAAATGCCAATTTAACGAGCTATCTAAAGATTGAGGAGAAATTTCATCATCACTGCCAATATTTTACTTACATTTTGTGTTGTCAATGCATCAACCTTCACATTCGGATTATTTAAAAGAAGGCGAACGACATGTTCGTTTCCAGACCTCGAAGCAAAATGCAGAGGAGTACAGCCGGACTAAAAGATACAGAAAAGCATCAGTTGAAACTTTCTTGAAATACTATCGTATTATTGTCGTAATACTTCGTAAAACTGTCGTGATACTTCGTAATATTGTCGTAATATTTCGTAATATTATCGTGATACTTTGTAATATTATCGTGATACTGCTGTAATATTGTCATAATACTACGTATTACTGTCGTGAGCTGTCGTAATACCCCGTAATGTTGTCGTGATGCTGCTGTAATATTTCCTAATATTGTCGTGATACTGCCGTAACATTGTCGTGATACTGCCGTAATACTTTGGAATGTTGTCGTGATACTGCCGTATCACTACGTAACATCATCGCGACACTGCCGTAATACATCGTGATACTGCCGTAATACTTCGTAATATAGTCGTAACACTGCAGTAATACTTCATAATATTGTCGTAATAATGCCGTAATATTTTGCAATGTAATCGTGATATTGCCGTAACACTTCGTAAAATTGTCGTGATACTGCAGTAATACTTCATGTTGTTCTTGTATTACGTCATACTACTCACTTCCTCGTCTTTTTTCGTCTTGTTCGGCTGAAAAACAACCATTAAACATGAGACAACTAATAAAACTAAACAAAGCAATTCTTTCAACCATCCATTACCTGACTTTTCACATTCCCAACATCAGCCTCTAGTAATATTTCCCTCATGACTTCCGTTTGGCCGTACTGCGCCGCGATGTGAGCCGCTGAGAGTCCCGTCTATAAAGCAATAGACGGTAATGTTCGAGATTTAAAAATTCTTACGCGTTGTAATGTATATGAAAGTCGTTTAAAGATACCTTTGGGCTAACAAAATCAAGAGAAATCTTATCTTTAAGTATGTCGATAACGTTGTTGTGGCCATTTCTCGCTGCAAGATGAATAGCTGTCCAACCAAACTACATAAAGTTAACACATATTTTCATCCATCACGATGATACTTTCTACATTGACAAAGATAATCTTACATCAAGTACTACCCCCCGATCTTTCTGGGGCCGGTTGCACAGGATAGCTAAATATTACGAAGGTGAAAAAAACTCTTAAATGGAGAAACATTACATTTGAAGTGAGCAATCAATGAAATAAAAGGTTGCTTTTAAAAGACAAAGTTTCTTTGTCCTAAGGAAAACACAAATAAACTTTCTTAAAATGGATAAAGCTCGTCCAGGATTCGCGCAACAGGCCCCAGCTATACTACTTTTTGAAATCAAACCAACATTATTTAAAACAACCGTCATTACGGCACTGCCATATAAACCATGGAATGTCCTAACTTATCCATATAAACCATGGAATGTCCTACCTTATCCATATAAACCATGGAATGTCCCACCTTATCCAAATAAACCATGGAATGTCCTACCTTATCCATATAAACCATGGAATGTCCTACCTTATCCATATAAACCATGGAATGTCCTACCTTATCCATATAAACCATGGAATGTCCTACCTTATCCATATAAACCATGGAATGTCCTACCTTATCCATATAAACCATGGAATGTCCTACCTTATCCATATAAACCATGGAATGTCCTACCTTATCCATATAAACCCTGGAATGTCCTACCTTATCAATATAAACCACGGAATGTCCTACCTTATCCATATGTGTAGCATTCGCTCCATTCAGTAACAAAACTTGTACGACATCAGCGTGACCACCGCTGGCCGCTAAGAGCAGAGGCGTGGAAATCTGGCTCTGTATAATTATGGAAAGAAATTGAAAGTTTTAATTTAAGCGAGATAAAGAAACTTGAGAAATGGAACAAAAGAAATCGAAAAAAATCTCTGTCAAGTACAGTTCAAAACTAGCGACGTACAGAAGTAATTTTTTCTATGATGTTGTTATTTTTCAATTGAACAAGTTCTTTTATAACAGAAATACTTCCTTTCGCAGCAGCGATATGGGCACACGTCTCGCCATCCTATAAAAAAGCGTAAACATTGTGAGATAAACACTGCTGTGAAACACAGACCTGTTCTTAAATGATTATTACAGTCTACTCCGTTGTTTCGTGTGTTTCATAAACCTAGCTTTGATGAAAAATTCGACATGAGAGCAGAAATGAATGATTCTTGATGTCATGCTCAATCTCATCCAGCAATTGTTTATTATTGAACAGTTCGTAAACTAAAATTCATTGAAAACAAGCACGTCTCCTTAAAAGCACGTTCGTTTCTGCAACAGCATTCCAGTTTATCGGCAGTGAGAACACCAAACAAAATAAACATGATGAAATGACCAGTTTGCAGCGTTGAAACTTACAGCGTTCGTTTGATTGACAAGTTCAGGATAATTTTTCACGAAAAACTTAACAACTTCTGAATGATCCATTTGTGTGGCACAATGCAAGGGCGTTCTCCCATGCTGTAAAGATAAAATAATTCGTTGAAATGATTTTATTATCATCATTACACGCAGTTAGATAAGAGGTAAGTCACGTGCTCAGTCACGGGTAAGTCACGTGGGTATATGTCTTATATTATCCTTAGCGGATGTGTTTGATTAAACATGCAACACGCGGTTGGTCACGAGGTTAATAAGTGGTTAATCACGTGGTTGATAAGTTGTTAGTGCCGTGTTTCATAAGAGGTTGGTCACGTGGTTACTAACGGGATAGTCACATGAATACATATCTTCAAATATTCGTAGCGGATATATCGGCTTATAGAAACGCCACGGGTTAGTCACGTGGTAAATAAGTGTGGTTAGTCACGTGTTAAATAAGTGTGGTTAGTCACGTGTTAAATACTTGTGGTTAGTCACGTGTTAAATAAGTGTGGTTAGTCACGTGTTAAATAAGTTGTGGTTAGTAACGTGGTAAATAAGTATGGCTAGTCACGTGGTTTATAACGGGGTAATCACGTGAGTACACATCTTACATTATCAGCAACGGATGTATCAGCTTGTAGATGCAACAGGACTTTACAAACATCCAACCTTCCTCCCTCGGCTGCCAAATGTAACGGCGTCTGTCCTTCCTAAAACATTTTTAAACCCTCCAAAACTTAGTTTGAATCGATAACCTAATATCATAAATTACCGCAACGAAATGAGTGATGATTTGCACTTACAAACGATAGAGCGTCTATACTTGCTGAAAATTGAACAACAAGCATTTCGACCAGGTCCGTGTATCCTTTCTCCGCTGCCAAATGTAGCGGAGTGAAACCAAGTTTTGTTTTTGCATTTATGTATGGTTTAGAGTTGAGAAGATATACAGCGACATCTTTATGACCGTAAGCACAGGACAAATGAAGTGGCGTTTGGCCTTTCTATGTAAAAAGATTTTAGTTTGAATATCAAAACTCCACAAGTAAGTGGAATGTTGTTTTTCCTCGTGAAATCTATTGAAGAGAGGCAGTAAAGATCATCTCTTATTGATCCAGTGTTACCACAGAAGAAAACCTAAACTAAACTAACTTTATTTATACAAGATGTCTCTATCAGTTCTAAACTGTTCTTCCTAAAGATACAGTAAAGATCATCTCTTATTGATCCAGTGTTACTACAGAAGAAAACCTAAACTAAACTAACTTTATTTATACTAGATATCTCTATCAGTTCCAAACTGTTCTTTCTAAAGATACAGTATAGATCATCTCTTATTGATCCACTGTTAATACAGAAGGAAACCTAAACTAAACTAACTTTATTTATACTAGATATCTCTATCAGTTCTAAACTGTTCTTCCTAAAGATACAGTAAAGTTCATCTCTTATTGATCCAGTGTTACTACAGAAGAAAACCTAAACTAAACTAACTTTATTTATACTAGATATCTCTATCAGTTCTAAACTGTTCTTCCTAAAGATACAGTAAAGATCATCTCTTATAGATCCAGTGTTACTACAGAAGAAAACCTAAACTAAACTAACTTTATTTATACTAGATATTTCTATCAGTTCTAAACTGTTCTTTATAAAGATTCAGTAAAGATCATCTTTTATTGATCCAGTGTTACTACAGACGAAAACCTAAACTAAACTAACTTTATTTATACTAGATATCTCTATCAGTTCTAAACTGTTCTTCCTAAAGATACAGTAAAGATCATCTCTTATTGATTCAGTGTTACTACAGAAGAAAACCTAAACTAAACTAACTTTATTTATACTAGATATCTCTATCAGTTCTAAAGTGTTCTTTCGACAGATACAGTAAAGATCATCTCTTATTGATCCAGTGTTACTACAGAAGAAAACCTAAATAAAACTAACTTTATTTATACTAGATATCTCTATCAGTTCTAAACTGTTCTTCCTAAAGATACAGTAAAGATCATCTCTTATTGATCCACTGTTAATACAGAAGGAAACCTAAACTAAACTAACTTTATTTATACAAGATATCTCCATTAGTTCTAAACTGTTCTTTTTAAAGATACAGTAAAGATCATCTCTTATTGACCTAGTGTTAATATAGAAAGAAACAAAACCGTCCAATGGAAAGATCAAATTTCTACGCATCTAAACATACCTCATCAAAGGCGTCAAGCCTCGCATTCCAATTCATAAAAGTCTTTGTGACATCCAGATTTCCTTTTTCCGACGATATAAGTAGAGGAGTCACATGATTCTAAGTAGAGGAGTCACATGATTCTAAGTAGAGGAGTCAGATGATTCTAAGTAGAGGAGTCAGATGATTCTAAGTAGAGGAATCAGATGATTCTAAGTAGAGGAATCAGATGATTCTAAGTAGAGGAATCAGATAATTCTAAGTAGAGGAGTCAGATGATTCTAAGTAGAGGAGTCACATGATTCTAAGTAGAGGAATCAGATCCTTCTAAGTAGAGGAATCAGATGATTCTAAGTAGAGGAGTCAGATGATTCTAAGTAGAGGAGTCAGATGATTCTAAGTAGAGGAGTCAGATGATTCTAAGTAGAGGAGTCAGATCATTCTAAGAAGAGGAATCAGATGACTCTAAGTAGAGGAGTCAGATGATTCTAAGTAGAGGAGTCACATGATTCTAAGTAGAGGAGTCACATGATTCTAAGTAGAGGAGTCAGATGATTCTAAGTAGAGGAATCAGATGATTCTAAGTAGAGGAGTCAGATGATTCTAAGTAGAGGAGTCAAATGATTCTAAGTAGAGGAGTCAAAGGATTCTAAGTAGAGGAGTCACATGATTCTAAGTAGAGGAGTCAGATGATTCTAAGTAGAGGAGTCAGATGATTCTAAGTAGAGGAGTCAGATGATTCTAAGTAGAGGAATCAGATGATTCTAAGTAGAGGAATCAGATGATTCTAAGTAGAGGAATCAGATGATTCTAAGTAGAGGAATCAGATGATTCTAAGTAGAGGAGTCAGATGATTCTAAGTAGAGGAGTCAGATGATTCTAAGTAGAGGAATCAGATGATTCTAAGTAGAGGAATCAGATGATTCTAAGTAGAGGAGTCAGATGATTCTAAGTAAAGGAGTCAGATGATTCTAAGTAGAGGAGTCAGATGATTCTAAGTAGAGGAGTCAGATGATTCTAAGTAGAGGAATCAGATGATTCTAAGTAGAGGAGTCAGATGATTCTAAGTAGAGGAGTCACATGATTCTAAGTAGAGGAGTCACATGATTCTAAGTAGAGGAGTCAGATGATTCTAAGTAGAGGAATCAGATGATTCTAAGAAGAGGAGTCAGATGATTCTAAGTAGAGGAGTCAGATGATTCTAAGTAGAGGAGTCACATGATTCTAAGTAGAGGAGTCAGATGATTCTAAGTAGAGGAATCAGATGATTCTAAGTAGAGGAGTCAGATCATTCTAAGTAGAGGAGTCAGATGATTCTAAGTAGAGGAGTCAGATCATTCTAAGAAGAGGAATCAGATGATTCTAAGTAGAGGAGTCAGATGATTCTAAGTAGAGGAGTCAGATGATTCTAAGTAGAGGAGTCAGATGATTCTAAGTAGAGGAGTCAGATGATTCTAAGAAGAGGAATCAGATGACTCTAAGTAGAGGAGTCAGATGATTCTAAGTAGAGGAGTCAGATGATTCTAAGTAGAGGAGTCAGATGATTCTAAGTAGAGGAATCAGATGATTCTAAGTAGAGGAGTCAGATGATTCTAAGTAGAAGAATCAGATGATTCTAAGTAGAGGAGTCACATGATTCTAAGTAGAGGAGTCAGATCATTCTAAGTAGAGGAGTCAGATCATTCTAAGTAGAGGAATCAGATGATTCTAAGTAAAGGAATCAGATGATTCTAAGTAGAGGAGTCAGATGATTCCAAGTAGAGGAATCAGATGATTCTAAGTCGAGGAATCAGATGATTGTAAGTGGAGGAGTCAGATAATTCTAATTAGAGAAGTCACATCATTCTAAATAGAGGAGTCAGATCATTCTAAGTAGAGGAGTCAGATCATTCTAAGTAGAGGTGTCACATCATTCTAAGTAGAAGAGTCAGATCATTCTAAGCAGAGGAGTCACATGATTCTAAGTAGAGGAGTCACATGATTCTAAGTAGAGGAATCAGCTGATTCTAAGTAGAGGAATCAGATCTACATCTACAAACATGTAACGATAAACGGGGCTCCACCCAATCACTTAAACACTTACAGATGATTTCGCATTTACTAATCGTCGAACTTCTTCTGCTGATATCGAGTTAAGTAAAGCCTGAAGGACGTCATTGTTGCCAGATCTTGCACAGTAATGGACACAAGTTTCTTTTGTCTGAATAATTAAAAACATAATTTAAAGAAAATGCAAAACGTTCAAATAAAGTTAAAGTTTTTAGCGTACATCCACGGTTTCCAGTCTAGGATTTCCGCCATGCTTCAGTAAAAGATTCGCTGCTTTTAAGTCCAGCTCACCAGTCTCCTCATTCGTTGTCAGTTTGCTGACGTAATGTAACGGAGTCTCTCCTTTCTAAACCAAACACAGGCATGTTACAACTAGTGTATTTTGTAAAAGTCCGGCAAGCAGACAAATACCTGTCTTTTACAACCTCTCAAAAACTCACACTTACTGAGGGCGACATAAAAATTGCACTCTTTTTAATCGTGCTGTGCACCGGAGTACCGGAGGCCGGAGCTCCTGCTATTTTGCCTCGGAGACCGGAGTTTGTTCATCTCCGGCAAAACTCCGGCAGTAGTCGTTTGTGCTGCAAAATACTGTCAAACTTTGTTAAACGTGTCTGATCAAAACATTTTTGTATCAACGAACGATAACTATCGGCTAAAATTGAAAAACTTGCATGAAAATAAAACACTTTATGCATGAAACAACATGACGCTAGATTGCGTTAACACATGCTAATTTATGTTTCAAAGTCGGAGTGCGGAAATTTAACTTTACATATAAAAATTTTACAAATAATATTTCATAAACTGTTGAACAGTGTCTTGATAAATTAAACAGCCACGACCAGTGATTCGAGTTATGAAATAGCCAGAGTTTGAAACCGGAATTCAGATTTGATAAGGGGCCGGAGCCGGAGATGAAAACCGGTGTTTGCACAGTCCTACTTTTCAATTAATGGCAAAGTCGTTTTTCCATCGATGGCAAGATTTAATGCTGAAGCATTTTCAATCAAGCAATCAGTAGAGTTGAAATACCATTTGTACATAAATATGAGGTGATTTTGGATCCCCAGTCAGTGAATGTGAGTGAGCTTAGAATATGGGCAAAAAGAACATTGTTCTTAAAGAAACAGTTCAAATCATTAAAAAATACTGTCTGTCTTTGCAGTAAGAGTAGGATAAACATGACATATTGAGCAAGCAACTGCTTGAAGATAAACTCTCAATTAAATAAACGATCCCAATGACAATAGTGAATGAAGTCATCAATGAACGATGCCATAAAGCATGTGACCAGCTTGTGAAAAACAAACAAATCTTCCTCACAGTAAAATGAATTGGAGAATAATCTAGATCCTTTAAGCACATGTAGTAAAGAAATTTCTTACTTTGTTCGGTGAATTGACTATAAACTTGACACCATGGGTAAGGTTCAGATTAGATTTCATGACATGATTGACTAACACCGCAGCAATGTCGAAAAACGAATTCTCGACAGCGATGTGTAAAGGTATCTCTCCTTTCTGCAAAAGACATCGTATATCATCATGCTCAAGATGATTTGACTGTATTGAAAAAAAGAAATGAACTCCATGAAAATAACTGATCTGTATTGTAGTAAAGTATTGCCAAGACTTTGCTTAAGTTTAACCTCGCGAGGTCTCTGACGTTTAGACTCTAACCTGTGATTTCCTTGCAGCATTGGCGCCTTCAGACAAGAGGAGTTCTATCATGGAGATATTGTTGTTTCTCGTTGCTATGTGAAGCGATGTTTCTCCGTTCTAAAAAACATGGTAGAGAAGGTTACAGCAAACGCTCTTAAATAGCTAGTTAAAAAGAATATGGCTAATGACAGTATAACATACACTTGTCTATGGTTGATGACAGTATAACATACACTTGTCTATGGTTGATGACAGTATAAAATATGCTTCTCTATGGTTGATGACAGTATAACATACACTTCTCTATGGTTGATTACAGTATAACATACACTTCTCTATGGTTGATGACAGTATAACATACATTTCTCTATGGTTGATGACAGTATAACATACACTTCTCTATGGTTGATGACAGTAAAACATACACTTCTCTATGGTTGATGACAGTATAACATACACTTCTCTATGGTTGATGACAGTATAACATACATTCTCTATGGTTGATGACAGTATGACATACACTTTTCTATGGTTGATGACAGTATAACATACACTTCTCTATGGTTGATGACAGTGTAACATACACTTCTCTATGATTGATGACAGTATAACATACACTTCTCTATGGTTGATGACAGTATAACATACACTTCTCTATGGTTGGTAATACATGAAACTAACCCTAACCTTAAATCTTATAGCTTGAAACAACAGTATTACAATAAATTCTCACCTCTTGGGGTACATCAACATTCGCTCCACTCTTCAATAACATTTCAGCGACCTCAGTACCATCTTTATAATGTGCAGCTATATGCAAAGGCGTTTCTTCAAGCTTAAGAAAGAACAAATTGTAAAAATTTCAGCCAACCTAGAATTTAAAGCAAAACCTACATCACAAGAAAGAGTGTTTTAAAACACCTTACCATCCCCCCTTTAAGATGCACATTTGCTCCGTAGCCCAGAAGAGTCTGCACTACTTTTGGCTTGCGGTGTTGCACGGCAATATGTAGTGCAGTATACAGATCCTGAAACATAATATACTTCATGATATATCGGTAAACATTGCACAATAAATGTTGACTGTGACATTAAAAAGGAAAGAGTATAGTTGCCAATCAATACTATCATAATCTTAAAAAGAAATGATGTTGAAATGATTACTTTGCCAATTGTTAAACTATTTTAATGAAATTTCTACAAATGAGGATAAAAGAGATAATGTCGACGTCAAAGAGTAAGATTAATCAGCGGATAATAAAGGACGTCATTTCAACCACGACAAAAAACATTTCACGAACCTTCGTTTTACAATCAACCTGTGCGCCCTTATTTAGAAGAGTCTCAACGACACCCACGTGACCACAAATGACAGCTGCGTGTAGCGACACCTCACCAGCCTTCATAAAATGAGTTTATAAATGCAATGCAAACATATGAACCAATAAAAACAACTCTTACAAGATATTAACCAATAAAAATAACTCTTACAAAATATGAACCAATAAAAACAACTCTTACAAGATATGAACCAATAAAAACAACTCTTACAACAAATCAACCAATAAAAACAACTCTTATAACATATTAACCAATAAAAATAACTCTTACAAGATATCAATCAATAAAAACAACTCTCGCCAGATATTAACCAATGAAAACAACTCTTACAAAATATTAACCAATAAAAATAACTCTTACAAGATACTAACCAATAAAAACAACTCTTATAACATATCAACCAATAAAAACAACTCTTACAAAATATTAACCAATAAAAACAACTCTTACTCACTTTATTCGGCATATGAAGAGGAACACGTTTGTTTAGTAATGCTAAAACAGTATTTGTATGACCATTTTGTGCAGCGATATGAAGGAGTGTATTGCCAGACTATAATCAAATGAATCTTGTCAAGTTAAACGCGCACGGTAAGTACTGGTACCAAGTGGCCAGCCCGCACAGTTAGTCATTTCTATAGCAGGACTGAAACAGGGCTGACTATGCCACTTCCGGTACCGACACTTCACGATTGGCTAAACGACTACTGCTGTAAAAACAGTTATTTTAAAATATCACAGGGTGTAATTTCTGGTCATCATCGTAATTTTTAAGAGTTTACAATTAAAATCAAAATGGACGTGAATTTTCGTCATTTTGAACGTGTTGAAGGAGAGTTATGTTATTAACACTTCTGTGCTCGTAAATCACGTATATTGAAAATCGTTTCCTGAAACAACTTCAGAGGACAGCCCTTCTCAGAATTGTATTGCCTGTGAACACTATAGGTTATTGTGGTGATAATGATGGATAATAAGGATTCACTGTGGCTTGTTGAGGTGATAATGATGGATAATAAGGGATTCACTGTTGTTTGTTGAAGAGATAATGATTGATAATAAGGATTCACTGTGGCTTGTTGAGGTGATAATGATGGATTATAAGGGATTCACTATTGTTGGTTGAAGAGATAATGATTGATAATAAGGGATTCGTTGTTGCTTGTTGCGGTGATGTTAATTGATTGTAAGGGATTCACTGTTGTTGGTTGAAGAGATAATGATTGATAATAAGGGATTCGTTGTTGCTTGTTGCGGTGATGTTAATTGATAATAAGGGATTCACTGTTGTTGGTTGAAGAGATAATGATTGATAATAAGGGATTCGTTGTTGCTTGTTGCGGTGATGTTATTGATAATAAAGATTCACTGTTGTTGGTTGAAGAGATGATTGATAATAAGGGATTCGTTGTTGCTTGTTGCAGTGATATTAATTGATAAGGATGCGTCATAAAAAAAAATTAAATGTACATAATTACCTTGGAACGAAAATTAATATCGACATTTACTTTATCCACAAGATATTCAACAATTCCTGAAAATCCTCTTTCAGCTGCAATGTGTACGGCAGTTCGATCAAACTGTACAAGATAAAGATGTTTTGAATTAATACTTCCATCGTATTCCTTACATTTCAAAAATGGTTTAAACTTATAGAAAAAATACTAAAGATTGTTTTATGCAGTGCGGTGTTTGAAATTGAATGAAGATATGATCTTCGCACTTTTGCTGGACTATTTAAGCAATTGTCTTATGAACCTGAAAAATTCAGGTGACTCAACGGGATTCGAACCCGTGACCTCTGGGGTGCCGGTACAGTGCTCTGACCAACTGAGCTATGAAGTCACACAGTGGAAAAAACACTGAAAATAATCATCCCCTCAGTAAGTTGAACAGGAAACCATTTTACAAACAAACGAATACCGCTGTCGATTGAGAACGATGTAGATTTTAGCAAAATCATTACATACTCTACCTTGTCTTGTATATCAGCAAACATTTTGTTAGATGAGCATAATAATTTTATCATTGCTTCCTGTCCTTCGTACGCAGCTATATGTAATGCCGTTTGACCATCATTCTGGAAGATGGAAAACAGTAAAAGACATTATAAATGAATGAATGAAAGAATGAATGAAAATCTTTATTTTGAAACGCTGGCCTCGTCAACTGGGGTTGATTTCCACGAGGGGCGTGCTTTTGGTCAAAAACAATTGGCTGACTTGGGTTAATGAAAAATTTACGTAAAGTTAAGACTAAAGTGATAAATCTATTTTTAACATGTCAAAATATTGATTTCCAACGAAATGAAGATTTATTCAATAATCCACATCCCTATTTAAAGCCCTCCCCCATCCGCCATAGAAAAAATCCTAAAACACTATTTCATAGTACATAGTATTTGAGACTACATTTCCTATAACACACAGCTTTCCAACCAATCAGAATCGACTAAGATTCGTCATTAAAGACACGCGAGATTAAACTATGCGATCTGATCTTTGAAAAGTCGTCTCAAGCACCTTACATTTTTTAGATTTACGGCAGAGCCAGAGTCCAATAATATTCTTGCAACATCCACGTTTTTTTTCCGTGCACAACAATGCAATGCTGAATCACCAGAATCCTGAAAAAAACCATGAAAATAAACATTGAATAAATTAAAAACAAATAATAATATAAAAATGATTAAATACTTTTTTAACAATCTTTAATTGTTCCTTTGCTTTGCTGTCCAATAATTCTCGAACGACCAGCTTGTTTCCACTTTCCACTGCCAAAAGAAGAGGAGTTTCGCCCGCCTGTAATGAAACACAAAACAACAATTAGTAGAATACAGGTTAACTTGTCAAAGAAAGAGATTTTTTATTCCGCAAAAATCTATTTAGACGTTTCAACAATAGCGTTTTATAAAGAAATTTTATGGCGCTGTGTTTCATTTGCTTGAAAAGAAAGGAGAGGAAGCTGTGTACCTTCAAAACACACACAGGAAAACGTAGCGTTCGACTTATATTCATTTCAATGCCCGCGCATTCATGACAAATCTCAATTATGCATTATGCAACAATGTGTACAACTTTAAAGGTCAAAAGCCCATCATAGGAGCCACAAAAAAAGCAAATCTTACAGCATCTGTAATTAGCTTCGCTTCTTCGCCATTGTCTTTCACCAATAATTTCACAATCGCAAAAGCGTGTGAGCTGTGAGTACATGCAAGATGTAATGGAGTCTGACCTTCGTCCTACAAAAAAAGAACACAAAACAGACTGAACAGCAAGACTAAAAAAACCGAAAAATCGAACATGTTTCAAATCCATATACACGGAAATATAACGATGAGAAAACTGCTTTTAAAATATTTCCCAAATAATTGAACGTGAAGGAACTTACGTTTGTCGTTAAAACTAAATCCTTTTGTTGTGATACTAGAAATTTGACTATGGGTTCGGAGCCGGACAACGCGGCATAATGAAGACACGTCATTCCGTGCTAAATAAACGTTTACATGAAGTTCACGTTTTCATGAAAAATACAAAATCGTCACAAAATCAGAAAAAAACAAAATTCCAGAACGTCTAACCATATCAGTTTCTGAAACCGAAGCTCCTTTTTCAAACAGTTTTTGAACAACGCGATAATTTCCTTCTTTACAGGCGACCATCATTGATGTCAAATCGCTTACCTAAATTTTGAATGAATGATAATCTTTAATAGACCAAAATCAATGAAATCTTGCAAATCTCTTCATAAAATTGAACATTTTTATCATCAACTAGTTTCGATAAGAACTACAACGAGATCGTCATTCGCAGAATACGACAGCTTTTGAAAATTACTATTGTAAATAACATGACAATTTTTTATTCATTCAACGTCATTATCATAATACTTAACGGTAAATTTTCAGTTCATAGGAAGCGCTCGCATTTGGAGGATTTCCCGCGATTATCGAACGTTAAATATGCTCAAAACTCGTGATGATTTCACAATTTAATAACTTAGCAGGCAGATTTAATAAGCAACGAGTATGTTGGTGGAAATCTTTACAATCCTGTGGCTACATGATTATGAACATCTGAGAGGGCGGTTGTTACCATCGTGATTTTGTGGAAAATCATCACAAAAGCGTTCGCGAAGATGAATTTTAAGTATTTATGCATGCGTAAAAAGAGCGTCTATATAAGTCTTTATATTTCAATGACACGATGACAAGAAGTACTTGAATGAAACTCTTAGAATGAAAATATTTACCTTTTACAGAAAGTCAAAGTTTATTCTTTTATGAAGATACTACTTGGAAGTCATAATTTTTTTCCTAACCAACAACACAGAATATTTAAAACATACCGCAGACTTCTTCCTAGAGCTTCGTCCTTCGTTTTGTTCGACATCAGAATTGCCAGCGACATCTTCATCAAGACCGTTTTCTTTCGAAGTTAATGTAGTTGATACAGTACTTGGAGAAGTTTCGTCATTATTTTTCTCATCATCAGAATGAAGCATTTCGCCAGTTTGCAAAACAGAACTGGACACAGAAGATTTCTCAACGTCTGAATCGGCTTTCTCCAAATCTTCAGAAGTCTGGTCTGTACTCAGGTCGTCACCGCCGTCCAAATGTTGAAATGCATGGACTTTTATTAAAACATTTGACGCAGGCTCTTTTGATGATATATTATCACCAAGATAATCATGACTGGCACTTCCTAATTCCGAGGGCATTTTGCCCGCATCAGACAAATTTGCTTCTTCCATAATGAAGAATTTCGTGTTCCCACTGACGAAAAACAAAAGAAATTATCAAAACAGCACTTGAACATGATTACAACAACAAGAAGTCGGAAATGTTGTTGCATAAGCTGAGTTCTGAGAAAATACACAGTTCTTTTCACATGCCACTAATCAATAACAGGTGAAATAATATTTATACATCGTGCAGAGAGGCTCTACTCTCTGTTTTTTTTTTATGAAAATACGTTCTCTGAAAAATTGATGAGTTCAGTATTGCAGTCAAATATGTTTTTAATTGCGTCGCAGACTTTATAAACTACCCTCGTTCAACAGTCGAGAAATAGAAAGAAATGTAAAATGATTTCTTCATATGCAAAGAGCAAGAAAAGTTTTTCGTTTATATTTTACAATGATATCAAAGTGTTTTTAAATTTTTCGCCTTAATAACTACACGTGAAACAGCATGTTGGTAAACAAAATCTAGCGGATATTAAGAAATTGAAATATTGAGGAGTTCAGGAGATAAAATTTAGTCAAATTAAATTACTAAGCAATTATAGGAAGGCACGTTTCTGTGTAAATTAAAACAAGAGCGACGTGCTTTTGAAACGGCGACATTCAACATCACGGCGTGTATGTAGAAGAAGACTACCAGACGTTTAAGTGAATCTGTTTATGAAAAAGACGAGGCAAAGAAACACCACAAAATATAAAGCAGTCTTTTACTGCCCTTTGAAGCATTATAAACGACTGCGAAATATAACAGACTAACCTCAAGTAAACAGCGATATTCAGTGTTTAGTATAGTCAGCGATAACAGCAATGGTCAGTGTTTAAAACTAATCTAAATGGGAAAAAAAATCACTGGTGTAATGAAATTATACGTCAGAATTTCAGGGATAAAATCGTCCATCATACCTTAACAAACTTCCACTTCTTTAATGTTACAAGCCAAATGATAAATTTGCCGTGATCGTCAACTCTTTATATCTGTCAAAATATGAAAAACGTAATGCAGACGTGAGCAAGGAAATAATTGAATGCAAATAATCAGAGTAGGCAGTCAAATGTCGTCAGTTTCAAGTGGTCATATACATAAGTTCCTCTTCAAATTTTCAGACCAGTGTATGAGAATATAAGTCATATTTTTGGTGATTTATGTTTAAAACAAGCACTTCTTACCAGAGAAACTTTTCTCTGTCGAGCAATCTATAAATGAGTCGTTGATCTTTTCTGCAACGCCTCTTATTTCTACAACGAAATGAACGAAAAACTATGTTGTCTAAAATCTTCGAGTTGGCTTTTATAATATAACCGTAGGGGTAGCAAACAACTGGTGGTTAAGTTATAAATTACACATCTAAACATGCCCACATTACAAAAAAACTGCAGGATTCAATAAATAAACCAATAGAATGCATATGCTCGCTTCGTTTCCATACGATGCACTACACGCTTCCAAAGCTTTAGGCGTATCTTTCGCTATGAAGCTTTAAACAATTTTCTTTCATGTAAGGGTGAACACGTAGCTTTTACGTATGGTACGGAATTTGTTAAGTAGCTACACCTTATGGTTCGTAATTTGTTAAGTAGCTACACCTTATGGTTCGGAATTCGTTAAGTAGCTACACCGTATGGTTCGGAATTTGTTAAGTAGCTACACCGTATGGTTTGAATTTGTTAATGATGAAGTGTTGTCTTGAATGCTGTCATAAAGAACATGTTTTCATACGCAACAACTACAAGTTAGGCATTTAAAATAAACGACAAAATTTTTTATCCTAAACATGTTTCGACTTCCGTTAAGTCATCCTCAGTATAAGAATGAAATAAAGTTATTTACAATGCTGAATTTATCATAGGATGCATGATACGTGTTAATCAGTAAAAGGAAAAGGTGTGATAAAATATTAGTGATATTTACACGGCAAATATCATAAGTGTGACAGAGACAAAGTTGAATATTACACTCAATTTTCTCTAAACTCAAATAAGCCTAACACACACGCAAACAAAAACCCGATCTTAACAAACAAATTCAACATTTCAACACTATTTTCCAACAGCACGATTGAAATTATACATTTAACATAAACGACAACTTTTTTAAAATTTTTTATTGCAAACATGTTTCGGCAAACTTATGCCATTTCTAGTGCGGTATAATGAATGAATATTTGAATGGAGTTAATATATAAATAAATCTGATGCTGTATAAACAAAAGGGATGGAGACGTCTGTATAAACAGACGTCTGTATAGACAAAGGGATGGAAACGGAAATTTATTTACAATTATGTAGTGATTAGAAATGTCACGTAATTACAAGTTAAAGATAGTATTGACATGCTGAACTCCTTCTTTAAAACTAAAAGAAGCACTGTACATGAAAAAACTCAAGCCTAATCTTAACAAACAAATTTTCCAATTGGAAATATTCAAATTTGTCTCTATCACACTCATGATATTTGCCATGTAAATATCACTAATATCACATCATTTCCTTTTAGTAATTAACACGTATCAAGCATCCTATTATAAATTCAGCATTGTACACAATTTTACTTCATTCTTATACTGAAGGTGACTTAATGGAAGTCGGAACATGTTTATGATAAAAATTTTTGTCGTTTATTTCAAATGCCTAATAAGTGTTGTGCTTCTGAGGATCATATGGAGCCACAAGTTAACTTTCCCCTTGTTTTAAGGCCAATATAACGCATCAAACCATATTGGGTTTACGTCACAAGAACGTCCGTCACCTTTTCATAATCAACTCACGTCTATTTGGCATAAAAACCTCTTGATGATCAAATACCTAGATCCACGCTGCATTCTTGTTTTATTCGCCAGTAGACATGTGTGTTTAACGTAGAAATAAAGACCATAGCTTCAAAAGATTCAAAGTGTGGTGAGGGGGTAAATTCTTGTACTTGCCCCCCCCCTTCTGCCGAAGTCCGTGGGTGTAGTGTGGTTATATTAATGCATTCTCAAGTGCAAATGGAGAGAAAATTTGCATCGTAAAATCGACCATTTTTAGTAAAAGGCAGGTGTAATGTAAATACAGTCAGTCCACTATTTAAGCGTCCACCCCCTTGCTAGAAGATCAGCTTAGTGGGCGGTTGATGCAGGTACGCAAAAAAAAATGCTTTATTATTTTAACCAGGAATATACCGGGCGAAAAGCGAATTCTTGATATAAAGCCCAGCGAAGTGCTTTTAAAAGAGCCATTTAATACAAAATAACATATAAAAAGAAATATTTATTTAGAAGACAAGACGAAACGTTACGCTTCTAAATAATATTTCTTTTGATATTTGTATTAAATAATCTTTCTTCTTCTGAAGCTGATATTACATTAAGAAATGCTTCATTATCAATCATTGACTAGAATTAACAGTTTGACTTATTTCACAGGTTAAAAATAACAATTTAAAGATTTTCGAATGGAAACATGTTCTCTTCAAATGCATTAACTCTTAAGACTCCGTAAGCTAAAAATAGTCTCGACTTGCATTAACTGCTGCAGTGGGGGATAACTTTCGCTGTCGAGAATATCATAATGAAACTTATTTAAGAGTACGTTTATCCGTTAATGGAGCAGGCCAAGTATCGCAGTTGCTTTAGCAATGCTTGCACCAACAAACTAATTTCATGATTTTGTAAATCTAGTTCGAAATCTTCATCGCTTGCAAGTATTTTCTTCAAAACTCCTCAACACAGTTTCCCCTAATCAAAACATAAGCTGTCGGCTTAATAGTGGCAACAATTGATAAAAAACATCATTTGGTATGCTTTTTGGATAGGTGGTCACAAACAACAACACAAATTCACATGAACAAGAATATTTTGAAATATTTATTCAATTATTAATCGTAAGCGGGAAACTCGAACACGACATCCTTTCCAGTTAACTTTTTGTATACGCCAGAGAACGTCTCGAGCTGAAACAGATAATTTTAAAAAAAATGGCGACACGCATTGCATTATGGAAAATCAACAGGTACAAAACGTACAACGAAGAAAGTCGAACACGCAAAAAGTGGTCGCAACGAACACGCAAAAAGTGATCGCAACGAAGGGTTTTGAGCATAGATATAGTAGGTCTAGATCGCTGACGAGTGTGACGCAATATAAGACTTATTAAGACGGCAGCGCGACATTCATGATAAATCCAAGATGGCGCGGGAACCGGGCAAAAAACTTGGGGCTACTATTAGGCAATTGTTTTTTTTGCAGTTTACTTCGTTTCAGTGTTTTCAAACTCCTCCAATCAAGTTTTATTGGAAACAAAGCGTTATTAATAATGTTTTGAAGCCATATTGGACAATTATTATTGGAATACGTGCGAAAATATTGCTTGCGAAGTGTTGTGTAAATTGGTCGTTTGGTTGTCTCGAGGCGTTTGTCTACCAAAATAAACGGATTTCGTCTGCTTTACCTCCCATACTGGTTCGTCCTCGTTGAAATACATCATATTGAATACATACAAAAAGATGGGAAAATTAATCTTCATATTTTTTACATAAATTTCACTTCAAGATGCTATTCGTTCTTTCATTCTTCAAATATGTGTTGGCACTTAACAGACACAGTCATAATCGTTTCCAAAAAGGATGAGTTTTGTCAGCTTTTGTCGCTTAGATGGCACTTCTTTACAAACTATTCTCTCGGAGTAGAGTTTGGAGAACTGGTGTACAAATATTTTACTGTAAACATGTATGTAACTGAAAACTGTAACTGTATGGCAATTTTCTTTACACGTAAAATTTCATGTATTGAATGGTGAAATATCCGTAATTTTTTATCTTCTTTACTTATCTTTGTACATAGGTGTCATAAAATGAACCAACTGAGCAGTATGATACAGTCTTTGTTTTGCAAGTCATTAGTTGTATGTTAACAATATGATGCAAATTAGACATTCTTAGTTAAAATTGTACTGGCATTGTAGAAGAAAAACAAATAATAATAATAACATGATAATAATAATAATTAGATTTATTTAATAAGGATAACCTCCTCAGTTTAGAAACAACTGGTGTCAAGGATGGTGTTTGTAGCTATAGCATAATAAAAACATATACTATAACAAAGTATATTGAGCATATAAGTCACATATATTTTATTCACAGCTACATCTTATAATAATCTGGGCCATAGCCAGCATTTTCATTTGGTCATGCTATCCTAATGCCGCTGTGTTCACTGACTGTAAAAACAAGAGATTCTTAATGAAATGAACAATGATGCAGTGAAATTTACATAGCAACAGTAAAATTCAGTCTGGCTATGCCACCGATGATATCTATATCAAATATTTCATAAGATAATATATAAATTTAATGAACACCTTAGCTCTGGTAAAAAAATAACTACTTTATACAGAGCTTTATAACTCTCTCCAAAAATTGTATTGTAACAGTATCTTGAGTTATGCGTTTGAATGTTACTATGTCAGATTTTGAAATAAACAGTAATATAACAAGCTACTGAACATATGTTTCCTTCTCTTTCGTATAACAACTTAGCTGTAAGATCTCATCAGTATAGCCAATGAGATGAGGCAAGTTTTCTTCAGTTACGTTTCCCAACATTAACAGCTTTTCTAAGATCTAGTCAGTAAACAATAGTGCTGCAGTGTTATGTATCTCCTTGCTCCTCTCTTCATTCATTCAAAATCGAATGGCCTTGCTAAACTGTGGATGAATCTCACATATCAGTATGAGTACAGTGGGAGTACCTTCGTAAATAAATTGCTTTTTTGTCATAAATGCTCAGATTGATTTTCCCATCTTTCTATAAATTGTCAATATGATATTTTTCAATGCGTAACAAACCAGTATGGGAGCTAAAGCTGACAAAATCTGTTTATTTTAGTGGATGAACGACTTGAGACAACCAAACGACCAATTTACACAATACTTCGAAAGTGATATTTTCACCCGTTTTTCAATTATAACTGTCCAAAATGGTTTCAAAACACTTGAAATAAATAGTTGTTTCCAATAAAACTTCATCGGAAGAGTTTGAAAACAATGAAAAGAAGTAAATTGCGAAAAACATCAATTGCCCTGTAGTGACTCTATGTTTTTTGCCCGGTTCCCACGCCATCTTGGATTTATCATGGATGTCACGCAATATGGCGGCTCGTCAGTAATCTAGACCTACTATATCCATTGAGCTCTATAAGACCTGGAGGGGCAAAGGGGCCTGGGCCTCGTGGTCAAAAACATGGCGGTAATGGCGGATTTTGGTGGTCAAAACTTCCACTTTAAAAATTTTTTTCAATATTCACTCCCTCCTGATTTCTAATACTGTTTGTATGGACGAAAACAAGTGAGAAAAAAAACAATTACGATACCGACAGCATATCATGTGAAAATAATGCTTCAGCATTGCGTGAAAAACACAGTACAGACACACATCAAAATAAAGAAGATCGACGGTAGAGGAACGCATATTTTGGATGTAACATTTAAGTTATTTTATGACATTTTAGCCTTTTAAAAGTGAAAGTCAAACGGCATTCTTTACTAGACCTGTCAATCTCGTCAAACTTATACATTATTTCATGCTTTTGTGTGTTTGACTGTTTGTCAACAGTTTGGTGCACCTATTTTTCTTGCTTCAAATGGATAAATCTGTGTAAAAATGCTCCTAAGGAAGCGAGAAAATGTTTGCTTCAGTCCTACGACATAAGTCAACTAAAAATTTACCATGGTTAAGTATCATAAGTGTATTGTCATTACCTGATAAATCTACTGAAAACTCATAAAGAAAGTATGTTGAACTAGAAGAGCTACAAAAAAGAAAAAAATTCAAAACACCATGACACTGTTGCTTGGTAATTTGTATTTTGTAAACAGCTTGGCAGAATCTTGGATCTATTACTGAACAGAACTACATTAATTTTCCATTGAAATTACAAACTTGGAAACTAAAGTGCATTGGTTTCTCTGACAAAACACTGTCTATTGCTGCATGAAGGCAAAATAGTTATCTGACAGTGTAGGTGAAGAAATTTATCAAGTTCTATAGATATTATTGTGCATTACTTACAGTTTTGGAATTGTGTAATATATGTCATGAACAAGATATAATTTTTCAAAATGCTAACCCTTCTAGCACTACTACTCTTCTGTTTTGCTTAAACAACTTACAGCTACCAATACTAATTATTTATATGTACAAACTAACATTTGGGGATTAAATGATAAACAACTTGTTAAATCTTTGTATTTTACATCAAGCCTTTGAATTAGTTCCTTTTATCTCTTGGTAAAAAAAAATATTAATGAAAGACTTACAAATCAAGTTTCTCGAAAATAGTATTTTGTACAAAGAAACTAAATAATTGGAAAGGTCACATGTTGAAGACAGACTTTGCTTCTTTGACTAGGTTGCTTGACCATGAGCAAATTTAAATTTGTTTACAATTTGTTTAAAGAATTCTTTTTATTGATTTCTACTAATTCTTCATAAGACACAAAGAATTTCTTTGCCATCTATTTTTGCTTCTTCTACATTCATCTTCATTGTAACCAATGCATTCGATGTGATCACCTGGAATCATACCAAGTATGGATTTAATGAGATGAGACAATAATATGTTTAAATTTTCATGCATATTAATGATATAATCATAAGCTACTGTTGAACAAAAATTTCAAGGTAGAAACAAATCTAAGCACATTGTTCAACACACTACTTTTATCTTGGTTTTGAAGTAGTAACCTGTTTACTATAACAATAAATATTTCATTTACAGAAACGCTAAGTAGTACTTTAATACTGTTTGCATAAATCCAACTTTCCAATCACATTATAATTGTCTACACTATACAGTCAGTCAAATTGAGCAGGCAAACAGTTTAATAGTTATTTTTATTATACAACATATACCATAGTTCTCATTAATTTTGCATGGCACTGCATTCAATTTCAACACAACTCTGTTGTAAACTTTCCCTTCATCTTTTCAAAAAAAACATGAACAAATTATGCCCCATTTTTGGGAGGTAAACTCAATTCAAACCAGGAGAGTTTAGCTTGATGCCTTGATCATGATACAAGATGGATGCAAAACTCGATAAAAATTGACAGCTTCGAACCGTCTGGCGAGCGATTAAGTGAAGAACAAACAAGACTGGACCAAAATAACTTTAAATTAAAACTTAGTAGTAGAAACACTCTTCAAGTATCGTGTTAAAAACAAAATAGTAAAACTAATACTGTGCTACTTACCGGAGTCATGAAATGTTTCCTTTTCTGTTGCTATTTCAGCGTCCGCAAACCACAGAAGCTGGCAATTTAATAAATAAATTTTAAAAAAGTGTTTATGTTAGGAAAATAAAAAGTTTTGATATTTTCTATACTCGCAATTGTGGTGGTCAAATCAGGGTGGGCGACAAAATTTTTATTTCATGAGCCCGCGTCTCTCCGCTGACTTTTACCACCAAAATCCGCCATGTTTTTGACCACGCGGCCGCGCGCTAATAATTTATACTAATTTTGTTGACGTTTCCCCTCCAGTTATTATAGAACTCAATGACTATATCTATGGTTTTGAGTTAACCGTGATAAAAAATGGCGACACGCATTGCATTATGGGAAATCAACAAGTACAAAACGTACAACGAAGAGTCGGAACACGCGAAAAATGGTCGCAACGAACACGCAAAAGTGGTCGCTGGCGAAGAGTTTTGAAATAACCGTGATAAAAAATGGCGACACGCATTGCATTATGGGAAATCAACAAATTACAAACGTACAGCAGAAGATAACGAAAGGCTATTGTCGTCGACTCATGGATGATATTAAAAGATTCGGGGCAGTTTATTAAAAGTTTGAAAACGGCCCAAATCAAATTCACTAAAATTACTTCGATTTACTGTATGAAAAGGGCAAAGATATTGCCTGTTTTTGGTAATCGACAAAACAACCAACAAATAAAATAAAATTTATTGCCAAAAATTATTATCAAACAACGCTCTCGAGTTCTTATTTAACCACAACGAACACCGTCACCATTTATTGTCTTTAATTGTGTTGTCATTTGCGAAGACACGTGTAAACTAAACCGATACACTTTTTTCCTTTTTTTTCTAATCAATAAACCCCAAAACAAGAAACAAAGTCAGCTTTTAAGGTATGGTATTCAAGTAAGGAAACGTGGAGGTTGAATATAGAAAGATTTCAACGTTAAAACATTCAATTCAAAGCTTTCATTGTCATGTTTACATAATGAATTAACGTATTTTCTTACGAAAAACATCTCTTAACTTAACCACTAATAAACTGGATAACGCGCCTTCCACTGACATGTATAATAAACTGGATAACGCGCCTTCCACTGACATGTATAATAAACTGGATAACGCGCCTTCCACTGATATGTATCATAAACTGGATAACGCGCCTTCCACTGATATGTATCATAAACTGGATAACGCGCCTTCCACTGATATGTATCATAAACTGGATAACGCGCCTTCCACTGACATGTATAATAAACTGGATAACGCGCCTTCCACTGATATGTATAATAAACTGGATAACGCATCTTCAACTGATATGTATCATAAACTGGATAACGCGCCTTCCACTGACATGTATAATAAACTGGATAACGCGCCTTCCACTGATATGTATAATAAACTGGATAACGCGCCTTCCACTGATATGTATCATAAACTGGATAACGCGTCTTCCACTGATATGTATAATAAACTGGATAACGCGCCTTCCACTGACATGTATCATAAACTGGATAACGCGCCTTCCACTGACATGTATAATAAACTGGATAACGCGCCTTCCACTGACATGTACAATAAACTGGATAACGCGCCTTCCACTGATATGTATAATAAACTGGATAACGCGCCTTCCACTGATATGTATAATAAACTGGATAACGCACCTTCCACTGATATGTATCATAAACTGGATAACGCGCCTTCCACTGACATGTATAATAAACTGGATAACGCGCCTTCCACTGATATGTATAATAAACTGGATAACGCGCTTTCCACTGATATGTATCATAAACTGGATAACGCGTCTTCCACTGACATGTATAATAAACTGGATAACGCGCCTTCCACTGATATGTATAATAAACTGGATAACGCGCCTTCCACTGACATGTATCATAAACTGGATAACGCGCCTTCCACTGACATGTATAATAAACTGGATAACGCGCCTTCCACTGACATGTATAATAAACTGGATAACGCGCCTTCCACTGACATGTATAATAAACTGGATAACGCGCCTTCCACTGATATGTATAATAAACTGGATAACGCGCCTTCCACTGACATGTATAATAAACTGGATAACGCGCCTTCCACTGATATGTATAATAAACTGGATAACGGGCTTCCACTGATATGTATAATAAACTGGATAAAGCATCCACATATAAAATATAGAACGAAAAAAGACAATAGATACTGGGCTCATTTGCATATTTTTCTACCGTTACACTTTGCTTCAATTTTGTAGTGCAAATTTACAATTTTTTAATTTCAACACATTGTTTATTCACAAAAAAATACAAACGAAAGGAAAGACAGAGTGCAAAGCATTTAAATGCCAAAGTATAGGAAAGTGAGACTGCTAAAACGTACGCAAATGAATCAACTTCCGGCTTCAATTTTCCCGCCACAGTCATCATCCAGTCATATATACATATCAGTGATCAATTCTCCCATCATTCATTGCGTGCATAACTTAACAGCTGAACTGAAAATTTTTTCATTTCAAAAACAACCTTTCATGTTTCAGAAAACGTCAATCAGTCACCATAAATCAGACAGGGGGGGCGACAATTGCTTCATCATCAACTCAATTTAAGAGGGAAAGACATAATTTTTATCTGTTTCCATGTCCCATGACAACATACCTTATGTTCAACGTTTGTCTGTTGGCTTTTATCTAAAAACCTACACACAAAAGCGTACATAAAACATCAATTAGGACCACAAAACTAAATAAAAAAATTTCCACCAATTCAACTTGGAATTCAATCTGTTTTTAAAGCAAATTAAACAGCAAATTTACAAGCAAAACACGTTCTTTCCACTGGCTTCAAAAATATGAATATACACTTAACATTGCGTGTAATAATATTCTTTGTTTAAACCAACTGTTTATGCCAAATCAAATTTATTATGCCACCCCCGTTTAGTAAGCAACATTAAAATAATCCTATAGAAAATGTTACATCTAAACGTTGAAGTTTTAATACTAACGCTTTAATCAATCTTGAGCCATCCAGTTTAACATGAATCCTTTTGCCAACAAGTTCACTTGGAAAACAGAGATCGTCCAAAATTGCATCGTGAACAGACGTCAAAGTTCGACTAAACACGAAAATGTTACAACGAATAAAGGGAAATTAAATTTAATTAATCGAGGTAGACCGAGAAGGAGATGGATGGATGCTGTGAACAGTGATATGAAGGCGATGGGTATAATGAGAGACATGGCAAGAGATAGAGACGTTTGGCGTAGAGAAGTTCATGGACCGGTCAACCCCCCTGGCGGGGATTAATACTGGCTGGTATACAAATGTTGTTTGTTTGTTTTTTGTTTTAATCGAGTACTTGTAACAAACCTTCTGGGTCGCATCTGCTTTTGATTTCTAGTTTTTCTTGTTGGCTTTGGTAGAATACGTCTCTAACAATTAAAATTTTGAGACGTACAACAAATGAGCTTCAAACAACTTAATTATCATTCAAAAAATCTCAGCTTAACAAATACAAACCTGAGCCACAGCAACAAAATGCTTCCCGCTAAACTTCTTTTCCAATTCACGAACCAAACGAGCCTGAATACATTAACAAGTTATAAATATTAATTTACAAAACATCGTAGATTGTGTCGACTAGCAGTAGGGAGAAATAACTGAAGCATAAATGAAATGGTTTTCGATGGATATTTTCAATCATAGTCGATTGTTTGGCAAAGAATTCGCAATAGTGAATCGTGAACTTTTAACCAATTCCCACCACTAATTTTGATGATAGTATGTTTCAGAATGACATGTCAATCAGTCAAGGTGAATCAGACTGGGGCGACAATCATTTCATCATCAACAAAATTCAACTTCAACGATAGAACATACTCAAATAAACAGAGACTTCTTGCTAACACAAGATACAAATTACAGGAAGAAAAAAACACACTAAAAAAGGATTGAAATATCGGTCTGAGGTTTTGCAAGATGTCTTTGCTTATCTGAACGTGTTTCCATTGTATATGTTTTTGAAATTGTCTGTTGGGAAAGGGCATTTAACTACATTCAACTACATCTGATGTTGACTCAGACTGTGTAAAGTTCACAAAGTAATATCAGTACATTCCTAATCTGAAAAGAACATTCCAATGATTTCATTGAAAAAACAAGGCCTTTATGTGAAGTAAGCCTTGTGCATAGTTGAGTTTATCTTCTCTATACACTAACAAACAACTCTTTAGGACAGTGCACACTCTAATTTTTCATCTCCGGCCTCTTGTCAAATCTGAACTCCGGTTTCAAACTCCGGCTTTTTTATAACTCGAATCATTAGTTGTGGCTGGGTAATTTGTCAAGTCACTGTTCAAAAGTTTAAGGTGTATTATTTGTAAAATTTTTATATACAAAGTTAAATTTCAGCACTCCGACTTCGAATCATAAATTAGCATGTGTGAATGCAATCTAGCGTCATGTTGTTTCATGCATAAAATGTTTTATTTTCATGCAAGTTTTTGAATTTTAGCCGATAGTTATTGTTCGTTGATACAAAAATATTTTGATCAGACACGTTTACCAAAGTTTGACAGTATTTTGCAGCACAAACCACTGCTGCCGGAGTTTCGCCGGAGATGAACAAACTCAGGCCGGGAAAAATAGCCGGAGCTCAGGCCTCCAGTGCACAGCACTATTAAAAAGAGCACAATTTTTTATGTCGCCCTCAGTAAGTGTGAGTTTTTGAGAGGTTATTGTCTGCTTGCCGGACTTTTACAAAATACACAACTTGGCTTAACTCCGGCCTCCCGTTTACAGCACTACAACTCTTCAGATAAAACAAACTAAGGGTCTTTTAAGGTCAACATTTCCAAGTACCTGAACTTTCTGAAAAGATTTTAGTTGTGGTACAGGTATGAACAAAATGACAACCTTCTTGCCAGCAACTTCAACTTCCTGAGGAAAAAAAACAGAAACGGTATTTAAAGGCAGAGCACAATTTTTTTTTAACTGACAAAATGCATCAGCCTTACTAACGTTCGGTTTTTACAAACGAGCACACAAGGATTTAAAGGAAGCAATTTCACATAAAATTAAAACGAAAGAGTATTTGACAAACCTTGGCACCACATATGTACAATTCTCTGAGTTGCTGTTTGAGTTCACTATTCGCTTCGAGTTCAGAGATGGCCTTAAAAATCAAATAAATTATGGACTTTCTTATACTTCTCTTCCATTGATATAAATGTTGTTTCAAATTGTTTTATTGAAAACATGCTAACACGATGTTCCTTCTCACCCCAGCAACTTCTTTCTCAAGTTCGTTGGGAGCTTCGCTATTTGGCTTTATGATTTTTCCTGTAGCCATGTTGGCTGCCGACCTAAAAATTTACCGCACTTCAAGGCTACAAAATATCCATAAAAGCACACCATCTTTTTTCAATCTCGACTGAATCGTCAATCTCCCATGCTGAATTCTCAGTTTTGACAATTTGTCGAGAAAAAAGAGAAAAGAAGGCATTTCTACAAGGGATCTAAAATGAACAGCATTTCACTCACTTTCCTCAAGTCTGGTAAACAACCGAAAGAGGACGAAGCTACGCGCAGATGTAACTTAACGCATCCATTTTTAATACAGCCGCTGACGTATATTCAACACATCGCTGGCACTACGTGCGATTACTTGGTATAAGCTGAAACATAAATTACTATTGTAATGAGAGCATGTGATAGCCTAAGGTACAAAATTTGCCAAGCTTGAAAAGAACTAAAATATTTCAAAATTTTTCAGCATTACGCCTTTAAAAGATGATGAATTTCTTAAAAGAGGTTTATAGGGGCGTCAATCCTGAAGATAATAAAACAAATGCTTTATTGCCCGATTTTACGATAAGTAATGATGGCAAATTGCTCCCTATGTGAAACTTGCATCACAAATGACCTTTACAACGACAATAAAATATTCGGGGAAGCACTTGTCACACGTTAAACCATCTAAGTACAGAGGCGTTGGGTGCTTCCGTTGGCTCTAAATTCAAATTAACAACTGCCTGTTTAACCTACGCGTTCGTCGTGAAACTTTGATCAGATTGTTGTGAGATCAGCAATATTAATGAAAATGATATCATCATATAAACACAACACATATTACCCAACGAAATAGGAGAAGGAAAACTCGTGACTCTGAATGCAAAGCTCGTCATTTTGCTCAGTGAAAGTTGCCGATATTGATGCGAGAAAAAACGTGTTGAATAAGGTATGATTAATTCGAAGGCAGTTAATCACTTCAAAAAATATTAAAAGCGGATTGCAATAACAAAATGTAAAAATTTGTAAGTGTGGGGTTCGATTTAAGTTCAACGAGTTGGCGAGTTCACGCTTCATCTCAAAGTCTAAAAAGCGTTGATGACATGAACGATTGTATAAATATGAATATGATCTTTTTCTAAATTATCCATTTCCAAAACTAGCCGAGGCAGTACATAATACGAAAGTACTGTAACAATCGAAAATAAGCCGTAACTTCTATTATACAGACAACATAATATCAATATGTGTTATGTAATAGGCATTTTCTGTGTTGCAAAGAACTTTTTGTTAAACGTAAGCTATTATCGTGACATCACTGGGACACGATTAAGAATAGTGTATAAAGTATAAGATAATTAAGATAAGTTGCTGACCTTTCAATAAATCACATTTCGAAGTAAAAACGGAGAATATATAAAAAGTAAAAGTAGATGATGTGTATATATAATATAAACAAAAAAACGTCTTATATTTATATTCGAGTTCTAAAAGCAATGCAAATTTTCGAAGAGTACACACGAGCAATACGAAAATCGGAAGTGAAGCAATCAGTGACACCTACATATTTGAAAACGTTACAAATAAAATATTACAGTATATATCAAGCATGATGTGAATAAGCCTACGGCATTCACAATTTCATTGCGTTCTCTCTGTAAAGGCAATCACAGTTCGAAAAAACTTGTTGAATTTTTGGTTAAAATGCGGAAGTGGTAACAAGGAATTTGATGGACGAAATATAAGTCGTTTTATCCCACTTAAGGAAATATAAAGACAGAAGCACCGCAGGTGTGAAGACAGGACACAAAGAGCTCGGATACATAAACTCAATTGACAAAAAGATTTAAAGGAAATTGAGGAGTTTGTAAGATCATTTGGTGGAGTATTCTGCAAGTATTTCAAGAAAAGTTGCTGGTCATTTGGTCGTCGAACGAAAGGAGAAAAATGACGATATTGAAAGAACAACCAGGAAAAGAATGTATAGAAAAAGACACAAAAGAGGTGTGTTTTACTGATAGCAAACATAATCCATTCTTAAGCACGGCATGCTAAATTATATGTGCAAAATACGACGACATAAAAATTGTTATCAATGTGTTAAATGTTAAATTGTATATTTATGTTAATATTGGTCGTCGGCTTCGATTTATTTTCTTTGTGATTAATAACACGATTGTTGTACACGATAGCGAACAATCAGAACTATACAAAAACATGCAAGTATTATGTACAGGCGAGATTATCCTACATGGGTGCACGAGTTTCGACATGACTTTTCCCATATTTACATTAACATTGACAGGCCAACTTGTTTAAGCGACACGTCATTCGTGACCCGACTGGCAAATGTAAACGTCAAAAAGCACGTGACTTTGCCACGCATGTCATTCGTGACCCCACTGGCAAATGTAAACGTCAAAAAGCACGTGACTTTGCCACGCACGTGATTGGTCTCGCACTTTGCCATAAGCTTTTCTTTTTTATATAGGTGAGATTTAGCGACGACATCGAAGTATATTACGTTCCGACGCGTACAAGATGGCAAAGGACGAAAACAAACATTCTCTATACGCCACAATCGATAAAAAGAAAAGCGATTTCGATCAAAGAGTCTCTATCGGAATCTTATCACGTAATTGTTGATCTACTGACGTAAAATGAGAAATTAGAAGTGAAGGGAGTTGTTTCTTAAACAGACAAAAATGTAACTGCTGACGTCATTAGAAAAATTATCAAATAATCTGCCAATATGGACACTGGCGACACGAATACACATGGATACACTTGGATAAATGAATACACGTGGCTACATTCACTACATGAATACACATGGGTACGCATGGATACATTGACTATATGAATACACATGGGTACGCATGGATACATTGACTATATGAATACACATGGGTACGCATGGATATATTGACTATATGAATACACTTGGGTACGCATGGATATATTGACTATATGAATACACATGGGTACGCATGGATACATTGACTATATGAATACACTTGGATACACATGGATACATTGACTATATGAATACACATGGGTACGCATGGATACATTGACTATATGAATACACATGGGTACGCATGGATACATTGACTATATGAATACACATAGATACATTGACTATATGAATACACTTGGATACACATAGATACATTGACTATATGAATACACATGGATACATTGACTATATGAATACGCATGGATACAAAAGTTATATGAATAAAAAAATCGCTAAAACAAGCTGATCCTAAACCTCCTGTAGTCAAGCAGTATTCATTTGTGTGTGTAGCAATATAGCCACATATGAAGTATCGACTTGATACTTGTGACGGTAATCGTGGAACGGTGTTCCAAAATTGAACGGATTAAAATCCCTTGTACAAAAAAAGAGTTTTACGAATAACGTTCATGTATATACACATAACTCAAAACTAAGAATTGTATAAAAGAAAAAATCAAATTTTACATTAACTAGAATAACTATTTTATAACGTATTGTGAATTTGATGAATATTTACCAAAATTGGAAAAATTATTGATCTTTTCCTTCATTAGTGTGAGAGTGAATCACAAACATATCGCTTTTCTCCAAAACTTTCGAAAATCCCATTTCTATATACTTCTAGCTAATTTGACGAGCAACTAAAACTGTTTTCAGCTGCTTTAAATCACATCAACGTAATTATTTTTTAAATTTCCGCGTATTTTTTAAAGTTGAAGTTTTATCAGATGATGAAGGCGATCCGTTCATAATAGCTTGCATTTGCTCTTTTTACCTTTTGCGCGTTCCTTGTTTGGTCGTAAAGTTATAATTGCATTCGTTTCTTGTTTATCTTTCTTATTCGGCTTGCCGTTTGACTTCCCTTCCACGCGTTGACCTTTGAAAATATCTGAAGAAAAGAAAATATATTTAAAACACGAAACTTCGAGTGAAAATGAAAGTTTTTGTGCTAATGAGCCAAACAATCTCACCTAAATTAGTCGACGAGTTTTCTTGTTCCTCTGCTAACTTCGCATTTTGTAAGTTTTCTAAATATGCCTTTGCAAGGTATTGGAACACTAAAAATAAGAAATACCACAATTTGGAAATACAATAAAGACGAATGGAAGAAAATCCTGAGATTTCACAATGGCGTCAAACCTTCCGTGACATTTAAATCTTCTTTCACGGATGTGCGGTAAAATTTAACGCGCAGTTTTTTAGCAAGCGATTCTGCCTCTTCTCTACAAAAGAAAAATGAAAGTGTTATCACAAACGTAAAATGGTCAGTAATTATAAAAGTTTCCACAATAACGAAGCCAGATCAATTTTTTATTTAAGCTATAACAAACTGTAGAGAAATAGATTTCTAAATAATGAATAAATAACAATTATTTGATATTTATATAGCAGGAGTAAATCTGCAGACAGGCAATGCTGATGAATTTTCCCAATGTTAAAATATTATGTCCATGCAGACAAATGTTGAAGACAAGAACTCAACCAATTTTTCCTCATTATTACGAAAATATATTGTACGTGTCCTCATAAGCGTATGGGAGCTATCATTTCTGAAGAGGGCAGTAAATATTCCCAAAACTCACACACAATGAAGGTTCGGCCACATTTTCGCGCAACTAACGTTTAAAACCTGCCCAACTTTTCAATCTTCAAACTTTCTTTCGGGGCAACCCCTACCTGTACGTTCTGCCACATTTTCGCCCAATTATCGTTTAAAATTCGCCCAACTTTTCAATCTTCAAACTTTCTTGTGGGGAGCAGTTGCCGCCTGTCCCGTACGCTTATTCACGTCCTTCAGTATGTTAAATACTCTCACTGACAAAATATTGCTGCTTACGGTTGCACAACAGCTTCGTCGATAAGATCGATTTTATTTTGAACTAACACACATGGTATTGTACCACATTCGTCTGACACCTAGAAATACACATACATCAAACTGATTAGTGAATTGCTTTGCAAAAAAGATCAATATTTATACCCAAATGTACCTTGCCAATCCATTGCTCTATGGCTTCATAAGAATCTCTATCAACAGTTGAGAAACATAGAACACAAGCTTGAGCACCTGAAAATTATTTAATATAATGTCATACGATAAGATTATGCAATAAACATAGTTAATTGAAAACGAATGGTGTGTAGAACTGGGCACGAGACTTCCAACACAGTACACAGTACTTATATAACTGGATACATCAAAAAGAATGCTGTTAGGAAAGTACATTAGCTGAAGAAGCAGCTTTAGTATTTTTCATATATCCACTAAAATATCGGTGTGATGAAGAGCAGACTTGTGATGGTCAGGTTGCAATGAAGCTAGTTTACGAAGGGACATTAGCTCCAAGGCACTCAGCCTGGCTAACAACATCTGCACCCAATTACTCATATGTGACCTCTGATATTTCCCGACATCAGAACAAGAATGCTTCTAGATATTGCTAACATACAGAAGTTGATCTTCATTAATTCTTAAGTGCTATGAATCATTGATTTGTCACTAAGATAAAGCAGGAATTAGATGTAATCACCCCCCCTGGATACAATTATAATGTGGACAAAAAATTCCAACAAAAACTTTCCTCAGGAGAGGAGGGTTAGGGGTAATTATTGTGTAAACTTAACAATTATTTACCCCCAATTTCTACCCAAATCCCAAGAAAGTCCCAAATTTTGTAACTGTTATATTACAACTAAGATTGAGTCTGCTCGGAACTGTTATTGGAGTAAATATTAAAAAATATATTTGGGTGAATGATAATGTAAACAAACCTCTGTAATAAGCTTTTGTGATAGCATCAAACTCCTCTTGTCCTGCTGTATCCCACAACATCAATCTCACATCCTCAGAGTCAATACTGTTAAAATATTGACAAATTAAAGATAAATTAGAGAAAAACAAGAGTGCTGATCAAAGGAACACAGACTCCAGCTGTGAAGCACAAAAAAGATCATATTACAGAAGTTGTTTTTTTTATTGAAATATCGAATAGTTTTGAATAATTATTTACAGTTGAATGAGATGTTTGTGTTTTATCAAAAGAAAAAAAATTACAAAGAAAATGAATATCTGATAAGGTAGTAATAGCTTTTTACAGGTCAACGATAGTGTTAAGATAGTGTCACTTCGCACTGAAGATGGCATAAAGTATGCCGAAACATGTTTGCTTTAAAAAAATTTGTCGTTTATTTTAAATGTCTTATAACCATTGTGCTCGTACGAAATTATAAATTCTTCCCATCATAACAGCATGGCTACAACCCAACTGAGAAACGCACTACAAACGGCAGAGGCCCTTTGTTTGAACTTGAGGCTTTTAGTGAGGGGTGAATCGATTCCAGCCCAGATTTTTCAAATGATAAAGTTTAACTGAGATCGTGAACATGGTTTTATTTGAATGTTTGAAAATTACTAATGCACACGCAAAATAGCCACCGTTTCATCTACCTTGTGATATCACATTCCGGAATGCTTTTATTAAATGCTGGCAATTAGGGATTAAGGTAATTAAAAGACGCGAAGATTTAACACCAAATCTAACATAACAAATAACGCAAAACAAGCAGTTTTGAGAATCGGGAAATAACATGACCAGCAGAAGGCGCATTCCAGCGCATATTTAGTCCTTTAATCGTTCATGTGAGCAGGCGCTGACGTTAGTTATAAAAACACTTAAAATATACGCACCTCACCTTTAAGAACTTCAAAAATATATTCTAAATTTCAATTAGAACATCTAAATTTCGATTTTATTTATAATGCAAATATTGCGACAATCCCAACGAAAAGCGATTAGAACGTAGCAGACATTCGAAAGTCATTTAGAACAGCAATTAGAACGTTGTGACGTGTGTTTTGGTTCTAAAAGCACGTTGAACCTCACCGGGCTCGTAAACAAAGAAAGTTTTATAACTTTTATTGTTAAATGAGAGTAATTTTGTTCAGGACAGCAATATAATCGGAAATTAAAGTCAATTACCTCATTTGTCTTTCCAAAAAGTCCACACCAATTGTCTTTTTGTAGTCTTTGGTAAAAATGCCTTTACAAAAGCGTTGAATCATGCTACTTTTCCCTACGGCACCATTACCAACAACCACAACTTTGATGGCCGTTTCCACGTCTTCCTCTCGCATTTTCACGACAAAAATTCGTATAATGACTTCGCGTGGCAGGGTTTCTCCTTTAGAGATAGTCAAATATTTCAAATAGTCAAAGTTGGAACCGTCCAGAACCCAGATGTTGTAAGTAGATACACCGCTCTTGGTTGATAAGCGAAGTGTTAGCGGTGTAAAATATCCTCCTGCTTTAAAATGAATGCTTTAAAACAATCGAGACAGCGATGAAACCTTCATCGAAACAAATGTTTACAACAAGAACAATCGCTTTGTTCCTCGAAGTCTTTTAGTAAGTCCTACAGCCGCAAGGAAAGTGCAAATGACTCAATAAACGTTTTCCTTTGATATTTGTAACTTGCCTTTCCGACCATGAGCACACGGAAACGGTAAATGTTTTCTAACTAAAGTACATAAAAAAGAGCATGTAAGCTCCTTATTTTCAATATAAACAAACCTTTCACCATTCAAGTCGTTAGGTGTTCATTTGATGGCGACGTTGACCCACAGTTGCGCTAAATGTTGCTATGGTAACAACAGGGGGGTGGAAGTCTTAATCCAAAGCAAAAAGAATCTGACTTCGACAAACCTAATATCAAAATCTATAACTTTTTAGACAAATTTTAAACCATCTAAAATATTTCTTTTTGTTTTAAGAAACAAAGAATAGAAAAATAAAAATTCGTACAGTAATTTTACGAAAACCAAAGTTCTGCCGGGGAAGGGTCTCGTATTCTGGCGACATTCTCCGAGGATCGAACCCGATGTCTAAAAATATAGTCCTCAAAATTTATGATCAGCGGTTTTTCAGAATGAAGACGGTGCGACGTTGACGTTTCCCTTGAAGAAGTCATTGCGTTATCTTCAGCCGAGTACGACCTGGTACGAGTCTTTCTTCGTCTTGATGTTTTAGGAGATGTTTGAACGGTACGAGGGTTTGCATTCATTAAATATGTTGTTTTATTTTGGTCAGTCGCTTTAAGATCTTTCATAGTTACTGACCACTTTTGTTTTAGGGCCTCGTTACGATGATCCAGCGGAGAAACAATCGGTGAAAGTCCGGAAAGATTCGGCATAATCCGGTCGACAGCGGTCGGGTGAGCTTTCGTGCTCGTAAGAATGCTATCGTTTAAAATATTGGGAAAATTTGAATTTGTGAATTGAGATGTAGAAAAATGATGAGGATCTTTTCTTTCAGAGAGAGGAGTTGCTTTCGTCCTGTGAGATGTCTGTTTCTTTTTGTTGTAAGTCGACGGTTTTTCGAAGTAGCTCGTTGCGCTTTTGTCTGGAAATTTTTCTTCGCGACGACGCAAGTCGAAATTTTCTTGTTCTTGTTGAAGAATTTTTGTCCTTTCTATTTTCTCATAATCATTTTTATCGCAGTTTCTGGATGAGCAGTCTTGTTTATGACGTAGAAAGTTGATCAAATCTCTGGTTTTATCCAAATTATTTCTCAATAAATGGCACTCGCTAAGAACCAGGTCAAAATAATTGTTTATAACATCAATGTTCGTCTTTAATCGTTCAAATTCTACACGTTCAAGCGTCAAATGCGCACCATGTTCGTATTTAAACAATTCCAAATCTTCTACGCTTATCATCTCTTCGGAAAATAAAGAAGACTTCGAATGGCGTTTCAAAAGATGTTTTCCAAGTATGGCGTTTGCATATTTCCTGTTTTGAGTCGATTCACACTTCAGTTTTTCGAATGTATTAAAATCCTCCTGATTTCGAAGTGGATTCAAAACACTTTCTCTACTATTTGTTCCACCATCTGCTTTATTGTAAAATTCAATTGTGCCTTCATTGTGATTGAAGACATTCTCAGATTTATCAGAGCGCGAACAATTCCTTAAGCAATTATATCCACTATTATCCAACACCTTCTCGGGTTCATTATCCAAGATGATCCCACTATCGCCCTTATCAACAGTCAGCATATTGTCAACATCAACCAACTTTTTTAAATCACTTTCTTTATTTGCACCTTTATATCCTGCAACATCACCCACACGTCCATCATATCCTTTATTATCCCCAAAGACACTAAGCTCGTTATCCTCGGATACTCCATTCAAACAAGAGTGATCAATCCAATAACCCACATCCATCACTTCGCAAGATCCCTCCACATCCAAAGGATATTTCTTATGTCGACTCGAATCCTCTGACATTCCAATATGTTCCTGTTTCTCATTAAAATTTCTCAATACTATCTCCAAACTTTCAAGCTTTTGCAACATAATTTGTTTATCTAGACAATTTTCTCGATGTAAATTCACTTTTTCTTTATGAAAAACCAACTCCATTTCTTTCATTTCATCGCAATATTTTTCCTCGATTTCGGCTATCTTCAAACTCTGTTTCATTTCGCTACTGTCAAAATTCTTTTTCAACGTTGTCAGAGTTCTGTTCAGTTCAGTTATTGTATTTTCTTTGACATCTAATGCTTTGGTGAATGATGAAATTTCTTGCTGAAATTTGAGCGAATTTTCTTGAAGTTCAACTTGATTTTTAAGTAAACTTTTTTCGAGACTTCCGATCGTTTCACTTTTCGCATTCAAATCCCTTTCGTACTCTCCCAATTTTTCTCTCAAACTTTCATTTTCTTTCGCGACATTTTCCAGCTCATCCAACTTGCTTTGAATTTCATTGTTTTGTACATTTAAAGTATTTATTTCGTCTTGCATGAATCTAGCATTCTTCTCATACTGTTGTTTTTCTTTCAAAGATATTCGAATCATTTCGTATTGTGATTTACCTAAAGAATAACGACCGTCAGTACGATCCTCCATAGTTGTTTCTTCACTTAGTAGAACTGATAAAGTTAAACAAACTCATCAACATAAAATATGATCGTCATATGAAGAATGTTATATGCAGTGCTGTGTTTGACATTAAATGAAGATATGATCTTCGCACTTTGCTGGACAATTTAAGCAATTGTCTCATGAACCTGAAAAATTCAGGTGACTCAACGGGATTCGAACCCATGACATTCCTTTCACGAGAAAACCTGAGCCTAACAAAATTGACCAGCTCTCCACTGTGTGACTTCATAGCTCAGTTGGTCAGAGCACTGCACCGGCACCGCAGAGGTCATGGGTTCGAGTCCCGTTGAGTCACCTGAATTTTTAAGGTTTATGAGACAATCGCTAAATTGTCCAGCAAAGTGCTGATAAAGATCATATCTTCATTTAATAAAATATGATCATTAGCACACAAACAGCAAAAACTATAACTAAGTTATCATTTAAATGATGTATCCCAATCATTAGCAGTGCAAACTCGTTGCTTGGGGGGAGGGGGAAGTATCATTTAAATGATGTTTCCCAATCATTAGCAGTGCAAACTCGTTGCTTGGGGGGAGGGGGAAGTATCATTTAAATGATGTTTCCCAATCATTAGCGTTGCAAACTCTTTGCTTGGGGGGAAGTATCATTTAAATGATGTTTCCCAATCATTAGCGTTGCAAACTCGTTGCTTAGGGGGAGGGGGAAGTATCATTTAAATGATGTTTCCCAATCATTAGCGTTGCAAACTCGTTGCTTGGGGGGAGGGGGAAGTATCATTTAAATGATGTTTCCCAATCATTAGCGTTGCAAACTAGTTGCTTGGGGGAGGGGGAAGGGGCACAAATTCATACATGCATGTCTTAAACCATGAGAAACAATAGATTTCGAAGCAACTTAATACGACAAAACATGCATACATGAATATGTGTCAACCCAATTACCGAGTCTGTTTAAACCACTTATCCCATCACATGTTTGTAGACGTAGATTGTCCAGGTTAGTGTAGTCGTTAAAAGAACCGTTGGCGTTGACTAGCAATTCTACAACATTACAGATAGTCACCTTCAGAGGCAAGTGAAAAGAACCGTTGGCCTTGACTAGCAATTCTACAACATTACAGATAGTCACCTTCAAAGGCAAGTGAAAAGAACCGTTGGCGTTGACTAGCAATTCTACAACATTACAGATAGTCACCTTCAGAAGCAAGTAAAAGAACCGCTGGCGTTGACTAGCAATTCTACAACATTACAGATAGTCACCTTCAGAGGCAAGTGAAAAGAACCGCTGGCGTTGACTAGCAGTTCTACAACATTACAGATAGTCACCTTCAGAGGCAAGTGAAAGAACCGCTGGCGTTGACTAGCAATTCTACAACATTACAGATAGTCACCTTCAGAAGCAAGTAAAGAACCGCTGGCGTTGACTAGCAATTCTACAACATTACAGATAGTCACCTTCAGAAGCAAGTAAAAAGAACCGCTGGCGTTGACTAGCAATTCTACAACATTACAGATAGTCACCTTCAGAAGCAAGTAAAAGAACCGCTGGCGTTGACTAGCAATTCTACAACATTACAGATAGTCACCTTCAGAAGCAAGTAAAAAGAACCGCTGGCGTTGACTAGCAATTCTACCACATTACAGATAGTCACCTTCAGAAGCAAGTAAAAAGAACCGCTGGCGTTGACTAGCAATTCTACAACATTACAGATAGTCACCTTCAGAGGCAAGTGAAAAGAACCGCTGGCGTTGACTAGCAATTCTACAACATTACAGATAGTCACCTTCAGAGGCAAGTGAGCAGCAAATGTCAGAGATTGACTCTGAAGATGATTAAAGGATGTCATAACGTCAGTCAACTCAAAAAACCAACAGTCGTTCCCAGGACTTCACTCAACTGGACAATCTACATCTGCAAAACGTAACGATATTCTGGGTTCAAGCCATTAACAGCACTCTATTAGCAGTAAATTCAATTTGCCGTGCATTAGTTATTATGTCTAAACTAAATAAGCATCATATCTTACCATCCATATCCACTGATGTCCCTTTTTCACCTAATATGTTCCCAATATCATCAACGTTTTCGTTGATGTCTCGTCTCGAGACGTTCAATAAATTCTGTTCGTTCTTCATCAACTTAGTTTCCAGTTCTCTAGACGCGTTGACTTGTTCCCAGTACGCATTCTCAATGATCTCAAGATCACGTGATAAACGTTGAATTTCAATGTTGTAGTCTTGTTGCATCATAGTAACGAAAGTTTTGGTTTCACGTAAGGCAAAATCACTGCTAACACAGTTTTGACAAGATGTTTTCTCAAAGGTATCTTCCGCTTCTTCTTCTAATTCTTTAAGTTTTTGTTTATACGCTTGAAGTTCAATTTTAAGCGCTGTGATAGGATCTGAAGAATATCCGTGACTATCGTACATCAACAGGTCGTCTTTGCCATCACGGAAAGTTGCGTTCAACTCAAAACTGCCATTTTCGAGTTCTCTCGTTCGACAGGTATCTTTCAATGTTGATATGGCCAATTTATGTTGTTCAATTTCCGAATTCAATAAAGAAATGTTTTGTCGAAGTTTGGAAATTTCTTTCCTAAGTTCGTCAACATCTTCCTTATTTTTCTTTCTCGTTTCTAATTCATCTCCAACGCTACTAAAGTCTTCAAGCAAATCCCCCATCTTATTCTCGTGTTTTGTGTTTGTTTCATTCGCAACACCCTCTTGTTCTTTAAGACGTTCCTTCAGCAAACTTACTTCGAGAAGAGAATCCATGAGATGATTTTTCAAACTCTCATTCTCTGCAATCACCGATTCAAAGTTTTTTCCGACTCCATACAATCATGTCGACAAATCATACAATTTTCAGCAAATTCCGAACCAAAATCTACATCGTGTATTTTTCTTAATTCCTCGTGTAAACTTTCTCCCGATGAGTTCTGCTCGTTATTTGATCGATTCAAAGCATAATCATCGCTGAGATATATATTCACATGTTTATTTGATACATTATGAAATGTTTCTCCATTAAGTTGTGCTTCTTCTGGCATAAAATCACTTTCAATCGTTTCATTCACCAAAACATTTCCATTTGCAATGTCGGTACTATCATTCATCAACATCTCCTTATTTTCTTCACTTGTTAATCCTAGAGTTTGGATTTTCTTAAGAAGAAATCTGACCTTTTCTCTCATTTTCGTAATTCTCCTTCAATTTAGCTTCTCGAAATTCGTGTTTTAGATTCCTTACATGAAGTTCCTCAAGTTGCGCAACAATGTCGGCAACCTGCGACTCGTGTTTTGTTTTCAACGTCTCCGTGATTTGCTCTATTTCATCTTTGCTCTTGGCCAAATCTTGCTCATACTGCTCTCGAAGATGATTTCCAACGTGTTCAACTTTTTCGTCCATTTCATCCTAAAGAAAGGAAACAAATAAAACGAGCAAGAACACTGGTGGGTAGTCCTAATTGAAACATAAATCGGATTTACTCGTTTTCTAGTTATAGCACAGAATAGATATCTTAACAGAAGGTCCACTCGTGTCGGAGCCTTTGAAGTTCGTGACTCCCACTTTTCTGAAGCAAATTCTAAAGAAGACACGCCTTCCAGCAAGATACTACCGCTAGATCGCAATAGAAAATATAGATGTTTTTACAAATATATCGTTTTGCACTACACAAGTTTGGAACCTTATATTCTCCGCAAGATGATAACTCTTTGTAAAAATTTCGGCAAACTTTTGCTCTAAACGTGAATTATTTGTAAAATAGCATTCTTGTGCAATACTATTCCATATTGAAATATAGTATAAAGCAAATTCCGAAAAATCATTCATCATTCTGTCTGAAGATGACTTTGAAATAAAGTCGAAAATTTACAGTTTACTTTTCGTCTTGTTTTGATGCATAGTTTGCAATCTTAAGATGTCTTGCGTCTTCGGAATTTGTTTTATACTATTCCATATTGATTTTGTGAAAGTATCTTGCTGGGAGGTCTCGCATGCGTAGTGAAAATATAGGCCACGATTTTAGCCGAGTGGACTTCAGTTAGATGTCTATTCAAAAATACCCAAAATTGCGTTAAAGTGAGCCCGCATATACAATCATGCAGTCAGTGCACAAGTTTCGAGACTTTCAGTACTCGATGATTCCGTCTAACAGTGCATCTATTTGTTTGTAAATGTAGATCGTCCAGGTTGGTAAAGTCCTGAGAAGGACTGTTTTTGTTGTTGTTGACTGACGATTCGACAACCTTAGCGGTAGTCATCTTCAGAGTCAAATGACTCATTTTGACTCCGACCCATTTTGACTATGAAGATGACTACCTCTAAGGCTGTCGAAACGTCAGTCAACAACAACAAAAACAGTCATTCTCAGGACTATACCAACCTGGACGATCTACATTTACAAACATGTAACGATACTCCTGGGTTCAAACCATTTACTTTATTACAGTTAATTATTAATTGATATTTTTTCATTAATTTTCGAAGAAAATGAACAGAGATTTTATTGTTGGAAACAGCGCTGGTGTTGAGCTTAATTGTTGACTTACTATCTTATATGACGTCAAAACGCATTTTATTATTGGAAACAGCGCTAGTGCTGAGCTTAATTGTTGACTTACTATCTTATATGACGTCAAAACGCATTTTATTATTGGAAACAGCGCTGGTGCTGAGCTTAATTGTTGACTTACTATCTTATATGACGTCAAAACGCATTTTATTATTGGAAACAGCGCTGGTGCTGAGCTTAATTGTTGACTTACTATCTTATATGACGTCAAAACGCATTTTATTATTGGAAACAGCGCTAGTGCTGAGCTTAATTGTTGACTTACTATCTTATATGACGTCAAAACGCATTTTATTATTGGAAACAGCGCTGGTGCTGAGCTTAATTGTTGACTTACTATCTTATATGACGTCAAAACGCATTTTATTATTGGAAACAGCGCTGGTGCTGTGCTTAATTGTTGACTTACTATCTTATATGACGTCAAAACGCATTTTATTATTGGAAACAGCGCTGGTGCTGTGCTTAATTGTTGACTTACTATCTTATATGACGTCAACACGCATTTTATTATTGGAAACAGCGCTGGTGCTGTGCTTAATTGTTGACTTCCATATCTTAAATGACGTCAAAACGCATTTTATTCTTGGAAACAGCGCTGGTGCTGTGCTTAATTGTTGACTTCCATATCTTATATGACGGTCAAAACGCTATAACCTCGACACAAACAGAACAATGTAGTTTATGATAAAAGACCCGACATCACCTGATATTTTTCCTTTAACTTTTCTCTCGTTTCATCAAGCATACTGCTATATTTTTTCTCCAATTCACAAGTGAGTTTCACCATTTCATCTTGATATCCCTCCTTCAAGATTTTTATTTCTTCGTGAGCGTCGTTGAGTTGAGATTGCATCTCTTCGCGTTCCAACGAGAACCGTCTTTCTAATTTCTTAATCTTTTCCAAATATTCATTTTCTTCAAGCGCTCGTCCATTCGTCAGCTCTTTAACTTTAGCCTCCCATGATGCCTCGCGGTCAAGCAAATCCTTAACACGTTGTTTAAGTTCAGCAGTCTCACGCTTGTGCGAATACTTCATGTTTTTTAATTGATCTTCGGCATCCAAGGTTGCTCGTTCTATTGCATCCTGGCATTGCGCCCACTGCTCTCGCTGCACAGCGGATACTCGTTCGTCAAATTCTTCTCTCTGTCGAACAAACTGTAGTTCCCATTCGTCCTCAAGTTTTGAGATTTTTTCGTCTGCCTCATTTTGATACTGCTCGCATAACTCCTGTGAAATGTTCAAAACCTAAAACGAAAATTACACGTACAGGATTAAAGATCACTATTTTATGGGAATGAAAATGATAAAAGATTACTCAACGTAAGATTATCCAACGCCAGATTATTCATTTTAAGATTATTCATCTTAAGATTATCCAACATAAGATTCAGATTATCCAATATCAGATTATTCAACATTACAACTTAAGATTCTGTTTTTACTTGATCATGGTAAATTCACAAATGTTATAAAAAGTCAATTTCACCTGATTTTCGTAGTCTTCGTGTATTGTACTGCACAGTTCTTGTATGGAATTCTCTATCTCTTGTCGCAGTTCAAAGGGATCCTTATCTACCCCCAAATGACCATTGTGAAGAATCGCATTAATAGCAATTTCAACATCATCATCCACATTTGCTCCCAAATGATCCGAATTGATATCGTCAAAAGCATTTCTAACATCATTATCCACATCTGCTCCCAAACGATCCGAATTAAAATTGTCAAAAGCAATTCTAACATTATCCACATCTGCTCCCAAACGATCCGAATTAAAATCGTCAAAAGCAATTCTAACATTATCCACATCTGCTCCCAAACGATCCGAATTAAAATCGTCAAAAGCAATTCTAACATTATCCACATCTGCTCCCAAACGATCCGAATTAAAATCGTCAAAAGCAATTCTAACATTGTCCACATCTGCTCCCAAACGATCCGAATTAAAATCGTCAAAAGCAATTCTAACATTGTCCACATCTGCTCCCAAACGATCCGAATTAAAATCGTCAAAAGCATTTCTAACATCATTATCCCCAATTGCTACCAAATGATCCCAATTAACATCGTCAAAAACATTTCCAACATCATTATCCACAATTGCTCCCAAATGATCCCAATTAACATTGTCAAAAGCATTTCCAACCTCATTACCCCAATTGCTCCCAAATGATCCGAATTAACATCGTCAAAAACATTTCCAACATCATTGTCCACATCTGCTCCCAAATGATCCGAATTAACATCGTCAAAAGCATTTCTAACATCATTATCCACAATTGCTCCCAAATGATCCAAATTAACATCGTCAAACGCATTTCTAACATCATTATCCACATCTGCTCCCAAATGATCCGAATTAACATCGTCAAAAACATTCCCAACATCATTATCACCATTTACAGCAAAATTGTCTGTAATCTCGCAACGAATCGCTGAATTAATAAGATTCTCAACGAAGCTTTCACTTAAATCTTCAATCTTAGATTTCATTTCCCCATCCAAGCTCACTTCAATTTTATCGGTATTCACATCTTGAATTGCCTTTCGTTTTAATTCACCAACGTTTATTTCTAACGTTTTGTCATTTTCACCACTGTCAAATGCTTGCCATTTCTCACTGTCGTTAAATCCTTCGTCTTCAACAAATATAACACCGTTTTCACTTGACTTTCGACAAACAAACGAGTTATTTCCAGTTTTAAAAGTGGTAATCGACACTAAAACGTCTTGAATAACAGTTTTAGCAATTTCCATGCACATTTCAACAACAGAACCCGCGGGTTTTGAATCAGAATAAATGGTCTTGTTGATATCACTTTCGAGAAAATCTCTCCTCCTAACTTCCTTGAACGCAACATTTTCCAAAACGTTGCTGGGTTCAGAACCGTATTTTCCTGCCTCAACGGGATTCGATAATCCAAGTTGGCGATCGTTGAGTATTTCTGTGCGAGCAACAAACTCCATTGATTCCAAATAATTGTGTTCTGAATTCATTTGCAATGCATGGTGCCAGATTTTAGGCGAATTAAAAAGATGTTGTGCTTTCCGGTCAGATTAACACATACAACGAACATCCTGCCAATAGAACCACTAAAATTAAACAATGAAAACACATTTTTGTTATAATTTAATTGTCGAATTCCCGATTGAGTTGAAGATAGTAAATTAAACTAGTCAAATAACAGTTTTTTCAAATTTCATAAAAGTTACTGCGTAAAAATGGCCGACAGCAGGTGTAAACTACGGCCTTGTAGCCAAACGCATACAAGCTTGAGCTAATAAAAGAAATAGATAAGAACAAGTTGAACAAGTAAAAATATCGTACCTTGAATAAATCGTCGTTTAACGACATGATAATCTTTAATGTTATGCAGAGCGATAAAGCCAAAAGAGTTTTATAATTAACTCAGTGTTTTGTGATGAAAAACTTTCGATTTTTAAGTCATAAAAAACATGTAATTCACGTTAATCCCCATCGCATTCAAATGCAAATGAGAAAAAATCACGGACAAATATTTGCTCGCAGGGTAAGACCTGTTTCAAAAGTCGCATTTTACATGCGTCGATTGCATTAGTGACAAAAGGAAATTGAGATAAATTCCTCATTATCTTTCGTTTTAAATGCGTTCGGCTCATGCAAAATGCGACGTTTGAAACGGGCCTAAATTTAAAAGCATCATCGCGAAGTCCAAACAAGCAGAAAATCTCACTGGTTGAATCATTATGATATTTCAAAGATACCAATAAAGTTTTCATTCAACTCGAAGATTCCTGACATGATATCTCTAAAATTCAACGACAGTTTAGAAAAATGATCACAAATATTTTGAACTATGCCATGTTAGTTAACGACAGACAGATATGACAAACCGAAAAACGATTACAGTTCAAGGTATTATCACGTAAGAATTTGCAAAACATAGAATGAATACTGTAATGACTGTAAACAATTTTCACAAATCCTTATTTTCGACATATAGAACAAAATCTAATTGGTGTTCGTCAAAATACCACAGCTCCATCAAGCGACTAGCGAGCCGGGACCACCCGTAACAGGATCCAACGGTTGCCAACGAGACGCTTCCATTTCATAATAAAGAGCCTGAAAAAACATTGCACTTGCAGTAATGAACCATAGTAAATGCATACACGAGAAGAAATCTCAAAAATTCAAAAATTTAACGACGTACCTCCTCTCGCTCCATGTATTCTTTATTCGCGGCAGCAACGTCTATATCTTCATCGTATTCTGGTTGAAATAACGAAAATGTGTATAATAAATGAACACGATAAGTTGTGAGTAAGCGCTCTCCTTACCTTGTAATGTCAGATCGGGGGCTTCTTCTTGGTATGCCTGGGGAGAAAAATGATTAAAAAGGCATTTGAATTAAATCAGTCAGATAATAACATCACGTTGTTGTGATGTACTCAGGTATAGTAACAAGATAATCGTTGTCTTCAATGTTCTACCAACTGAACTACAAGATCAACTGTGAACTATGATGATATTTCAAAACACAGTTCTAGTTTCTTTCATATCTTAATATCACAGATAATAACATCACGTTGTTGTGATGTACTCAGGTATAGTAACAAGATAATCATTGTCTTCAATGTTCTACCAACTAAACTACAAGATCAACTGTGGACTATGATGATATTTCAAAACACAGTTCTAGTTTCTTTCATATCTTAATATCATAGATAATAACATCACGTTGTTGTGATGTACTCAGGTATAATAACAAGATAATCATTGTCTTCAATGTTCTACCAACTAAACTACAAGATCAACTGTGAACTATGATGATATTTCAAAACACAGTTCTAGTTTCTTTCATATCTTAATATCATAGATCAGTGGTCTCCAAACTTTACAGCCAGAGGGCCACATGAACTTTCATCCAGCATGTTGAGGGCCGATGAACCGTATACCGCTGGTCAAAGAGCGATGAAGAAGTATTTTACACTTCACTCTTCTTGAAATCACCGACATTCATCATCTACTTTTTTTTCTTTTATCGGCCATAATGAAGCATTGAAATATAAAAAATTTCCACGTTATCCTTCAACTTTTTAAATTTTGCAATGCGCTTGAAACGGAAGTAGGAAGTTGGGACAAAAATTGATGTAAGCCACTCTTGCTAGTTGGCTTGAGTCATAACGTGAACTTTCTGCACAAAAACCATGACCAGCCGACAATTTAGTATATAAAACAATTGAAGAAACAAGACATCTTGAGATTGCAGATCTCAAGATGTCTTGTTTCTTCGGAATTTGTTTTATATTATACTTTCTGCACAAAGTTTATTTTGTTTAATATTATTTTTTTTTTTCTTAAGTGTCACTGCGGGCCGGAATGAGAGGCCTAACGGGCCGCATCTGGCCCGCGGGCCGTAGTTTGGAGACCCCTGTCATAGATAACAACATCACGTTGTTGTGATGTACTCAGGTATAGTAACAAGATGATCATTGTCTTCAATGTTCTACCAACTAAACTACAAAATCAACTGTGAACTATGATGATATTTCAAAACACAGTTCTAGTTTCTTTCATATCTTAATATCATAGATAATAACATCACGTTGTTGTGATGTACTTAGGTATAGTAACAAGATAATCATTGTATTCAATGCTCTACTAACCGAACTACAAGATCAACTGTGAACTATGATGACATTTCAAAACACAGTTCTAGTTTCTTTCATATGTTAATATCATAATTAAAAACATAACGTTATTGTGATGTACTCAGGTATAGCAACAAGATAATCATTGTCTTCAATGTTCTACCAACTAAACTACAAGATCATCTGTGAGCTATGATGCTATTTCAAAACACAGTTCTAGTTTCTTTCATATCTTAATGTCATAGATAATAACATCACGTTGTTGTGATGTACTCAGGTATAGTAACAAGATAATCATTGTCTTCAATGTTCTACCAACTAAACTACAAGATCATCTGTGAACTATGATGCTATTTCAAAACACAGTTCTAGTTTCTTTCATATCTTAATATCATAGATAATAACATCACGTTGTTGTGATGTACTCAGGTATAGTAACAACATAATCATTGTCTTCAATGTTCTAACAACTAAACTACAAGTTCAACTGTGGAATATGATGATATTTTAAAACACAGTTCTAGTTTCTTTAATATCTTAATGTCATAGATAATAACATCAAGTTGTTGTGATGGACTCAGGTATAGTAACAAGATAAACATTGTCTTCAATGTTCTACCAACGAAACTACAAGATCAACTGTGAACTATGATGATATTTTAAAACCCAGTTCTAGTTTCTTTAATATCTTAATATCATAGATAATAACATCACGTTGTTGTGATGTACTCAGGTATAGTAACAAGATAATCATTGCCTTCAATGTTCTACCAACTAAACTACAAGATCAACTGTGAACTATGATGATATTTCAAAACACAGTTCTAGTTTCTTTCATATCTTAATAACATAGATAATAACATCACGTTGTTGTGATGTACTCAGGTATAGTAACAAGATAATCATTGCCTTCAATGTTCTACCAACTAAACTACAAGATCAACTGTGAACTATGATGATATTTCAAAACACAGTTCTAGTTTCTTTCATATCTTAATAACATAGATAATAACATCACGTTGTTGTGATGTACTCAGGTATAGTATAACGGTTTATTTGATAAAATTTAACAACAAAAATATTCTAACCTCAGTCGCCGTAACGGGAACAGTTGTGTCAGCGTTCTTTCATAAAAACAAAAATACACAATAAATTATCCAACAAAACGGCAAAATTCCAAAAGCTGACTGAGATAAGGAGTACTTACGGTCTGTTCGTAGGACACTTGTTGTTGTTGATCGTATGTTTGGGCGTATTGCGAATAACCTGGATAATATTGGGCTGCAACAGCTGCAACTGCCGCTTGCTGTTGATAACTGGCCTGCCATGCTGCATAATACTGTTGATATTGTTGGTATTGCTGGAGATACTGTTGTGTTGTTGTTGGATATGTCGTTGTTGTTCCCGTTAATGGGACTGTCGTTGGCCTTAGGAGATATTAGTAAACTTGATATAGCTGGTTATTTTGTATATGTTGTCTATAGAGATGTTGTTTATGAAGATGTTGTCTATAGAGATGTTGTCTATAGAGATGTTGTCTATAGAGATGTTGTCTATAGAGATGTTGTCTATAGAGATGTTGTCTATAGAGATGTTGTCTATAGAGATGTCGTCTATAGAGATGTTGTCTATAAAGATGTTGTCTATAGAGATGTTGTCTATAGAGATGTTGTCTATAGAGATGTAGTCAATAGAGATGTAGTCAATAGAGATGTTGTCAATCATATACTTAACAGAGGCACCTTACTTTTTAGGTGTAGCAACACTAACACGTATTGGCTTCCCTCCACACCCTCTGATGCCCTGCATCTCGATCATCGCACGCTTCTGTTCACTTTCTTCTCCGAAACGGACAAAGCCGTAGCCACGAGACATACCAGACGAATCCATCACAACTTGCAGGGAAAGAAAATAATGAAACGATTTTAAAATGACTTGCTTTATCAACTAAATGTGCTGTGAAAACAACCTTTAGCAGCTTTGCATGATGGATAACGATCACGGAAGAATTTCTAAAAATTGACAAAGTGAATAATGAGAATTGATTGTTAGGAGTACCAGGATAGATTGTTACTAATTTCATGGAATAAGTGTGCACATGGGAGGGGGAGGGGGTATGTTAACAATGGTTTTTAAATTCCGCTAAAAAAACGATGAAATGCAACGTCAAGTAATCCAATTATTCAACTTAGAAATGTCAGATCTGTATTTTGAGGAAATGTGTAGTGAAATTGAGAAAAGAAACCATTACACAACGTAAACTAAGATTTTTCAACATTAACGACCATTGTAGTTTAACATGTGAATAATTATCACAACTAGCTCAATACCTATACAGGGGGGTGTGAATTATAAATAAATTACGAATATTGCCCCTCCCCCCGGCTCAATAATGATGCTGGCAGTACTGAAACAATTGCCCGTGAACGACCACTTCGTGTAAACTCATATTTTGAAATTCAAGATGAAATATACGAAGCTTTGATAAATTAAAGCGTCATTACAAAACGCCAAAGTTTGCAAATGAATTTTAAACTTTATAAGTTTTCCGAAGAGTTGCGTTTTGTCTCGTTAATAAATATATTATATCGCAGCGCGAAGTCTCGAAACCGACTTCCCTTCGAAAATAACCGCCCTTTGAAAGTACCCCCTAAAAGTAACCGCCCTTTTGAAAGTAACCGCCCCTACATAGAACTTTGAAGAACTTAACAACCAATTTACAACATTTATAATTTCATCCACGCGCAATTGTGTCCACTACCTAAAACCTCAAACAACTTTAAACACATTAAAAAATACCGCTTATAAAGCGTGGATTAAGATTCGACAATAGAAATCAACGAATGCTCAAAACTGAAAACAAAGTGCCCCTCAAAAGTAGTCGTCCTTTGCGGTCATTTATTTCAAAAGCAGCGCATGCCGTTCTTGAAAGACTCAGCATGATTCTATAATTGATTGAGAAGACAAACCAGTAATGTCGGATCATCAACTTCAGCTGTAAGGTCACCAACAAAAACAGAATATTCGGGACCTCTAAAAGAAGGAAGGATGTCAAATGATGAGACCGAGCGACGTGAAGATTTCTCACAAATTGTCACACAACCAACTTACTGTGTTTGATTGTCTTTGCCGTAAGATGCCCAGTTGAGTTTGAACCTTTTGGGCTAAGAAAAGACAAAGTTTAAATACTTAATGGTAGTTATCTAGACTATAGTACTGTGTACAGGAGTACCGGAGGCCGGAGCTTCGGCTATTTTGGCCTGCCGGAGTTTGTTCATCTTCGGCAAAACTCCGCCAGTAGGCCTTTGTACTGTAAAATATTGTCAAACTTTGGTAAACGTGTCTGATCAAAACATTTGTTTATCAACGAACGATAACTATCGGCTAAAATTGAAAAACTTGCATGAAAATAAAACATTTTTGCATGAAACAACATGACGCTACATTGCGTTCACACATGCTTATTTATGAGTCAAAGTCGGAGTGCGGAAATTAAACTTTACATATAAGAATTTTACGAATAATATGTCTTAAACTGTTGAACAGTGAATAGCAAAATTAAACAGCCATAGTCAGTGATTCGAGTTATAAAATAGCCAGAGTTTGAAGCCGGAGTTCAGATTTGACAAGAGGCCGTAGCCGGAGATAAAAACCGGAGTTTGCACAGTCCTACTAGACTCATGGGAGAATATTACATATGTTCATAGTCACAAAGACAGATGTAATTTGAAATATATAATGTAAAGTTGATGTCTTAAGACAAAACAAGACAGGCAAGCCTCAAATGGTTTGGTCGTGCACAGAGGAATGATAATGTGTATACGCGTAGAAGAAGGTTAAGTTTAGAACTGCAAAGTAAGAGGCCCAGAGGAAGACTGAAGAGAATGCATGTATTGAAATACGTAAATATGTAAAGAGTAGAAGTTTATATTTGATGATTCTCCGTATAAAACAGTGCTCGATGCCCGAGAGCAGCGCGTAAATATATGTAGCGATGTTGAAAAAAATCACGAAAACTACAGATTCATCCCCTGAAGAGCGAGCAATCACGAAACAGGCTTGTCGGGATGAATCTGTAGTTTTTGTGATTTTTTTCAACATCACTACACATATTTACGCTCTGCTCTCGGGCATCGAGCACTGTTTTATACGGAGAATCATCAAATATAAACTTCCTATTACGCTCCAAGATAAAATTTTGTTGAGCACTCTACGATAATCCGCAATGGAGAAAGTCAACTTCAACTACAGCATCAAGAACATTCCTCTACCATCACCGAATGAATACTTACAACGACTTATTGAAAAATCTGAGACCTTCCTTCGTAATATGCGCTGGAAAGCTCACTTCTTCCTTAACCCGAATACTACCACCGCTTGTGTGTATATTTTAAGCATTTAAGTATTTATTCATTAAATCCCCTGAAGAGCGAGCAATCACGAAACAGTCTTGTCGGGATGAATCTGTAGTTTTCGTGATTTTTTTCAACATCGCTACATATATAATTGAAAATAAAATAAACCACGAATTACTTCATCAAAATTTATTCCCTACAGAACTGTTTCATATGGCAGTTGTTTAACTTGCCACACTCATCAGGAGAATAAATATAATATATATAAAGAGTATGTGTAGTGGTGTTGAGAAAAAAATCACAAAACTACAGATTCATCCCGACAAGCCTGTTTCGCGATTTTTTCTCAACACCACTAGACATATTTACGCTCTTCTCTCGGGCATCAAGCATTGTTTTATACGGAGAATCATCAAATATAAACTTCCTATATAAAGAGTACATAGTTACGTACAAGGATGCTAAGTTTAGAACCGCAAGGTACATAACTGACTTAGAAGATGAGCAAAAAGGATGTACATAGATTAAAAGATTGATTGACAACTTATAGTTAGTTTGAGACAAGAGTATATTTTCAACAGAAATTTAATAAATGGATGTACGAGAATTTCCTGCAGTGATTCTAAAGAGGAGAAATCAAAAGAGACAGAAAGGATGAGAAAAAACGAGAGGTTAAATAGACGAGAAGCGATTTAGAAACAGCAAGTCTTTTAAACAATATTTTTGCTTATTTAATAATAAACATATACGTACTGGGTTGGTTCCAGGAACAGGTACCCCATTCAGTGTATTCAAAGCATTCTCGGCATTTTTCGATGTTGGAAAATCAACAAAACAATATCCAGCTGGTCCACTAAAATTTCGTGAAAAATCATTAATGTTTACGGCCAGCAAAATCAAATATTTATTATTTACGTCTTTGATTGGAGAAAAAAGACGAACACTGGCAAGTCAAGTGGATGCCATACAATGAAAAGACTTGTTCTATGAAATGCTTGTCTTTTAAATTGAAATGCTAGTTTTTCTGTGTTCTCTTACTGCGAAAACAATAAATTTCTAAAAACTGAACAATGATAATGCTCCGAAATTTACAGAGCATGAGAAAAATTTTCGGGCTGGCTACAGTACTGTACATAATATCTTCTACCGAGCCTTATAAGTTTTAAACTTTAGAGAATTTAACTTAGTAATTAGACAGGGAAGTGCGCATTATGCGCAAAAGATCTTGAGTGGGCAATTTTAAACAAAGTATACAGCAGCTTAAACGAGTAAATTTTGAATCTAAGGCGCATAGTATAAAAACTTTGAAAGTCTGGTTGAAGAATTCCAATTTCGATGTCAATTCTTGACAACAACCAAAGGCAGAGAAGACAAGGTGAAATGAAAATGGGGCTGATCGGGGGTGGCTTTTAGCAAATAAATATTTCAAGATTGTTGATGACGTCATGACGTCTGTAATGTTAGCGGGCGATAATGTTAAACAAGGAATGTTTAATCTTTGGGATCAACGGGATCCCGTTGAGTCACCTGAATTTTTCAGGTTCGTGAGACAATTGCTTAAATTGTCCAGCAAAGTGCGAAGATCATATCTTCATTTAATGTTAAACAAAGTCGTAAAATTTCAAAATATTACCCTGTTAATTTATTGATAATGACTTTCACAGTAGTGACGGCATGGCCAGCTGATACAAAAGCAGCTCTCACAAATTGCTCATTCATGTAAGGTTCCAGCTACAAATACAAAATAACAATCTTCAACTCCACGTGGTGTCAACGCTACGAAAACTGCTCGAGTGTATTTAAGCACAAACAACGTTGTCGGCCTGTCCGCGACGATAAACGAAATGATTCTACATCGACTTACATCACCCATCCAAAGTGTCGACATTTTAAGAGCCACAATACGCTGGGAGAATTGTTAAGGAGAAGAAAGCAAGCAGAAACGAGCAACTTTTCACTTTGATACAAACAAAGGAACCGCCATGTTGAATAATTGCGATACTATTTTTCATCTCTCAAAGTAATAGCCACGCACAACACACGCAAATCATGCTAACTATCAACGTATGTATTGCAAATTGGCATAATTTATATCATAGGCATAAATTATAGCTACTGTTGTCCAAAAGGACTCGACCAAATGTGGCTTCCAGAAAAACGTAAACAATTCAAGCCATCTATATTCAAACAAATTAGACAAAGAGTGTTGTTGAATAATATATGCAATCTATATAAAATATTATACATAAATTATATACAAAAGTTACATAAATTATATACAAAAGTGTACATAATTTCTCCTAAAAGTCTTGAAGTCTTACGTCGTTGCTTTCGCAACTGGAAACGCTTTCTTTCTCGCCCAAATGCTCACGTGACTCTATCACGTGCTCCCGACATGGCAAGGAACGCAACAGATTTCTGCGCAAATAACGCGCATGCTCGGGATTCGTACAATCCAGGTAAGATCGCTGTCTTATTGCCCTGGGCAACTGCTGCATGGAGACGTCGTCGATTTTGATTAAAACAATTCGCTCGTTTAAAATATCCGACATTAGTTCGCTGTGCATTGCAATTTGCAATTCCTGTAAGCAATAATCGCTTTGAACGTAATTCTTGGAAACAATTATCAAAGTTTTTCGGCTGCAGTAAACCGAATCCACCATATTATCGACAATACTTCGACCTAGTTCCCAGTCTCTCTGGTGAACGCAGACGATCAAGTTGAACGGAGGTGACTCCAGTAACTGACAAAGATTTTCGACCCACGAGAAATCGTGACTGCTGTAGGAAACGAAGACATCCCAACGAAGTTCCGGCTCCTCTTCGGGGCAGTTGTCTGTGAGAATACACGAAAACATGGATTGATGTGGATAGTTAAGGATAAAAGTTACCGAAAAGACTTCATCAGCAAGTTTATTACAGATGAATTATAAAAATATGAAATACTTACTGTAAAATTTCATCTTGATCTTCCGTCTTAAAAGCCAACATAGCCAAGTAGCAAAAACCCACTTAAAGATCCCAAATACTCACAATCAAAACCAATTTTAAATTGAATGTCCGTTTCTTTGTACTTTTGACATCGTGTGTTATCACTGAAAACAAAGTGTTCCACTATTAATGATGTTGTCTATAGAGATGTTGTCTATAGAGATGTTGTCTATAGAGATGTTGTCTATAGAGATGTTGTCTATAGAGATGTTGTCTATAGAGATGTTGTCTATAGAGATGTTGTCTATAGAGATGTTGTCTATAGAGATGTTGTCTATAGATGTTGTCTATAGAGATGTTGTCTATAGAGATGTTGTCTATAGAGATGTTGTCTATAGAGATGTTGTCTATAGAGATGTTGTCTATAGAGATGTTGTCTATAGAGATGTTGTCTATAGAGATGTTGTCTATAGAGATGTTGTCTATAGAGATGTTGTCTATAGAGATGTTGTCTATAGAGATGTTGTCTATAGATGTTGTCTATAGAGATGTTGTCTATAGAGATGTTGTCTATAGAGATGTTGTCTATAGAGATGTTGTCTATAGAGATGTTGTCTATAGAGATGTTGTCTATAGAGATGTTGTCTATAGAGATGTTGTCTATAGAGATGTTGTCATAGAGATGTTGTCTATAGAGATGTTGTCTACAGAGATGTTGTCTATAGAGATGTTGTCTATAGAGATGTTGTCTATAGAGATGTTGTCTATAGAGATGTTGTCTATAGAGATGTTGTCTGTAGAGATGTTGTCTATAGAGATGTTGTCTGTAGAGATGTTGTCTATAGAGATGTTGTCTATAGAGATGTTGTCTATAGAGATGTTATCAATAGAGATGTTGTCTATGGAATGTTGTCTATAGAGATGTTGTCTAGAGATGAGTAAAAATGTTGTCTATAGAGATTGTCAATAAGATGTTGTCTATAGAGATGTTGTCACAGAGATGTTGTCTGTAGAGATGTTGTCTGTGAGATGTTGTCTGTAGAGATTGTCTATGGAGATGTTGTCTATAGAGATGTTGTCTATAGATGTTGTCTATAGAGATGTTGTCTATAGAGATGTTGTCTATAGAGATGTTGTCTATAGAGATGTTGTCAAATGTTGTCATAGAGATGTTGTAATAAAGATGTTGTCTATAGAGATGCTTCAGAGATGCTTGTCTGTAGAGATGTTGTCTGCAGAGATGTTGTCTGTAGAGATGTTGTCTATAGAGATTTTGTCATAAGATGTTGTCTATAGAGATGTTGTCTATAGAGATGTTGTCTATAGTGATGTTGTCTATAGAGATGTTGTCAGAGATGTTGTCATAGAGATGTTGTCTATAGAGATGTTGTCTATAGTGATGTTGTCTATAGAGATGTTGTCTATAGAGTGTTGTCTAAAAAGATGTTGTCTATAGAGATGTATGATGTCTATAGAGATGTTGTCTATAGAGATGTTGTCTATAGAGATGTTTTCTATAGAGATGTTGTCTATAGTGATGTTGTCTATAGTGATGTTGTCTATAGTGATGTTGTCTATAGTGATGTTGTCTATAGAGATGTTGTCTATAGAGATGTTGTCTATAGTGATGTTGTCTATAGAGATGTTGTCTAGAGAGATGTTGTCTATAGAGATGTCTATAGAGATCAGTCTATAGAGATGTTGTCTAAAAAGATGTTGTCTATAGAGATGTTGTCTATAGAGATTTTGTCTATAGAGATGTTGTCTATAGAGATGTTGTCTATAGAGATGTTTTCTATAGAGATGTTGTCTATAGTGATGTTGTCTATAGTGATGTTGTCTATAGTGATGTTGTCTATAGTGATGTTGTCTATAGAGATGTTGTCAATAAAAATATTGTCTGTAAAAGTTGACAACATCTGCATAAGTATAGTCCAATACGCATCATCTGTACAAATCGACTAAAACAAAACAAGAACAAACCTTTCACGTTGAATTGTTTGTAAAGATTCTCACACTCCGGATTGCCAGACATTATAACAGCACAGAAAAAAGTTCCACCAACAGAAGCTGTAGAGTTGATGAAGGTCAAATTCATAAGATAAACCATCGCGTCTCTCGACTCTTTTTTCTCGATTGTAAAAACGCTCATATTGTCTTGATTTGGCAAAATGGGAAAGAGCGAGGCGTTTATTTTTTTAAACATAACAAATTTTGCTCGATTATGGTCGTATTTATGATAAAAAACTTTACAAATGATGGATTTTGACGATCCTGTATCGATTGTCACATTTCTTTCCGTCTGCTCGTTGTTGAAGCGTGGACAAGGATACTTGTGGTAACCTGAATATCATGCGAAATAAGAGTTGCAATTAGAAAAACGTCTTCACCTACATCACTACCTACCCTGCCATACATCCTTGTATTTCTTATATATTTTAGATAGTGTAAAGACTGTTCTCGTTCGCTGTTGTTCATTCATCACTACCTACACTGACACACGTTATTTTATTTCTTATATATTTTAGATAGTGTAAAGACTGTTCTTGTTCTCTGTTGTTCATTCATCACTACCTACACTGACATACGTTATCTTATTTCTTATATATTTTAGATAGTGTAAAGACTGTTCTCGTTCTCTGTTGTTCATTCATCACTACCTACACTGACACACGTTATCTTATTTCTTATATATTTTAGATAGTGTAAAGACTGTTCTTGTTCTCTGTTGTTCATTCATCACTACCTACACTGACACACGTTATCTTATTTCTTATATATTTTAGATAGTGTAAAGACTGTTCTTGTTCTCTGTTGTTCATTCATCACTACCTACACTGACATACGTTATTTTAATTCTTATATATTTTAGACAGTGTAAAGACTGTTCTCGTTCTCTGTTGTTCATTCATCACTACCTACACTGACACACGTTATCTTATTTCTTATATATTTTAGATAGTGTAAAGACTGTTCTTGTTCTCTGTTGTTCATTCATCACTACCTACACTGACATACGTTATCTTATTTCTTATATATTTTAGATAGTGTAAAGACTGTTCTCGTTCTCTGTTGTTCATTTATCACTACCTACACTGACATACGTTATCTTATTTCTTATATATTTTAGATAGTGTAAAGACTGTTCTTGTTCTCTGTTGTTCATTTATCACTACCTACACTGACATACGTTATCTTATTTCTTATATATTTTAGATAGTGTAAAGACTGTTCTTGTTCTCTGTTGTTTATTCATCACTACCTACACTGACACACGTTATCTTATTTCTTATATATTTTAGATAGTGTAAAGACTGTTCTTATTCTATGTTGTTCATTCATCACTACCTACACTGACACACGTTATCTTATTTCTTATATATTTTAGATAGTGTAAAGACTGTTCTTATTCTCTGTTGTTCATTCATCACTACCTACACTGACACACGTTATCTTATTTCTTATATATTTTAGATAGTGTAAAGACTGTTCTTGTTCTCTGTTGTTCATTCATCACTACACTGACACACGTTATCTTATTTCTTATATATTTTAGATAGTGTAAAGACTGTTCTCATTCTCTGTTGTTCATTCATCACTACCTACACTGACACACGTTATCTTATTTCTTATATATTTTAGATAGTGTAAAGACTGTTCTTATTCTATGTTGTTCATTCATCACTACCTACACTGACACACGTTATCTTATTTCTTATATATTTTAGATAGTGTAAAGACTGTTCTCCTTCTCTGTTGTTCATTCATCACTACCTACACTGACACACGTTATCTTATTTCTTATATATTTTAGATAGTGTAAAGACTGTTCTTGTTCTCTGTTGTTCATTCATCACTACCTACACTGACACACGTTATCTTATTTCTTATATATTTTAGATAGTGTAAAGACTGTTCTTGTTCTCTGTTGTTCATTCATCACTACCTACACTGACATACGTTATCTTATTTCTTATACATTTTAGACAGTGTAAAGATTGTTCTCGTTCTCTGTTGTTCATTCATCACTACCTACACTTTGTAAAAAGCATTTTTAAATGATGGGCCTACCTAAAATTGTCCTTTTCGACAGATGGAAATGAAGCTTTTTCGATTTGCCATAAACATTCCCAGCCTCACACGAATACTTCCCAGTGTCAGAAATGTTGGGATAGTTTTTGAGTAAACTTGATTCGTACAAATTTTTGTCAATATTCCTGTTCAAAATTTCAAATTCCGAGCTATTTGATAATATCTGCACATCATCTTTGTACCATTTCACCCAATCAGGTTTAAAATATCCTTTAGCATAGCATGGTAATTTGAAAACACCATACTTGCCATCATAGAGACCAAACTTTATGTGTGGTGGGCCTGAATACAATGAAAATATATGATGTTACAGAAAAACTGAAGAATAATGACTGGATTGAAATAATTTAATAGCAAAAAAAAATGAACGGTTATTGAGATGAAATAAGAAGAGATGAAGGAGAGTTGGTCAGAGATGTAATGAAATGAAGAAATGAGAAGATATGGAATGGCGGACATTACAGAGAAGATGAAGGAAGAAAGACTGTGGTGATGTTGAGATGAAATAAGAAGAGATGAAGGAGAGTTGGTCAGAGATGTTATGAAATGAAGAAATGAGAAAATATGGAATGGTAGACATTACAGAGAAGATAAAGAAGAAAGACTGAGGTGATGTTGAGATGAAATAAGAAGAGATGAAGGAGAGTTGGTCAGAGATATTATGAAATGAAGAAATGAGAAGATACAGAATGGCAGACATTACAGAGAAGATGAAGAAAACCTAAATACACTATTGTTTATTGACATTTACATACTTCTTACTTTAACCAAAAACGAACACAATGTCAGATTGCTTTGATGAAACACGCCACATGTGTACTTTCCAGCATCTTTCCAAGTCGAATTGACAATATGAATAAAAGAACGGTTAGTCGCTATGGACACATAATGCTTCTCCCACTCAAGGGAGGTTGTCTTGTTTTGTAACTGACCAGCTGAACATTTCAATGTTAAATTTTCCCCCATATCTAATACAGCCATGCGCGAATTGTTGCCTGAACTGCTTGATATTTTGCAAGCCAGCAATCCACCTAAATAAAAAAGAAGGGGAAACCTCCTTAGTAGGCCATTATAGGAAAACATTTCAAATGTTATGCACTACTTTCAAAACATCCTGCTTATTTAAATGGACAGGTGATACGTACAAGATGCTTCACAGCGAAAGACTTATTGACATCAGGACAAGCTTATACCCACATGCTGTTACTATTTCAAGAGAACTGTAACATATTTCCCTGACAAAATCCGCAGTCGAGAAGAAAAACATTACGTCAACAGGCCTCTGTCTACGAACTTTGACATAAAGTATTAATTCGCATGTCTTTATAAGGTGAAGCTCTACGAAAGCAAATCGAATCACAATTCTTTAAATAAGCCGCTCGGAGAATTGTTCAAAAACCCTTTCCGACGATGCCATCGTCATTTCCTGTGCAAGGACAAGCACGCAATTAAAAGACTAAGGTTAATACGTATTCAAATAATTCAAACCTACCAGTAAATGAATGGAAAAGGATATCAAACAAATATACAATTGCAGTAATCTTCAACATAATAACCTCTGGATCATAAGCAAAGCAAAAGCCATCAAACGATTGACATCGACATCAATGACATGCGTTTATGCTCTTCTTAAGTCCTGACAGAGCATTTTAAGTGCTTTTTCGACTTCCCACATCAATTATCGCGATCCGTAAGGAAAGACATAAATTAATATCCGCTTATTACACATTTCCAATTCTCGAAATCTCCTTATCATATCATCATGAAGAGACACTTCCTCATTCCACTGAACTGTATATACAAGAGACACTGGAGTGAGTAACTAACATTTTTACTAAAAGCTCTAAACCATCATTCCAAGTGAATGGATTTTATGATATTTTCTTTAATTTATCTTATGATTAAGTTTTTCTTATATTTTTTCTAAAATAGGAATATATAGACTCTGTTTTGCGAGGACCATAAAATTCTATTCGTTATTCCAGTTCTCACATCTAAACTGTCAAAGCCTGTTTATCGCTCGGAAAAACATTTAATGACAACTCTTCCATTAACTCATCTCCCGTCTCCAAAGACTCTGCGCCGGTCACAATAAGAGAATGAGCAATAGACTCTTCTGTCTGAGTCTCGTCAAAAAAATCACAAGCCGCATTTACATCTTCCTTCGCTCGGTCTTGCACGCGCAACGCTTGTAGTAATTTTTCTTTAAAATACTTCCTCTGCTGTTCGTCAGAGAAATCCAAATATGACTTCTTCTGCAAGGATTTTGGCAATCTTTTCAAGGAAGCATTGTCTAATTTGATTAAGATGATTCGATCTTTCAAAGCCTTCCGTTTTTCGAATTCCAAAGCGATGTTTAACTCTTGCAAGCAAAAAGGACTCAGCAGGTAGTCCTTTGATACAACAAGAAGAGTTTTCCGGCTGAAATAAACGCTTTCCGCCATGTTGTCAACGACTGTTCGACCGACTTCCCAATCTCGTTGATGCAAACAAACTGTTAAGTTAAACGGGGCATTTTCTAGAAGTTTACATAGTTCTTTGACCCATGCAAAATCTTTGCTGTTGTAGGACACAAACACATCCCAACGCAGCTCAACATCGCTTTCTATATAATGGAAAAGTAAATAAACAGAGAATGAGAACAGTCTTTAAACTAATGAAAATATATAAGAAATAAGATAACGTGTGTCAGTGTAGGTAGTGATGAATGAACAACAGAGAACAAGAACAGTCTTTACACTATCTAAAATATATAAGAAATAAGATAACGTGTGTCAGTGTAGGTAGTGATGAATGAACAACAGAGAACGAGAACAGCCTTTACACTATCTAAAATATATAAGAAATAAGATAACGTGTGTCAGTGTAGGTAGTGATGAATGAACAACAGAGAAGGAGAACAGTCTTTACACTATCTAAAATATATAAGAAATAAGATAACGTGTGTCAGTGTAGGTAGTGATGAATGAACAACAGAGAAGGAGAACAGTCTTTACACTATCTAAAATATATAAGAAATAAGATAACGTGTGTCAATGTAGGTAGTGATGAATGAACAACAGAGAACAAGAACAATCTTTACTAAACTAAAATATATAAGAAATAAGATAACGTATGTCAGTGTAGGTAGTGATGAATGAACAACAGAGAACAAGAACAATCTTTACTAAACTAAAATATATAAGAAATAAGATAACGTGTGTCAGTGTAGGTAGTGATGAATGAACAACAGAAAACAAGAACAATCTTTACTAAACTAAAATATATAAGAAATAAGATAACGTATGTCAGTGTAGGTAGTGATGAATGAACAACAGAGAACGAGAACAGCCTTTACACAACCAAAGAAAAAAAGCAGCTCGGAAAAAGGAAATCCCAGCTATTTCCGATAACTACACCCACCATTAAGATACCTCCTTTTCAACTTCCTTTTGCGCAAACAAAAGACGAAAACAACGACTGACACTCCAGCAAAAACACTTCCTACAGCCAAGGCAAGAGCCATCCCGAGACGTCTTGACGCGTCTGATACAAGTCTACTTTCTATTTCAAATCAAACAAAATTATTTAGTACTCAGTGCTAGATGTGCAATTCAAAACCACGTGCAAAACCACGTGCAACACCACGTGCAAGTCATGCCATAAAAAGCTAAGTTAACAGGCTCAAAATAACGGTCAGCAGTCAACGCACAACAACCGTACAATCTTTACCATGCACATTTTCGCTCCTTCCGCAAGAATTATCAATCAGACCTTTCTGTTGAAATATTGAATGTCAGTATTGAATGGTGCAGAAAAACGGTGCTTGCTCTTGAAGCAGTGTAATAATATACCGACAGAATTTGGACCGAAGGGGTTGATTGTGCATAGTTATGTCCTGTTAAAGAGCTCTTTGACGAAGCTAAAATGATATTGACGGCTCATCTTTCTTCCGTTATTTTGAACACTTTTTACGAACTAAACGTAGTGACAAAACTCTCTTTACACATGAAGGCCAGCCCGCATGAGGGCCATTCCTTTACACATGAAGGCCAGCCCGCAAGTTTTATTCCTGATACGTACATTTCATATCATTATCATTGTTCATTTCTTTCTTTAGAAAATTATTGTTCGGATAATGAGTGAACACGGAATCTTTATATAGTACGACTAAACTTGTGGGTTGGCTACAACACTAGTTACGTCCCTCAACATACAGTACTGCAGTACACTTTAGTGGAACACATGGAATAAAATAAAGAAACGGTAGCAGTGACGTCATCAGGAAGGACGTTTGACGTCATCAGGAAGGACGTTTGACGTCACCAGTGGAGGTTTGAAATAGGGAAACCCTTAAGATTACTCTTCTACATACAAAACATATTAATATTTTTCAAAGTATAAATGAAGAATAAAGTCTTCGAAGTTTTACGGGGGGGTGTCAGAAAACTGCTCTCCTTGCCTCTCCCCCCTTGCTGAGGCGAATAAATGGTACATAACATTACAAACAAATTATTGACGACCAATAAGGTTGCCTTTATTGTAAATGAAAAGTAAAAACATCAACTTACTCAGGGTCACATTAAACTGAGGTGAATGTCCACATTTATGAATGGCAGAAAAATTTTTCCTTCGATAAAAACAGGAGTAGAGACCTGCATCTTTAAAACCAGCATTTATAACGGGGTGTTTAAAAATGACTCTATCGGCCCTGTGATTAAAACTTTGGTGACTTTGGATTTCAACAATGGTTTGATTTCCATGTACAACACCATATTCATAACAGTTTTCAAGAATTGCTTTATTGTGAAGTGTACTACCACTGTGGAGTTCACATTTGATGGTGAATGATCCACCATTATCAACAGTTATCAATTGCTGTCCAATATTATGCCATTGTAAACATTCCAATTCTCAAAATAAAAGAAAGTCTGGAAATGATTTTTGTTCTTTTCATTGTGGACTCTGTAGTTGTTCTTGTAGTTTACTATACCTGAGTACATCACAACAACGTGATGTTATTATCTATGATATTAAGATATGAAAGAAACTAAAACTGTGTTTTAAAATATCATCATAGTTCACAGTTGATCTTGTAGTTAAGTTGGTAGAACATTGAAGACAATGATTATCTTGTTACTATACCTGAGTACATCACAACAACGTGATGTTATTATCTATGATATTAAGATATGAAAGAAACTAGAACTGTGTTTTAAAATATCATCATAGTTCACAGTTGATCTTGTAGTTTGGTTGGTAGAACATTGAAGACAATGATTATCTTGTTACTATACTTGAGTACATCACAACAACGTGATGTTATTATCTATGATATTAAGATATGAAAGAAACTAGAACTGTGTTTTGAAATATCAACATAGTTCACAGTTGATCTTGTAGTTTAGTTGGCAGAACATTGAAGACAATGATCATCTAGTTACCTATACCTAAGTAAATCACAACAACTATAACGAAATACATACCATCGAAGCAAGAAAGTACATAAGATTTATTCAAAAAACCTTCAGTGGTTTCAACAACACACATGTAAACATCGCCATAAAGATAATTTTCCACTGAGATATTCCCCCATGTAACATTACCAACACGATGTGACTTCACACTGAAGGATTCTCTCCCCCTGTACCAACTGATATTCACCGTTAAGTTCCATGAAACACGACAACTCAATTGAAGTTTATGGTGATGTTTGAAGGTAGTGAAGATGTCAAGAATGGATGACACTAACCCATAGAGAAAAATACATGTCATGATACGCAATTGACTTCCCACAAATATCTTTGTCTTTAAGGAAGACATTGCCTTTCCTTCATTTCATGAAACTGTAAATCTAACAAAAGACGGCACAAACCTGTGTTGTTTCCAGGGGTTATAAACTTCGCTTCTATCAACTTGATGTATTGGCAAAAATATGCATATAAAAACAGAATTTGTAAAAGGCAATTGATCATACCACTTCGCATCTGTAAGTCAACAGTTAAGGTTTAGAATAATAACATTTCAAGTCAGCAGAATGAATAGTTCACTTGTGATTTGAATTTATGTGTTTAGAGTCAAAGTAAAGTTTATCGTTGGCGTTACTTCATGTAAAAATAATATTATGTTTCGCAAGAGGGGAACCAATGATGGGGCTCCTCACTGGATGTGAAACCCACAGATGTCACAGATCGTCAAATTTCTTATCTCTTTTAAAGCGCAACATGTTCTCAAAAACTATTTGGAGAGAAAATTCGGCATCGAATATCTTCTTGGAGCAGAGTACAGTGACAAAATCACTTTTGAATCATGAAGTTAAGCAGTTTGCAAAATAAATCCTCACGAACATGTTTTAATTCACGAACAACAGACAAGCCGACCACAGCGCTTCGTAAAAATTTATCATTTTCATTTTTCAAATTCTTCAACGTTTTTCAAGATTCAGCTTGCACCAAAAACTACATTTCTCTCTCACAATGCAGCAGTTGAAAGGCATATTAAAATCGTTTATCACTTTTTTCGAACTTGTAAATGACAAGGGAAAATCAAGAAAAACAGGTTTTAGGTTTAATGAAATTGAGCCTGCGTTTACCTGAACAGCATTCTTTTCAAAAGCGCAAATCAATACTTGGTAATGTATCACATGAAGTATATGACGATATGTGATTCACACGCACATTCACTTCGCTCACCGTGAGTCAAGGAGTTAATAAAAACACAATAACACCTATTTTTCATTTTCCAAAAAATGGATGTGAGAATTGTTCGTGTCGATATACGATACATCTTCGATAAAAAATACTATATGCCATTAAATTAGTAAAAATATTTCATGCATTAAACTGAAATTCACTCATTACTAGCCCTATCTCTCAAAGTGTCTTCAATTTGAAAATTAAATACGCTCACGTTTTTTTCACGGGGAAATATTGAGATGAAGTCAGAGCAAGCCTAAAAACTGTTTATTCACAAACTGGGCAACATACGTCAGGGGATGTTTGGGGATCGTCGCAGGGTAACTTTGGACAAACTTGTGTCTCGCATTCTGTCGTTAATCCCTAAAAGCAATAGAATTTGAGATGTTTCCAATTGAAAACGACACAACTGACGCGTTCATGAACATGGAATCAATCACTGTGGTCAACGAGGAAGGGAGTATGACGTAATAACAAGCCTCATCATTGGATCTAATTTTCCATTATAGCAAGTTTGCATTTGAGCTGGTGGGGTTTTTTTCTTGGTGGTGAATGAATTTAAAAATATTTTCCTACAGGTTTCTGATAAAATTACGCTAGGAAATATTCATTAAAAGATGGGGAAATTCGCTATTAGTGGTGAAGAAAATCGAAAAAGCTTACCTTACAAACACAAGTTTTACAAGAATTTACTCGCCATGACTCGTCAACATTGCGTCGGTTTCCCTCGTGATCAACGCAGTGGACTTGATTATGTTTCTTCTCAAAATTTTCACCCTGAAGATAAATAAAATAGTCCAAATTGTTTCCTTTGAAAAGTATATTTAAATTTTTCATGTAACGACGAGCTTTGGACCATATTGATGTTTCAAAACATAGAAAATAACATCACGTTGTTGTGATGTACTCAGGTATAGTAACAAGATAATCATTGTCTTCAATGTTCTACCAACTAAACTACAAGATCAACTGTGGACTATGATGATATTTCAAAACACAGTTCTAGTTTCTTTCATATCTTAATATCATAGATAATAACATCACGTTGTTGTGATGTACTCAGGTAAAGTAACAAGATAATCATTGTCTTCAATGTTCTACCAACTTAACTACAAGATCAATTTTGAACTATGATGATATTTCAAAACACAGTTCTTGTTTCTTTCATATCTTAATATCATAGATAATAACATCACGTTGTTGTGATGTACTCAGGTATAGTAACAAGATAATCATTGTCTTCAATGTTCTACCAACTTAACTACAAGATCAACTGTGGACTATGATGATATTTCAAAACACAGTTCTAGTTTCTTTCATATCTTAATATCATAGATAATAACATCACGTTGTTGGGATGTACTCAGGTATAGTAACAAGATAATCATTGTCTTCAATGTTCTACCAACTAAACTACAAGATCAACTGTGAACTATGATGATATTTTAAAACACAGTTCTAGTTTCTTTCATATCTTAATGTCATAGATAATAACATCACGTTGTTGTGATGTACTCAGGTATAGTAACAAGATAATCATTGTCTTCAATGTTCTACCAACCAACTAAACTACAAGATCAACTGTGGACTATGATGATATTTCAAAACACAGTTCTAGTTTCTTTCATATCTTAAAATCATAGATCACGTTGTTGTGATGTTTTTGGCATAGTAAGAAAATAAATTTATACCCTAACAGAAAAATATCAAAATCAAGATTAAAAATAAGACACTATCAAAATTCTTAAGCTCTAACTTTAATTTCATTGTAGAGGTCTGCTGTCTCGTTTCCATTCTCCTCATCAAAACTGCTTCTTCTTTTCGATCTTTGTAAGTGATTTAAATTGCGTGAGATTGTAAAGGTTCTGTCGCTGTCATGACAATGCTCTGTTGTAAAAGAAATTCAAGGTGAGTTGCATAAGATCCTTATATTCAAAATATTTTTCAACATGGTACGCATGTTTTATCTAATCTCTTGGATACACGAAATTATGCTACGTCACAGCATTGATGTTGGAAGATCGATAGTTGGGATGGGAGGGAATACATTGGACAACAATGGATCTTAAATGAACTTGATACATAAGTCATCATGACATGCATTTATGAGTGTTGCCTCGCTCCCGGACCTGATAGTAAATGACAAATGAAAATCAAGAAAACACGTTTTAGGTTTAATGAAATTGAGCCTGCGTTTACCTGAACAGCATTCTTTCCAAAAGCGCAGATCAATTCTTGGTAATGTATCACATGAAGTATATGACGATATGTGATTCACACGCACAAAGACATCTGGTTGAACGTGTTTAATATCATCACCGTTATCGCAAAGCACTTTTGCCAGAGATGTCCGCTTTATCTGTGTGAGTTGTGCGGGCTCAAATACGCCGTCATATTCATACCAAAACCTGGATTAAAACAGGAGTATGATTATGATGATATAAACGATGATTGGTTGGTAGCGTTCTTACCTATCTCCGTCTCTAAGATTCTTAAATTGTTTTGCTATAAGACACTGGAACGTAGGGCCCAAAAGACCACCGGGCATAATATCCTCGAGGATTCCAGCTACCCATAGGTCAATCTTGTCGACACTACCATAAAGCTTTTGTAATTTGTTGATGATACTGTGATTTGAAATAACCGCACGCAGCTCATCAAACGTTTCAAATGATTCCAGGTTACACAAAACACGCCATTCGTTGTAACCAGGCAACCCGTGATCACGTGATCGCTGCACATTGAGTGCGGCAAGATCCAGTGCAACGGCATGCGCCATCTCAAAAGTCTCTCGGTTAGTTCAGTGTTTAGAACCCCACCGCCTTGAACGCGCCTGTCTTTTGCGGGCGAGAAAAATAGCCCCCTTAAAATCGGATCGATTCCGCCCTCCTCGACTATTCTATAGGGCGCGAAAAATGCCTTGTGAAGAGGAATATCTCCTTCCTCTATGGTCTGGAATGATGAGTTAAGACGGCTTAATATAGGATTAATTAAACTGTGACCGAACCTATAGGCCGCGGTCGCAAAGCTGTTAAATATTGTAGCATCAACATCCGGGTTGTAGCCTGAGTACTTTCCAAGAATTTCCATGCCTGCCTTTCCAAGAATCTTGGGTAGGTAATGCTCGTACGAGATATGCTGCATTTCCGCACCGACAATTTTCCGCGTTTCTTGATATATTTTCTCGCCACTCCATGCTGGATTCAATATACGAAGCTCAGTGGCAATGCGATTGTGCTCGCGCATCCAAAGCGTGTGCATGGAGAGCAGACCAAGTTGTTCGTTGGCGCGGTGATCACCCGCAAGGAAACATGGGATGGGGCTATCTCTTTCTGACTTCAGACATTCAATGGGTGTTCCATCATTAAATGGTAGAAGCGATTTACCTGAGAAACGAAAACAGAAAATGCAATTTCAAGAGGACTATTTGTGTTAGTACTAATTGACGTTTCGTTATCCACAGCTATCTTTAGAATCAGGAAGACTACAGCTAAAGCCTGGCTCTCGTTAAGTCGCTCGAGTTATCTGAGACGTTCCGAGTCGTTCCGAGTTGTTTCGTTGTTTTTCAAACAACTGTGACGACACAAGCTATTTTATTTCTCATATATTCGTACTTGCGCTACCGAGAGACTGTTTAATTAATTTTTACGCGGAGAATTTGAAAATGGCAGTTGCCGTTCATCAAAGACAAAATCTTTTGGCTAGTTATTTGCTTCTTCAAATCGTTTTGCGCCATAAAAAGGTCGCTTGCATTTCTCAACGATCGTTTCGGTCGTCCGGATAGAGCAAAGTTCTATCCAAGTGACCTTAGTCGTTTTAGTCGTGTGAGTCATTGAAAAGTCACTGAAAGTTACTGAAATGTTCTCATACAGTCGCACGGGTCGTTTATGAAATTTTGGCACGACTGAAACGACTTGGAGGACTATATGGGAACCAGGCTTAAGGATGCCAAGACATCATGCACTTAACACTAAAGCCAACAGTATTCACATCTCTATCCACAAGATAATCCACATCTCTATCCGCAAGATAATCTACATTTACAAACATGCGTACGTACAAACAACAGTTACCATTAACGCGCAGTCCAGTTTTTAAGAGTCCATAATCATTGTCAAAATCACGCAAATGCTCTTCCTCATCACGTGACGATCCATAAATACTTGAGCCATCCAAATATGACGTAATCTGGTTCATTTGCTCGCGTGTTGAAAGGATGCTAAAAGACGGAGGTCGCCCCAGTCCCGCAGGCCGAGCTCGATCGAGTGAAGGTCATGCACTTATGACGTTTTATCCTCTTGTCTCCAGGGGAATGGGAATAGGGAAGCAAGGGGATTGGTTCTCACACGTGCTGGTACAATCTTTACCGTCAGTAAACCGCTGACTGCTAGGACTCGTGACCGTAAAATCAAGATCGTGATCCAAAAACTGTCCCCATTGCATTAGCATATGAGTGTAACTAGCATCCGGGTTACTATTCGCTGTTGATATGAGCTCGGTCGAGACAAGCCGGGCACTGGGTAAGAGTTCTTTATTCCGCCATCCCATTGGTGCATTAAAACCATTTTCATACACGGGTCTCAAAAGGCGTCGAAATGCTGTTAACGAGGCACCCCACATCGGATTCTGAAGATTATTACATGTTCCATCAATGGTGCGATATTTCCGGTGTTGGCATAAGTTCTGCGTACAGTTCACCATACGTCTATGTTGTGTGCATCCAGACAGGTTAGCGATCATCTCCAGATACGTCGGTGACACAAGATCGTAGTAATTATAAGAGATTTCGCTGATGTTCAACATCTTTCCCTTTTCGACATTCTCGTGAATCAATTGAATAGTAGTCTCGAAAACCTGTAATGACGCACGAGAAAAAATACATTGCTATGTGGAAGAGATTTACGTCGCACGCTGATTGGTTGATTTGAGGTTGCAATGGACAGAAAAGTTGCAAACTCTCTACCTTCGGTTTCGGCTTTTCACTGATCTGTTCTCAATTTCTCCCATGGTAAAAATATTTTATTTCTTAAACGAAGACAAGCGAAATGAATGACGTCACTAACCTCTGCAGCGCGCGCAATTTCAATTGCTTGTTTATTCGGAAAGCGGAAGAGAGCAAGCAGATCACTTGGAGACCTGGGTTTAGATTCCGCAAACAGCCGCTGGATGGTAGTTTGGATGGCTCGATTAATTGATTGCTTGGCTTGAACAATGGACGAATTGACGAACTTGTCGCCAGGCCCTTGAGACGAAGCTGAGAGAAATGAAACGAATCAAGTTTTTCTCGATGTTTCTGCTAAATTGAAATATCTGACAGAAACAATATTTTTGCTTCTTCCAAAAAAATGTAAAGGAAAATATAGTGGAAAAAAAAAAAAATTAATAATTTCTCACCCCTTACGGTGACCCTGACTGTTTTCACATCAGAACCGTAATCGTTTTTTGCAACACATTGGTAATTCCCCTCGTCGTTTCTACCAGCCTCTCGAACACTGAGCTCTCCGGATGTCTGGACCGTGAACCTGTTGCCATTTGTCACGCGGATCTCATCTTTTATCCACGTGATTACGGGAGTGGGGTTACCCCGGGCAACACATGCAAGCGAAATGTCATCTGCCACGTTTACAATTACATCTTTGGAGATGGAAACGATTTCTGGCTTGACTAAAAGTGGCGAAAAAATAGACAAATTAAACATAATTTGAAAAGTAGAGTATCTTTTTTTGTTTTATCATGATGTTCACACACCTTCACGATAAAAACTGTCGGAAAACAATCGTGAAAAGTAATCAAAACCTCAGCGGATTTTCGGAAAAATCTCGGAAGTCGTAATTGACCCGGAATCGGTCACGTGTTATTGGCAATAACTTGTCGCAACACATCCGTTAACAATGATTAAAAGCAACGTGTCAAATACGTTTCTTCGATGTTGTGCGTTATCAGCATTTATTGCTGGCTAATTAATAGAAGAAACGACAGCATTTGCTCTCCAACATTCATAGTATGGTCACAAAGATTTCCATTGAAGTAAAAACTGACCAATACTTTGTTCACTGTTGCACTTCATAAAGCGCTTTACTTCATGTAAGTTGAAACTTTGTTATGAAGTGATAAGGCATACAGAGGCGTCACTAGAACGTTAATTGGGAGGGGAGTGTATGTTCATATATTCAGCTGTGCCCTTTGATCTCTTTTGAAATTCAATTCACTTTCAAAAGAAATCAATATGGCACAACGGAATATATGAATATTCACCCACCCCCCCTCCTAATTAACGTTCTAGTTACCCCTCTGAAGGCATCTAGATGTTTCTAGTTATAAGAATTATCACAACAGTCTCATTCGTTACCTCTTGGCATAACAACAAGCTCTGAACGAGCTGTTCTTACACCGATCACGTTGATCGCCTGACATGTATACAAGCCTCCATCCCTTTCCTCGACTTTAAGAATTCTCAAACTACCGGTCGTTGTGATAACATGACGTTCCTCGGAAGGTAACCGCGTGCCATCTTTGAACCAGGTCATTGCAGGCGTAGGATAACCTTCAGCACGACATGACAGTAGCGCTGAACCACCTTCTACGACTTCAGTTGTTCCTGCTGGCTTTACACTGAACACTGGTGTGGCTATAATCAGATTAGTCAAGAGTCATACAGGGGGGAGTGGTGGACAGGGAACCAGGGAGGGTAAGGACATCATACTTTTCTTGAAAGAGGGCAATGCTCACTCGTTTTTCGTGAAAAAAAAAACATGGCTAGTATAATGAGAATCTCACATTTTTAGCTCTATATAAAGATAAGTTCTCTTAGAATTTTTTTCTTTGTCAGCAGATAAAGTTAATAAAAAATTAGGCCAGCTTGGTAAATTTCACTCAGAAAAATTTTTACCTTCTATTGTATCTAACGTGTACAACATGCAGAAAACATAATGTTACTGGCAAATTGGTAATGATACTTTCCAGAATGCGCCCTCCCCTTCCACAATTATTGTGTTTCTGACACCCTTTAATGATATGAGTGTATGAGCTACTCTTAAAAGAAAACGCGTTATAACAACAAAAGACTTTGTCGAATAACTGTGTCATTCGAATTTAATCATTAATGGCAAATCTAAGCTAGGTCAAGATAAATTATAGTAGCTCATTTTAAATTCAAAAGACTTTTAACAAAGCTGTTGGTTAGCATTTTCTAAAGACGATAATGCTCAAATAGGATCTGCTCTGAAGCATTTTGAAATAGAAATAAATTTTCAGCAATGTATTTTGAACTACGCTGAATCCACTGCTGACAATTATGGCTAACGAAGCTTACTTTTTATAGTGAGAGAAGCAGATGCAGTGATGTAACCGACTTTGTTTCGTGCTCTGCACGTGTATCGCCCGTGATCACGGCGTCTTGCTTCAGAGATCTGCAATGAGCCCGACTGCAAGATTCGTACACGACGGGATAACGTGATAGCATGTCCATTTTTACTCCATGTTATCCTTGGATTGGGAATTCCTTGAGACGAGCATTTTAGCATCACGGCATTCCCCTCTACCACCTCTGTATCGTTAGGTACATCAATGAACTTCGGAGCAACTGTACATGATAGAAAGGGATAAAAAAGAACATCCTTGAACAAGTTGGTTTTTTTCAAACTTTTTCAGCTGTTTGTTTGAACAGTATCGAAAAGAACGGTAGAAATGAGCCGTTTCAATGACGGTTTACTCCACTTAGGTGGATATTTTTCTGTTTGATTCTGTCTAATAAAATCACTTGACAAAGTTGAATTAAGTGATTTGATAATACACAGTAAACTGATTCAAAAACGACAAAGTTTGCACGAAAAATATGTTTCCATTTAATTTCGCCTATGAACTAAATATGACTGACTGCTATTTCCCGCCAAAATTTGAAACCAACAATTTAACTAGTCCCAATCTTTTCACGCACAACCAAAAGAAAGTTAATGATAAAGTTGTGAAATGCGGGACTTAACCTCTATACATGCGTGTTTGGAGGTAATATTTGGCTTGATGTAAGAGCAGGTATGCTCAACAAAAGATAGCCGTCTAGTTATATATTAAGTTCAGTTCACGTACCCTCTTCTTCATGATAAATAAGGCGCGCGCTCCTGACTTGTCGACCAGCGGAGTTGCGTGCTACACAACGATACCTTGCCTCGTCATTTTTACCCGGTTGCAATATCTCTAAAGTTCCATCCTCCAGGATGACATAATGATCATTTGTTGTCAACTGGACTCGATCCTTTAACCAAGTTATGGTAGGAGTAGGAATGCCCCTGGCCTTGCAATAAAAGTACGCGCGACTTGGGGGTCTGGAACTAATAACGATGTTCGTTGGTATTTTGATGAATGTGGGAGCACTGCAGGCTAAATCGCTGGCTCTTAGAGACACGACGGTACGGCTAATTAGGTCACGTGGCATAAAACACGTGGACTTTTTGTTGCTGTGTTTCAGCTTGCGCAGGAAACTCGTCAACCATAGCAAGTCGCACGTACAACGGAGAGGATTTCGTTCAAGAAACCTGGGAAACAGACAATCGAAAACCACGTGATGAACTCTTTCCTTTATAATGCATCCTAGGGCCTGTTCACATGAGCCCGCTAACCGGATTTCAGCGGGGCGTGAAATGAATTCGAAAGGAGTAAAAACTTTAAGCGCGAAACCTACAACCTTTTCTTACAAGCGTCATATGTCATTTTAGTCGTAATTTTGAAATCAGGCTGAATTATTTGTTTTCATTTTAAAGGTTTTGTGAAATTGCAAATTCAGAGCATAGAGAAATTGCTCAAATAAGTTTTTTGTTGTGAAGTATTTAACCTTTTCCATTCGCCAAAATCATTTCACGCCTCGTTGAATCCCGGCTACCGGGCTAATGTTAGGGGCCTCCTCAGACTAGGTATGCTGTTGTCGACAACTTTTCGTAGTCGACAACAAAATGAAGATGACAAACAACACGTTTTCGTGATTGCAGTTTCCCTTGCAAAAAAGGGAAACCGCTTCGTTGTCGACAACTACAATTTTACGCGTTCAGTAGACAACTTATTCCACAGACGGTGTTTTTGCTTGTCGACAGACAACATTTAGTTATCGACAGTGCTGTAGAACTAAATTTATCAGAAGGGGGGGCTCTCTTACGTTTTTGCTAATAATACCCTTTTAAAATTACCAATTTCAAAAGTAGAAGGGGGGGTCATCCCCCAAGTGCCCCCCACTTCTACACCACTGGTTATCGACTAGGAAAAGTTGTCGATACCAAAATACCTGGTCTGTGGAGGAACTAAAATACTTACAGTCTATTTAAATTGGAAAGACCAACCAAAGATTCTTTTGTTAGCGTGAGTAGTTTGTTGTCTGATAAAAACCTTAGAGTAAATAAAAAAAAACCCATCATTACTTCGAAACAATGCAAATGCGGAATTTTATGTCGATATTACTCACAAACTTTCCAATTGATGCAACTCTTGAAACGTCCTTCGACTAATCGTCTTGATTTTATTTTGTTGAATGTGTCTAAATGATTTTAACGAGAAGGCTTGATGAAAATACATCAGTTGATATAAAGTACGCTAAATGGAGTACAGAGTAGATCAATATATAAAGGTATTTAGGTACAGTGCGGGATATCAAGGTTTAACGTGAAGACTTGATGAAAATACATCAGTTGATAAGAAGTACGCTCAATGGAGTACAGAGTAGATCGATATATAAAGGTATTTAGGTATAGTGCGGGATATCAAGGTTTAACGTGAAGACTTGATGAAAATACATCAGTTGATAAGAAGTGCGCTAATTGAAGTACAGAGTAGATCGATATATAAAGATATTTAGGTATAGTGCGGGATATCAAGGTTTAACGTGAAGACCTGATGAAAATACATCAGTTGATAAGAAGTACGCTCAATGGAGTACTGAGTAGATCGATATATAAAGGTATTTAGGTATAGTGCGGGATATCAAGGTTTAACGAGAAGACTTGATGAAAGTACATCAGTTGATAAGAAGTACGCTCAATGGAGTACAGAGTAGATCGATATATAAAGGTATTTAGGTACAGTGCGAGATATCACGGAATATCAAGGGTTACAAAGGCATACCAAAAACCATAAAATATACCATGGTTTACTTAAATACGCATAAGGATAACATCTGATGAAGTGGGATACAAAGGAATAACTAAGAACCCAAAGGACGCAGCATGGTGGCATGGGATAACATGGGATAGCATAAGTATGAAAAGGAGCAATTGAAGTGAACTAACAATTCAATATTGTTAATGGTTAACGATTTAAAATTGAATATTCACCTTAATACTTACAACTGATAAAATATGAATAGCTAAAAACCCAAAGAACACAGCATGGTGGCATGAGATAACATGGGATAGCATAAGTATGAAAAGGAGCAATTGAAGTGAACTAACAATTCATTATTGTTAATGGTTAACGATGTAAAATTGAATATTCACCTGGATACTTACAACTGATAAAACATGAATAGCTAAAAACCCAAAGAACACAGCATGGTGGCATGGGATAACATGGGATAGCATAAGTATGAAAAGGAGCAATTGAAGTGAACTAACAATTCAATATTGTTAATGGTTAACGATGTAAAATTGAATATTCACCTTAATACTTACAACTGATAAAACATGAATAGCTAAAAACCCAAAGAACACAGCATGGTGGCATGGGATAACATGGGATAGCATAAGTATGAAAAGGAGCAATTGATGTGATATTCACCTTGATACTTACAACTGATTAAGAGAAGACAACCCGTAAAACGTGTCGGAGTCTAATGACACGATGAAATTGTTCTCTAAATACCTTAAAGAAAAGATTTCAATGATTTTCATCGCAGAAAGGAAGGTTTCTTTAAATCGTATTTTCGCAATCTAACTGCTATCAACGCGTGTACTTACAAATACTTCAGCTTTCTAAGGCCACCGAACGCACGACGTTCGATTGAACTGATATTATTGGCGTTTAAAAGTCTGAAGAAAAAAACATCAATAAGACTTAAAAAAATTCACTTTTTATCACATAATTGTACTACAAAGCAAAGAACTTTAAATAAATCTCACTTACAAAGTTTTCAACTTCACCAAACCTCTAAAATCGGCTTTATGTACACTTCGAATCCAATTGTAACTTAAATCTCTAAATGAAAGAGGCGAGTATGTTCAGCATGGAAAAGTTTCGAAAAATGATATGAAAGTTTCACGTTGTTTGAAGAGAAAGAGTCAGCGTTTCCCTGCAAGTTTTTTTATGATTGTTCGACATTTTTTGTTTGGTGTCAAAACAAATCCGTTTATCACAGTGTTGAGCCGGTTGTTCAATCACTCACAACAAAACTCACTTTCTCCGTTGCAAATGAAACGTTACGTTCACAAGTTAAAGTTAAGTTTGCTGCTTTTGCTGAATTACACAAACATGAATGAAAGAAGATGACGAAACAGTCGCAAGTCACAAATACAGTTTTGAGCAGAACTATCACACTAACGGGTTACTTCATTTAACGATAAACAAAGATAGCATGAACGACGACGAAAACGGGGGAAGTCAAGAATCGGACGCAGCCTCTCCATGCTTAGGTCACTAAACTATACGTGACGTTGCATCTGTTTCACAAAACTGTATCATCTTTCAAATCACTTGAACTTTTGATCAGTTGTGTAGTAAAAATTTTTCATTCACTGTGAAAAGTGTTGATAACTCGTTTTCGTGGAAGATATATTTTCAAATCTCGCAAATAAATCAAATATTTGCTTACAATCTGGTGTTGACCGCGAGTTTAAATCAACATTTCCGTCGTTCGCGTCTCTCGCAAAATATGCAAATTTCGTAGGATTAAAGAATTGTTTAGCGGATTAAGGACTGCAAATAACGAGATCTAACTAATGAAAGATGAACGCAGGTCTCAAAAAATGATAATAAATAAAATAAGAACGCAATACTAATACTCTGTAAATATTGAATAAAACACCCACACTCTCACAAAACGGCAAACTCATTTTTCTTTCGAAGGCAAGATTTTCGTTTAAAATTTTAAAGTCGGGCAAATCATTGAAGTAAAAATATCGTCTTTTTAATATAAACTCGAGCAAGTCAGTGAAGTAAAAATACCGTCTTTGAATAATTATGAGCTGATTTTAAAGCCCTACTCAATGAGTGCTAGTGAACTTCAAGAATACACGCGTTATCATCTCGTTGAATGTACTAGAAACATAATGGCTTTTTAAAGAGGTAAACAAAAGATTTTTGTATTAATCATAAAAGTTTTTAAGTAGAAATTGAGCACTAGAACACGATGTAAAAGTCCATTTTCGAAATAGAAGAAATTCTACAATACCCTATAAACATAAACGGCTGTTTAGAAGTGTCAATATAGTTATCTTTCATTGTGGAAACTCGTCGCTGACAATTATTGGTGTTTGTTTAATCATAACTCGTACTGTCATTCCGTTATTTGAGCTTTTGGCTAAAACCCAATGCAGCCAACGTCAAAAAGACCGAATATGGAACGAGTATGTCTATCGACGTATTGAATTTTCAAACAAGAAGGGTTTTAATTTCTTACTTTATATATACATGACTGTTTTCCGTTTTCGATGACATTGAAAATGAAAAAAAATACGTGTAATACAGACGGGGCGGTTCTTCCAGTAAATTGGAACTTTAATTTTATAAAGTATTTCATTTAGACTTAGTGTTTTTCGTGCAGCACGATAAATATGACACGTTTACAAAAAATCTGACATCCGTTCCTCACATAAATAAACAACTAGTAACATTAACCGCGGTCGCACGTATAGCCGATTGGCATCGACAGCAATTTCGGCTTTTTGTCTTCAAATCATAAAAATGGAAATAGACGTGTTTAAAACTTGATCCAATTACGAATGGACGAGATTCAGTGTGCTTTTTATTCAAAAAAAGCGGCTAAATGAATGAAGCAACGGTAGAAATGAAATAACGCACAAATGATATTTATATGAAACCAACACAGACAGTCTTATTAACGACTATGCGTTGCGTATGCGTATCACGAGTTTGCGCATTTTATGCTAATTTAATTTTAAAGTTCTATTGCAGTAGACATCGAGAAGATTTTAATGTACTTACAAAACGACGGTGGATATGGGCACACGAGGAATATGTGTGAGGTTGATATTGTTACAACGTACTGTAGGACCATCACTTGTGTTATAACACAGACAACCTTCGGGACATGTGCTTGAGCAGGTACTTATAAACAAAATCAAAATAGCAAAGAATAGACGTACCATATCAGCCATGACGAATAATGTCCACTGATAATGGTCATCATCTACGACAATGGCTCGCAAACTCTCGTGTTACAAAATATTTTAATCGCGGCGGAAAGATTAATTACCGCAGTCAAGTTTTCGCGCGTGTACAGACAAATTTTAACATTCAATGAATATTTCTACAAATTGACGTGGACATTCGTTTATCAATTGTCAAAAATGTCTCGTTCTTGATTGTCGTTTTATGGTGAAACAACCAAAAATAAGCTTGGATGTGACTGGCGAAACACACCTCGACCGCACCGGAAACCGTAATTTCATTATGTTTGTAACCTGATGTATGTTCGTAAAACTGATACTTTAATTTGACATAATTTAGCCAAATTTCCCGATAAACAACCCATCATTAATGCAATAGTGTTTAAAAATCGACGTTTATCGAAAGCATCTCACCACGCATTACAAATCTAATTACAGCAGACAGATAATGTTTGCCAATAATTGGCGTGGAAGAAAGCTTCAAAGTGTTGACCTGAGCCAAAAAAGTACAGACTAACCGTCGGCCACACTATCGTCGAAATGCAACGAATTTCGTGACGAGTCGCTCGTCAACGATTCGTCGTGACGAGTACATGTGCCACATTGTAACGATTTGCCGTACAAGCATGGACGATTATCAGCGCAAAAAGAAACTTCTATTATTGAAGAGAAAAATTCTACTGCTGCTAATTTCTGCAAAACGACGTAGATACAAAAGAAGGTTCTGGGTACATCCCATAAATAGAAGGCGAGAAGAGAAGGGCTTGTATGACACGTTGTTGCAAGAGCTTCGTCAAGATAATGAAAGACATTGCAAGTATTTACGAATGACAGTTGAACATTTTGACGAAATATTACGTTCAATTGCACCACTTTTGACAAAAAAGGACACACATTTGAGAGCAGCAATTAAACCAGGACTAAAGCTTGCCATCACATTGCACCATTTGGCTGAAGGAGCGTCTCATAACGCCATAGCTGCGCACTATCGACTGGGTCGTTCAACAGTATCAGAGATTATTTACAGCACGTGTGATGCTCTTTGGAAAAAAATGCAGCCTGAATATATGACCATGCCATGTGGTCCAGAAGCATGGAAAAAGATATTTGATGGGTCAGTTTCTAATTTAGATAGCTGTGTACATATTGATTGCAATTGTGCAATAGAACATTAATATTATAGAACTATTTGCTAGTCAATAATAGCTGTATATTTCATTTATGCAATGTTTATCAGATTTGAAAAATGGAATTTCCCCCATTGTCTTGGGAGCATCGATGGAAAGCACATTTTGATCCAGAAGCCTAAGCATGGTGGATCGGAGTATTTCAACTACAAACAGCGGGAGTCCATTGTACTTATGGCTGTAGTTGATGCATCATATAAATTTATTACCATCGATGTTGGAAAATCTGGTAGCAACAGTGATGGTGGCATTTGGGAGTCATCAGGTTTTGGAAGAGCTTTGGAGAACGGTTAGTACTTGGTTTGTCTACTTCGAGCAATTTTGCTTTTTATTATATAACTTTTTACTTGTCACAGGACGTGTAAACCTACCATTTCCAGCACCTTTGTCAAGAATTGAATCAGGTGAAGCATTGCCCTACATGTTTGTAGGAGATGAGGCATTCCCATTGCGCCCATACCTAATGCGTCCTTTTCCTGGCCGGTCACTGGACAATGATTCACGACGGATATTTAATTATCGTTTGTCACGTGCTAGGAGAGTGGTAGAGAATGCATTTGGTAAGTTTAACTCATTTTGTGAATTGTTTTATGTAATATTAAACTTATTATGAATGACACATGTTTGTTTCCTTGTAGGTATCATGTCTCACAGATGGAGAATATTATTCAAACCCATCATTGCAGAACCATCAAAAGCTATTTCATTAGTTAAAGCCATCTGTGTTCTACACAACTTCCTGTGTGTTAAGAATGATCTCAACTATACTCCTCCAGGGTTTTTAGATTCTGTTAATGAAGCTGGCAACATAACAGAGGGTTTTTGGAGGACAAATGCACCTAATCAAACCTCTACCACTGGCTACAACAGTCGCAGTGCTACTCAACAAGCCAGTCAAATTAGAGAAAAACTTTGCACATATTTTATAAGTTCTGAAGGTTCTGTGGAATGGCAGTGGAAGCATATAAATCGTCGATAGTGGATATTATCTTTTGTAGGATTTTGTTTTAATACATATGGTCATTTGTTTTTGAAGCAGAAATAACTTTATATATGTTGTAAAGATATACAATAAGTATAATAATAGGAAAATAAACTGTTAGTAAAACATTAAAATAGTTGTGTGCTTAATTATGACATAAGATATTAAAAAAGAAAAACTACAGATACCAAATTTTTTTTTAAATAATTAACCTAGGTTGATGTCAGTAAGTGCATTATCTGGTGCAACAGACTGGATAGTCTGATCAGTAGTATTAGTAACAGTTGTGGGTTGGCTATAGGTAAAATTGGGACTGTGTGTTTGTGAAGGTGCAAATTGAATTTGAAATAAAATATTTTCAATTTCTTTTCGTGCCACAGCTTGTTGATATTCGCTCATTTTCCGCATTTTACCAGCTATTGACATGGCAAAATAGTGTAAGTCATCGTTAGGCTCCATCTGTGACATGTTAGAAAGTTCAGAGTTAACAGATGCCAACTCTTTAAGCAGCAATGCATTTTCTCTCTCAACATTACTGCGTTTTCTTTTGTTTGATCTCTTTGGTATGAAGGTGGAATTACAGGTGGAATTACAAGCAGAGACACTGGATGTTTCTTCCTGGTCCTCCATATCATCCGTTTCAGCAATATATGGTGAACTTGTTTGATCACTTTCATGGCTGCATGGTGATGAAACTCGAGGCTCAATTTCAGGTAAATTGGAAAATGAACTGCTCCTGAGAACGCAAATTTACTCGTGAAATAAATAAATATTTTATGGCGACGAAAGAAATTATGGAAGGCAAAAGAGAATATGTATCTGACTTACGTATTTTGTTTTGTGACATCATGTAACCATTGGAAACACTTCCACCATTTCCACACTGGCTCCTCCACTGCTGGAGCACCACTTGCAAGCTTTGCCTCATATGACCGTCTTTGCTGGTGAAACGTATCACTAAGGTTAGCCCACTTTTTCTTCACATCTTCATCTTTTAAAAAGATGGAAAACTAAACAAACATTCGACATAATACTGCGAGTATAATTCTATTAATTATTCGAATCCCGTTGAGTCACCTGAATTTTTCAGGTTCATGAGACAATTGCTTAAATTGCCCAGCAAAGTGCGAAGATCATATCTTCATTTAATTTCAAACACCGTACTGCATACAACATTTAATCATAACAAAATATTTAAAACTTTACCTGAATGATCAATATTGGTTGCAACTTTTAGTTCCCGAGCAACATCCTTCCAATTATTTTTCTTTATATTCCGTATATCTTTATAGTCAGGATGAAATTTGTCCCACAAACATCGCCTCTCTCTCACTAGCTCAATTAATATTTCTTGCCAATCCGCCATTTTGCCACAGCACTGTGAAAGCAAACATTAGTCATGTGATTTTTTTGTCCAATCAGAGTAGATATGCAACAGATTACTCGTCACTCGTTGACGATTTCGGTGTGCATGCTCAACGGCGACGAATTCGTCCATATCGTCATATTTTCTCGTTGACGAGCGACTCGTCACGAAATTCGTTGCATTTCGACGATAGTGTGGCCCACGCTTAAGTAAATTAAATAGAACCGACTAAATTCTGTCCGAGGATGGCTTTGAAATAAGGAAGAAAATTCGCAGTTTTATTTTCATCTTGCGCGCATTCATATTTTTTCATTTTAAGATGTCCCGTTTATTCGAAATTCGTTTTAGTTTAAATCGAGTATAAAATATTTACCGTTAGGCAACATTAAACCATAATACATTCTTAGGTTTGCTAAGCAAAGGAAAATCAAAAAACTGGTATTGACTCACGAAAACAATGAACGACCTGCGTTTGACAGCATTAAAACTTGTTTGGTCCCAATTATACGCTTCGTTTCACAAGTATGGGCGATACTGAAACGAATCGTTTACTGTAGGCAAAAATACAATACTGCTAAAATTGTTTCTCTTCGAATGAGTTTTTTAAAAAAGTGTGAAATGATAAGTGCACTTACGATGTACGTGATTTTCTCATTCACGTTAGCGGGATAAATGTGGATATATGGGATAATGATGAATGTATTGACAACCATTTTATCCAAAGCATCGTTCAAAAATACCAGTTTAAGGTTGGTATGCACAGGAAAACATTGGATAGTTGTTCGTTTTGCACTGGAAAAGTATCCTGACAGCAACCATGACTTTCTGTTTGTTCTAAACCTGTCTTGGTTGTGCTTTTCTATAAATGTCATACCTGACGTATTACTATAAAAGGAAACCTAAACTTAACTAACTTTATTTATACTAGATATCTCTATCAGTTCTAAACTGCTCTTCCTAAAGATCCAGTAAAGATCATCTCTTATTGATCCAGTGTTACTACAAAAGGAAACCTAAATTAAACTAACTTTATTTATACTAGATATCTCTATCAGTTATAAACTGTTCTTCCTAAAGATACAGTAAAGATCATCTCTTATTGATCTAGTGTTACTAGAGAAGGGAATCTAAACTAAACTAACTTTATTTATGCTACATATTTCTTTCATTTCAAAACTGTTCTTTCTAAATATCAAGTATAGATTGTTTATAAAAAACCTGGCTTTAAACAAGCTTAACATTTTATCTGATTTATGTATTTAGAAAAATGAGAAGCCTTATCGTCTTGGTCATATGTCTTAGCTCAGTCTTATCACAATGGACACAACCTTACGTAAATAGCCCACAGCACACATGGTCTGCTGTAGATAATGGAGAAAAGTTATCGTCATGGAATGGGAGAAACGCAAATACTAACGGTAATTTTTCTTTAAGAAAACAGAGCTGAGAGATAACATTGGTGCATTTGACTGAGGAATCACACGATAAAAATTTTTTTTTCGTGTAAAGATGATGATTCGAAATTTTACGAATGAACGAAGTGCGAACGAAAAACAAAAAATGAGATTTGGTGGTCCGATAAATGATACGATTCATGTCTGTTTTACTGATGTACTTTTCACATTCAAAATGTAACTTATACGAATGAGACGTTTAGGAAATGGTGAGCAGTTTGCTTGATCGCCTAATTATCTCTTTCAAATACCAATTTCGAATAATATATTTATTTTGAAAATCTGAGATATTACTCCACATAGATCGTTAAGCACTTTCCATGATTGTTTTACAACGAATTTCTCAGAATTTTATTTCATTTCAAATAACTTTGCAGTTGCTCCTTTCACTCAATCCCATTGGTCTGGAAAAGCACAGGTTTCCCAAACCGGTAGTCTACCAAGAGAGTACCAGTTTAATGGTTGGAAAGCGATGTCATCTTACTCAAATCCCACACAAGGTCAATCAATGAACCTTGAGAACTATCACACCAGTGAAAGTTACCCAATATTGTCAGAATCGTCAATGCACCGAGGAGTCACGGTCGGACCCGAGTCCACTACGACTGAATTCGTTACAAAAGATCAACGTGAGGAGGATGTTCATGATAAAAGAAGAAACGAGACAAAAAATTCTAATCCCGGTTGTGAAGTGAAACAGGATTTATCAGGTTAGAGAAACAGGCTTGACTAGCCTGGTTGTGAACTGAAACAGGATCTATCAGGTTAGAGAAACAGGCTTGACTAGCCAGGTTGTGAACTGAAACAGGATCTATAAGGTACGAGAAACAGGCTTGACTAGCCAGGTTGTGAACTGAAACAGGATCTATAAGGTTAGAGAAACAGGCTTGACAAGCCAGGTTGTGAACTAAAACAGAATTCATCAGGTTAGAGAAACAGGCTTGACTAGCCTGGTTGTGAACTGAAACAGGATCTATAAGGTTAGAGAACAGGCTTAACTAGCCTGGTTGTGAACTGAAACAGGATCTATAAGGTAAGAGAAACAGGCTTGACTAGCCTGGTTGTGAACTGAAACAGGATCTATCAGGTTAGAGAAACAGGCTTGACTAGCCTGGTTGTGAACTGAAACAGGATCTATAAGGTCAGAGAAACAAGCTTGACTAGCCAGATGTGAAAAAAAATGCTTGACTACATTATTTGCCGTATTAACAACTGAAATGCGTCAGTGAACGAAAAATCATTTCTTTGAAAATAAATAAGAATAATTCTCAATTGATTAAATATTCTTTTGTTCAAGAAAATGAATACGAAAAGCAACTACTGACAGAAATTAATAAATACCGTTTCATGCACGGAGCTGCACAACTGCTAACTAACACACTTCTGGAGAGAAAAGCTAAAAATTGGGCAGAGAAAATGGCGGCTGCAGATCGAGAATTTCTTGACGTCAACTCTCCTCATGGACAGTTAACTTTCTCAGGTAGAAAAAATATGTGCTAAATACAAAATTCCTCAATGAGCCAAATTTCAACATTAAACTTTAAATGTCCAAAATACGTAGATCTAAAAAGATGGACGACTTTAACAATGAATCTTCCCAAAGATTTTTGAGTGTTTGTTGTAAATTTCTCCTCTAGGACCAAGTGGTCTAACACCAAATGTTCAAGTGGCAGCTGCAAGACATTGGTACAACAGAATCAAAAACTACGCTTGGGATGAGCCCGCCATCTCAACAAAATCTATACAATTTACCCAACTAATATGGGCAGGAACAAAACAAGTAGGTTTTTGTTAATAAATAGTGAAACTGCATCGTAAAAAAATCGTTCGTACTGCGCCTCTAGGGAGAAATGTTATTGAGACATACCATGAGCATGAGCATAAATATTTAGTTTAGATTTCCTCCTGTAGTAACACTGGATCGATAAGAGATGATCTTTACTGGGTCTTTGGCAGTGCTGTAGAAGTGGGGGAGGCGCTTGGGGGAGGAGCCCCCTTCTACCTTTGAAATGGGTGATTTTAAAAGGGCACTATTGACAAAAAACGTCAAGAGAGCCCTCCCATCTGATAAATTTAGTTCTACAGCACTGGTCTTTAGAAAGAACAGTTTAGAACTGACAGAGATATTATAGTATAAATAAAGTTTGTTAAGTTTAGATTTCCTTCTGAAAAAACGCAAGATCAATTAAAGATGATCTTTTAACTCGTAAAATATAATGAAATTTCATATCATTCTTATCTTTAAGGTTGGTGTTGGAATCGCCAATAATTGCAAGAGTCAAAGATCTTATGTTGCGGCATATTTTGCACCAAAAGGAAACGACAGATTGCACATCGCTGAAAATGTTTATCCTGTAACAGGTGAAATAAAATCAAATGAAAATGAGACACATGAAGTGGAAGATCCAACCCCGATCTATAAAACGTCTAAATCATGAGAATTCTTCCCAAATATCGTCCTTACTAACAAATAAAATCAAATGAAAATGAGACACATGAAGTGGAAGATCCATCCCCGATCTATAAAAAGTCTTAATCATGAGAATTTTTCCCAAATATCGTCGTTACTAACAAATAAAATCAAATGAAAATGAGACACATGAAGTGGAAGATCCATCCCCGATCTATAAAAAGTCTAAATCATGAGAATTTTTCCCAAATATCGTCATTACTAACAAATAAAATCAAATGAAAATGAGACACATGAAGTGGAAGACCCAACCCCGATCTATAAAAAGTCTGAATCATGAGAATTTTCCCAAATATCGTCATTACTAACAACATTTTCTAATATTTTAGCGACAAGAGCAGACAAAGGAGCAGGTAGGCTTCTAAAAACAGTATTATATTCAGCGTCCTTAACCCTTTGTTGCACGAATTATTTTCGCCGAGCGAGCTCCATCGTGTTCGTTGATTGTCGCCCTGAAGCAACGCCATGCAGCAAAGGGTTATTTCAGCGTAACTCGCTCGCAGTCGCATCTGTAGTGAATTGAAACTTTCACCAGTCAGCGGCTGCATGTTTGTTGTCGCCACTGATCTGAAAATAAACTGGATAACGCACTCCGCTCTTTCTGCGAAGCCAGAACTGCCATATTGGAAAGCCCCACTTAATATGAAAAAATAATCATAATATTAATAAAAATCACATTTCCACAAAATCTGCCATGTCTATACATGGCTTTGGGTTCCAAAAATAACAGAAATACGTCGTTGTTAAAGCTCTGTCGTATATTAAAGTTTGTTTTCGCTCCACGAGTGAGAGTGGGACCTAGTAATTGGGTGATAAGAATAGTGGCACCCGATTATTTCGGCTTCAACTTTTGATTTGGCGTTGTATAGCTATGCGCTATATATTTGATTATACATATGTATGGTTGTCGCGCGTGTTGTGCGTTGCGCTTCACGAGTTTCGCGAAGACTTTGCTGCACGTACACAGCACGTACACAGCACGTACACAGCACGTACGCCACAGTTTCTTATTCACTTAACCCTTCGGTGATAGTTGCTCTGACGCGACGCCATGCAGCAGAGGGTTAATTGATTACATGTTGTTTTATAAACTGCTAGATAATTGCCCAACCGGTTGGCATAGAATAAAGAAAAGATGCTACAGGTATATCAAGATTCCTTATTCCTTTTTCTCTCTCTTTTTTTGAGTATTAATTTTAAATTTTAACTTTACCAACAGGTATTTCAGCAACAACGTGAAGTGGTCGGAAGCTGTCAATCTCTGCGATGACGAACAAAGCTCGTTGCTGACAATTGAGAGCTCTGACGAAGAGATCACGATAAAAGTATTCTTGCTAAAGACGAGGGAACGGAGGCCTGGATCGGGCTTAGTGACCGCGTCCATCCGGACACGAAAAATATGATTTGGGTAGACGGCAGTCCTATCACCTACTCCAACTGGTACGCGTATCAAGATAATAAAAGAGAAGGACGTATGTGCGCCACACTTTCGATGCTGAATGGTGGATGGATGTATCGACCATGCAGTCAAATGTTTGGATTTATTTGTAAAAAGAGAATAAAAGGTATCATTCTGAAAAATAACTTTCAGTAAAGGATGCGTTGTTTTAAATATCTTGTTGATTCCGATGTGACTAAAGAAAGAAACCTAGACCGAACTAAAAACCATGACCAGCCGACAATTTAAAGAAATATAGTATAAATATAGTATAAAGCAAATTCCGAAAAAGCAAGACATCTTGAGATATGCATCAAAACAAGACGAGAAGTGAGCTGTGAATTTTCGACTTTATTTCAAAGTCATCCTCAGACAGAATGAGGATGATGTTATTGATACTGGATATTTTTACCAGTTCTAAACTGTTCTTACTAAAGGTTCAGTAAAGATCATCTCTTATTGATCCAGTGTTACTACAAAAGGAAACCTAAACTAAACTAACTTTATTTATACTAGATATCTCTATCAGTTCTAAACCGTTCTTCCTAAAGATACAGTAAAGATCATCTCTTGTTGATCCACTGTTACTACAGAAAGAAACCTATACTAAACTAACTTTATTTATACTAGATATCTCTATCAGTTCTAAACTATTCTTTCTAAAAATTTAGTAAAGATCATCTCTTATTGATCCAGTGTTACTACAGAAGGAAACCTAAACTAAACTAACTTTATTTATACTAGATATGTCTATCAGTTCTAAACTGTTCTTTTCTAAAGATTTAGTAAAGATCATCTCTTATTGATCCACTGTTACTACAGAAGGAAATCTAAACTAAACTAACTTTATTTACATTAGATAATTTTATCGGTTCCAAACTTTATCATATTTTTTTTTGTATATTAATAACAGACGGTTATTAAAGAAACAAAATAAAACCCAACGCACCTTATACCAATAGTTTTAATATTTTTTCATTGAATTTCTAGGAATTGTAACCTATTGGGTGTCCCTGAATTTTCCCGAAAAGTTCTGGTCTGACAACTTGAAAAATGAAGAAAGTTTACGTTATAAAGCAATGAAACGACATTTGGAAAATGCAGTAAGAGGAGATAGCTATCATTTTAAGTTCAACGCGAGAATTTTCGTCAGTGCTGTAGAAGTGAAGGGGGGGGGCGCTTGGGGGAGGAGCACCCTTCTACCTTTCAAACGGGTACTTTTAAAAGAGCACTATTGACACGAACGTCAAGAGAGCCCCTCCCCCATATGATAAATTTAATTATACAGCACTGAATTTCGTGTAGATCACCACTATAAATTATTTGCGTTGTTTGTGATCACAGCTGGGCCAATATCATTTTTATACAACTCTTTCATTTTGTTGTCAGATAATGAACTTGTATGCAGACGATGACTGGTTTGTTGATATGTCATTCGAAGGCTTCAGGTAAGATAGTATTTTTGTCATTAATCAAGAAGGAACGATGAGATCTTCTTTGGTCTATATGTCCTTCATGTGTTTGCAATGAAGACTCGATATATCAATCTTATATGGGAAAGTTTGTTGTTATTAACACGAAAGAATTGAAATCAAGATAAATCGTGTGTGTTCAAAACAGGATTCAAACAAATAAAATAGGCTTTGTAGAAATGTTTAAGGCAATGCAAGCTTATAAAAAGATTATAAAACTCTACAACAAAATGAGCGCTATGACAAACTGAACTCTACAACAAACTGAACTCAATGACAAACTGAACTCTACGACAAACTGAACTCTATGACAAACTGAACTCTATGACAAACTGAATTCTACAACAAACTGAACTCAATGACAAACTGAACTCTACGACAAACTGAACTCTATGACAAACTGAACTCTATGACAAACTGAATTCTACAACAAACTGAACTCAATGACAAACTGAACTCTACGGCAAACTGAACTCTATGACAAACTGAATTCTACAACAAACTGAACTCAATGACAAACTGAACTCTACGGCAAACTGAACTCTATGACAAACTGAATTCTACAACAAACTGAACTCAATGACAAACTGAACTCGACGACAAACTGAACTCTATGACAAGCTGAGCTCTACAACAAACTGAACTCTATGACAAACTGAACTCTACGACAAACTGAACTCTACAACAAACTGAACTCTACGAAAACTGAACTCTATAACAAACTGAACCGAGATCCTTTTATTCCAGTCAATCACCAGATGATAAAATATTAGCTGACTTCAAGATAGCATTCTCGCCTGACGGTGACGCACCTTCGGACCCTCTCAAGAATCTACGGACAAAGCTCGAATCAAATGGACTTGTAGAAGGGGAGAAAACGTTTATACAAAATGCGTCCTTGCTTGAGGATGATTGAAAGTAAGCATTTGCTTATATTGTTTTATTTTTAATGTAGTTTTTTTGTCTTGAGAGGCGGACGAAAATGTTGTGTATGACTAGAGTCGTATTAATTTCACGCTCTTTCAATTCATTATCTAGTGGCAACGGCGACCGTTACTAAGGTAAACAGTGATAAAGATTGGATTAGGGATCAGGTATTCTGAAGAGTAGAAATCTTCTAATGACAAGAAGGATCGTGATCAAGAAGTAACTTTGGATTAATTGAGATATTGAAAACTTCTTAGTGTTTGAAAACACGTTTAAACATACTGAAAACACGTTTAAACATATTGAAAACACGTTTAAACATTTTGAAAACACGTTTAAACATATTTAAAACACGTTTAAACATATTGAACACACATTTAAATATATTGAAAACACGTTTAAACATTTTGAAAACACATTTATAGATGTTGAAAACACGTTTAAACATATTGAAAACACGTTTAAACATATTGAAAACACGTTTGACGTTCAAAACGATCGCTTGCAAAGCACACATGCAGTTTTGAGCCGAACTATCACACTAACGGGTTACTTCATTTGAAAAATCGTCGTACAAGATTCGCCATATTTTGGACCATATTTTTTGAGAGTCGAACCGTAATTTGTTAGAACACTTATCTTTAGTTCGCGTATTGATATTAAATGTATTCAGTTATTGAAAATATAATACAATTGTGATTAATTGTTAAGAAGCAGTACATACGACCATAATTCAAAGAAACTCATGCTTATTTCCTTGAAAGTAGGATCGTGCAACCTTGTAAGCTAAAAAATGATCTTATTAAGAATAAACGTCATCAGGTTTTTTAGGGTGTTTTTAGTTGTGTTTAGAGGTCTGGGGCCGGTTGCACGAAGTCTGTACAGCGTCATCCATTGGATAGCAAAAATTTTCAAATTTGTAAAAAAGGTGCTTATATTTTTCTTACGACAAAGAAATTTTGTAATCTTCGAAACAATGTTTTATTTCAGTAATTGCACAGTTCAAATCGCATACTTTTCTCCTATAAGAGATTTTATGAATGTTCAGAAAAATTTGCCATCCAGTGGATAACGCTATCCAGGCTTCGTGCAACCGGCTTCTGGTGATATTGATATCAAATATAGTTGTTGCATCTTGGATGTTCGGATGCTTATATATTGTTGATACAGACCACTGCTGACCATGTTTAATTGCTTTTCTTTATTTTACAAAACCTAATAAACTCTACATTGTTGATTGCGTCATAACAGATTTCGCCCATTTCGCCATATTTTGGAGCGCATTTTTTTCGTGTTTTTAGTGAACAACCTGCAACCTACAACTTTTGGAGGTCTGGTGATATTCATAATTATTTATTGCACAATAATTTGGTTGAAGCCTTATGGCAAACGTTCGCGCTAAAAAACATTGCGTCGTATTGCTGCAAAGAAATGAAAACGATATAAAATTGTAAAAACATTAACAAGAATCAAAATAACAAGCTGCTTTGGTTTGTTTTAACTCAGCTAATGTTAAAAATATCCCTGTTAATGTTTATTACCAAAATAAAAGTATAAAATTTAAAAAATTGCACCTGAAACGTCGTCTTCACTCTTCATTAATATAATCCTCGAGTGGTAAACACAAATAGACAGAATTCAAGAAAACCATTATGGCAACCATCAATGTAAATAATCACAACCAGTGCCAATCACAATACAATCAACGACAACCATGATCATCATCATCATCTTGCGGCCTCAGCCGAGATTGAACTCACCATATCTTTTCAGTATTCTCTATCTTTCATAGCTGCTAACAGATTTTCCTTAGGAATTGTTGTGTCTCGTCTTATCCTATCTGGAAAGGTTAACTTGCGTGATCTATTCTCAGATGATGGGTGTCTCCAAAGTACAAATGATGACACTAGTTCATCAGTTGCGCGTGCACAATGCCTGCGAACTGAACACGTCTCTTACAAACTAAGTTTGATACTCTTGGTAGGTCTCCATATATTGTTTCTAAAGTTGGGTGGTTTTGCTAAGAGAGATTGAGGACTCTTCTTAAGAGACTTGTATAACATCCATCTAAACGCTGCTGTTGTTTTGCTGAAAGAGTCCAAGTCTCAGAACCGTACAATAAGATGGGCTCAACAAGAACTCGAAAAATTTGGATTTTAATTTTCCGATCAAGGTTGGATTTCCAAATCTTATCCAATTTGTTGCAGGCAGTCCATGCAATACCTTTTCTGATGTTTAAGTCTTTCTCTGAGTTCTTTATGTGTGATCCTAGATACTTGTAGTCTTCAACACATTTCAGAATATTTTCTGACAGTGTTTTGATCTCCTGATTGTTGAGGATGTTAACTGGCATAAATTCAGTCTTGGTTTCATTGAGATGAAGACCTGCACAGTTGGCTGCTGACTCAAGAGAAGAAAGGAGAGATTGGGCACCTTGGAGATTGTCAGACAGCAATGCAATGTCATCAGCAAAATCTGCATCAATGATGTAGAGTGCAGGGTAGCGTGAGCTTTTTCTAGGCTGATACTTCAGGCCCTTTTCATTGATAGAATCTACTGACACACGCATGATGTATTCTATCACAACTATAAAAATGAATGGTGCCAGTGTGTCACCTTGGAGAATGCCAGCCAGGATATCAAAAGGATCTGTTTCACCATCTGGGGTCAGGACAGTTGCTTGTGTGTTAGTATACACTTTGATAGCATCGATGATTTCTCCTGGTATGCCATAGAGTTCAAGAATTTCAAACATGGTATCGCGGTTAACTGAGTCAACGGCTTTACTGAAGTCTACAAAGATGAGAGCTGCAGTTTTATTGCAAAAAGTGATTTCCTCAATTATTCTACGCAATGTGAGAATTTGCCCAAGAGTGGATCGGCCTGGGCGGAAGTCATTTGATTTTTTCGCAGAATAGGTTCAACTTCAGAGCGGATTCGGTTCAAAAGAAGCTTGTTATAGATTTTTTCAGCTATAGGAAGCAAGGAGATACCGCGATAGTTAGTTGGCAACGTCAAATCACCTTTTTTGAGTATGGGAATGATTTGTGATCTTAACCAGATGGTTGGTGAAATATGGCTGGTCTTTGCATAATTGCAAAGATCAAGAAGTAATTGATGAAAGATTGAGTCTTTCCAGAGGATAGCAGGTATCTTGTCTGGTCCGAGAGTATTTTTCATTGGTTTCTTAAAGACATATTTCAACTCTGCACTTGTAAAAGGGCCTGTTGATATATTTAAGGTTTGACTGACTCGAACTTTCGGAAGTGACATATTATCTGGAAGACTTGCGGGACTGCCCAGGAGGCTATAAAATGAGAGTGCCAGTTAACAAGTCGTTGTTCTCGGCTGCCACCCTTGATGGAAGGTGGGGGTTGTGAGCCTTTTCCCGCTAGTTGGTTTATGGTCTTCCAAGCTGCAGAGTGTTGTTGATTGATATGAAGATGAGAAATTTTGGCTATTTCTCCTTTGATGTAAGCTTCTTCTACCTCTAGATAAGCTAGGTCGAGAGTCTTCTTGGCTTCTGCAATCTTCTTTTTGTTACTCTGAGAAGGGTTGCAGTGATAGGTTGATGTGATTTGCTTGAGCTTTTCACGAGCATCAACAACTTTTGAGTCTAAACTTACTGGTCTCTTTTGTGACTTGTGCTTTTTGGGGAGTGTAGATAGTGCAACCTCCTCATTTGCCTTAATCAGATTTCCGTAGATCAGGTCAATGTTAGTTGAATTTAATGAAACTTCTGCGTTAGACTGAGTGAGTTCTTGGAATCTGTTAAAGACGTTTACACTGTACTGAGTTGATAAGTACTTGTCCCTCTGAACTGACTTCCAGTCAATTGACTTCATTGGATCTGCAGTTGTTTTCTTCGAAACTCTTAAACTAAGTTTGACGGAGGCAGAGACGATTCTATGATCAGATCCAACAGAGGAGAAAGATGAATATGCTCTGCAGTCTATGACACTGTTACGCCACTTTTTACGGACCATAATAAAGTCTAGTTTGGCTCTGCTGCCATTTGGATACTCGAAGGTCCATAAATGGTTCTTATTTTTATTAAATCTAGTGTTGGCTGCGAAGAGACTAAATTCTTCAGCTAGGTCTACCAGATGCTCTCCGTTGCGTTTGGTTTCTAAGTGAAAGGTAAATTTGGCATCATCTGCTCCAAAGTTTAGCGTTGAAGTCCCCTGCGACTAAGAGAAAGTTGTGAGCAGGAACTTGCTCCAAGGAAGAACGCAAAGTGCTGTAAAAATCATTCAGATCCTCTTCATTGCTACTGTTGTGGGGACTATAGCAAGATATGACTGTTGTGGTTGGGTTGCCTTTAAAGTCAGCAATAATAATCCTGGGAGATATCTTCTCTATGTGCAATACATTTTCCATAGCTGCTGAGAAAAATAGGAAGCCTACACCTCCAACAGATGAGTTGACAGAGTTCTTCCAAGATGATGCTGTAACGACATGATAGTCTTCTATTTTCTGATACTCAATGTTTGTGTCAGGGTGGAAGAATCGGCGTTCTTGAATAGCAATAATATCTATGTTCTTTTCCTTTGCACTTCTTACAAGTTCACCAAGACGAGATGGAGGCTTCAATGTTCTAGTGTTGAAAGTGCCGATAATGGTACATTTTCTGCAAGGTACTAACTTACATTGCGTTTCCCTGGGGTTTTCTGCAGTAGCATGATGACGACCGGGCCCACCCTGTTGACCAATGGGACACCTGCCAGACGTGGGACCTTCACCAGAAGTTCCAGCCCCATTCACGTCGTTGTGAATACTCAGTTTGGTGTGGTTCATAATCTTGTTATAGCTGAATACTTGATGCTACGCTTTGGCTAACAAGAATGTTTTTATCGTGACACCATCACTAGAAGGACTGCCGACCAAGGCTGAAGAGCTCCCTCTGCCCATGAAGCATGGTTATTCCCCGCCGGACGCCAACCCGGAAATTTCAAGACCATGGAAATTTCAAGCGACTCATAATTTCGAAGTCAAAATACAATTATCATGTCCAGATAAATCAGAAAAAGACACGCATTTATTTGTATCTTTAAAAGAGTCGAGGCACATCTAAAGTTCTTTTTCAATTTGGAAATTCAATTCTGAGATTCACTTCTTGAAGACATCAAATATCAAAAGAAAAATTTTTCCATCAAATTATCAAATTGCTTGTCAGTTTTTGTTTCTTAATTTATTTCAATAATGGTCATTTGAAGAAACTGTAACGTATAGTCTTAGTTAAATTGGATGCCGAATCATCAAAAAATAAAAGGAAGAATACGAATAGCACACAAATACAGGCAAGGAGAATATTTTGCCGTCTGCTGAGTCTTTGTTCATCGGCTTTGTCTCAAAACATGGTGACTAATGATTGTCAATTTAAAAGGTCAAATTAACGCCAACGGAGTACAAGGTGAACAAAAATGTAATGAAATATTTAAGAAATGACAATTGATATTGAAAAGGAAATCAATACCTTTTTGAGGACAAAATTTCTTCCGTAACCACAACACTATTCAAATTTTTACAATTTTTACAAAAACACGTGGAAGCTAGATCATCAAAATTTTTTCCAGCCCAAAATATCGCGCAAAAAGTTATTCCCAGCCCAAAAACCCGCAACCCGCAACCTCCCCAAATTTCCCGCAAACAGGCTTATAAACCAGCCCAATTGGGCGGGAAAACCGCCCATCTGGCAACACTGCTCTTGAAAGTTGAAACACCGGGCACTTCCGGTCATCTGTAAAAGTGACGTATTAACCGGAGATACTCGTGAGAGGGTCGGCTATGTTTTCCGAGTGTTTAGCCTGATTCGCTGTTTCGCACAAGT